ACAAATGAATTAAGTACATAATTATATTAAATTTTAATCTAAAAATATTATCTTTAAGCTGAATTTAAAAAAGATTTAACAAAAATAGAACTTTAATTTTTGGGTTATTATTTACCTCATTGCATCAAAAGTACTTCAGATTTCAAATAAATCAATGAATTTTTACTTAATAATGTCAATCCAGCACTTAATAAATAAAATGAATAAGAAATAATATAATTCGTAGATGAATTAGAATCATATATATTTGATAATAATGAGACAACGTAAAGTTTTTAGCTTAAGGAACATTATAATAAAATAAAGGATTAAAAAATTGAAAGTGATTATAAAACAAATTTATTCTATTTGTTATAAAAAGCTGAATTGATTCTTGATGAATAATGCAAATCATCACATTTTAAGAATTTTCTTTTTGCTTTAGCATATAAAGATTCTTTATTTCTTTGGAATGAATTTTATATTACATTATTTGATCAAGCTAGAAATTATTTATCTTAAAAAAAAAAGTCAGAAATTAATTGGTTTATTTGTTAATAAAGATTATAATTAATAATTTAGAATTACCCTGATTTAAATTTTTTAGAGGAATATTTTATTATTATGGATCTCTTACAATTGTTAGAATAATAACATTTATACTAAACAACAATATCTTCAATAAAATTCAATTAAATTTAAGAAGGATATGAAAAATTGTTTATGAAAAAATAAATCATTCCAACCAAAGTTTTTGATATAAAAAATAATTTTAGATTATTACAATTATAAGAAAAAGTAATTATGAGATAATATTATAAAATTAATATTGAAAATATTACATAAAATTTGGAAAATCTTTAAACACTCATATCATTGATTAAATAAATGAATAATCATCAAATCTAATATTTTCTTCATTCAAAAGAAGGTGAAGTTGAAATTGAATAAGATATATTAATATCCATATATAAATTTATTAAGAGATTTTTAAAACACCAATTGCATAATCAATTGAATTAATTGATAGAAATCATTAAGATAAAACTTCCAAATTTATTAAATTAATCTTAAAGTTAATTTTAATTTTAATTTGAACATGATAAAAAATAATTTAAAATTTAAAATATTGATGAAGTTTAATTAGAATAGGAAAGAAATACAATATATTCAAATTAAGATGTTAATCTAATTTTAAACAATATATTAGAGGGATTTATTAAGAATAAAAAAAGATTAATTAAGAAAAAACCATAAAGATATTTAATTGAATCTTTTTACTATTCTACTCATTTATTATTTCATAGTAATGCATCAATTGATTAAGTATTCAATTCTATTTAACCAGTTTATTTACCAAACTCAAAAGACTTAATTTATTATTATAAATCAATTGATAGATACAAATGTGAAAAAGATGAAATACTTAGTTATTATTACTTTCATGATCTTAATTTTTCATACTAAAAGTCTAAAATATTGAAATTAATCATTAAAATTTTATTAAAACAAAAAAAATACAAAGAAATAATATCACTTTTAGATAAGCTTAACAAAACATATGATTTAAGATTGTTTTAAGCTATTATTGGATTATTAACATCAATTTAATATATTGATGAAAAAATCTTAATAAGAGATATAATCATAAAAGTTGAATTTTTAGGAAAAACTAATGAATTTCTAAAAGATGAACAAATTATAGAATTATTAAATGGAATGTATATAAAATTATATGAAAAAGAACAACAAGAATAAGGTCTAAATGATTTTGAAATTGAAATAAGCTAAATAAAAATTGAAAAAGGAAAGAAAATTATTGAAGATTTTAAAATAATAAAAAAGAAACCAACTAAATTCAAAGAAAATTAACAAATTTCTTAATAATAATAATCTTAAATCTAGCAATCCTAAATTTAAAATTAATAATAATAATAATTATATTAATTATCAAGTGAATAAATTAATGAAGAAATAGGCTAATTTAAAACCTAAGAGGGATCTCTTTCACCACTTATTGATTTAGATATTGTTTGATTTAATTATTTATTAAATTCAACTAATAATATTAAATTTTTATATATATTAGAGTAGTTTTCTTTTTTAATTATATTCATATATATAAAACTAAAATTATATGTTAAAATCTTTTTCAGTGACTAAATAATATAAGAATTTATTAATTATTATAATATAATAATTATTTATTTATTAATAAATAATATAAGGATTATGGTATATTCATCTATTTATTTGCAAGATAAATGAAAAGTATATTGGAGATCTTTTACTTTTATAATTATAATAATAAAAATATAATAGAAATGAAATAAGAGACTTTGAGTAATTCAACAACTTATATAATTGGAAGTTCATAATAAACTTAATTACTTGATGAAATAGAAAAATATAATTGTTTTTGGAAATAAGAAATAATATTAAGTGATTGTGAAGAATAATTTGTTTAAATAGCATCTGATGATGATAGAGATTGTGCTGCAATGATTAACTTTGGAAAAGCACTTAATATCCAACCAAAAGATATTTCATAGATAACAGAAATCTTAAACTATTTAGATACTCCTTAATTAAAGATGACTTCTTTATAGAGTCCATAAAATGTTTTGAATTATTTTCTGCCTAGTAGTTTTGTATCTACATTAACAGAAATGATCAATCATTATCTTTTAATGGTTTTATAAGAAGATCTAAAATAATAACAATAAACTCAATAAATTTATCATAAGAAGAAATACAAAGAAGCTGAGATTTAATTTTATTTAGGTTTACAAATTTTATTTGGAGTTTATAGATTTCCATCTTTGGATGATTATTGGAATGCTGAACCATGGTTAAAAGGTGGAGTTGAAGTTACTATGCCAATAGGTAGATTTAAATTTGTAGATCTTCATATTTTTTCATACTTTGATGAATTATAAAGAGCAAAATTATAATTAGAAGTAAGTAAATTTTCAAAGAAATTAAAATCACTTTATAATCCTGATTAAGAATTAATTGTTGTTGAATAAAATCAGAAAGCATACAGAGCATATTATATATTTGATTATGATAGTTCTTAAATTATAGATTTATTGGTTGTATGTAATAATGTAAAAAATGAAGACAGAATAAATAGGGTAATGAGAATGCTTTACAAATATTCTAATCAGAATCATGTTACTTATATATTATTTGATTTGAGTTTAGAAAAGATAATTCAATTAGTGGATCAATCTATATATCCAGTTATTCGTTATTAAAATATTCATCATAATTTGATATAAATGCTCTAAGATGGAGAGTATGAAATGGATTAATTATACTTAATTAAATAAGGAACTTAAGTGGATGTTTTCCCATAAAGACGATTGATATCAAATAGACATTACATGACTTCTTATGAAAAAATAAAAGAGTAATTATAAGAACATATAATAAATCTTTAATAATTTCGTAGTAACTTTTATTAATCATCATAATTAAATAATACTGAAGGATTTCATTAATTAAGAGTTGAATTTGAAGAATATTTCGAAATTATGATACATAATACTTTTTTACTTATTCAACAGACATCTCAATCTTAATTTAGACATGATTTAGCTAAAATACTTCTAAATGAAAAAGGATAATAAATTGAAAGAGATCGTAATGAAGCTAAACGTAAATTAAATGTCACTTACTAAGAAAATACCTCAAATACAGATCATTTATCTTTTGGATTATAAAAGTAATATGCTGATCAATATCATACACCAATACCTTAAAAATAAGATGATACATTTAAATATTGTTTAGTTTGTATGAAATTTGATGGTTTGACTAAACCATATTATAGATGTTAACTTTGTGAAAAACTTTTGAATATAAATAAGGTATTCTTATGTCCATTTCCATGTTTTGAATTATTTCATAGAAATCCAAGTGATTTCATGGTTTGTGATATGAAAATGTTAGAACCACTTGGTGAAGGTGTATATTTTAAAAATGAATCTACTATGTAATTAATTAATAATGGATAAGAAGAAGATGCAAATGGAAAAAAAAGAAAATATAATAAACCTCCACCTAGAACTTTTTGGTCATTTAATAAAGAGATTTATAAATAAGCAAATATAAATGATGATCAAAATCTTAATGACATTTTAAATACTTTTAAAAAACCTCAAGCACCTGCTCCTTCACCTAATTTATTATAACCTATAGTACCTTAAGAATAATAAAAATAGATATAACCTTTAGGACATAAAAAGGATATGAAAGATATAGATCATCTATTAAATTAAGAAAAGGAGTAAAAAGATAAATTAATAAAGGAAATGTAAGAGAGAGACAAATAATTATAAGAACAATATTTTTAATAATAATATGAGAAATAATTGTAAAAAGAATAAGAATCAAAGAAGAGCAAAAAAGCTTAAAAAGAGAGTGAAAAGAAGAAACAATTAGAAGAACAACTTAAGAATGTTAGTCCTCTTGAGAAATTCATGGAACAAATAAATAAAAGAGCTAAAGTTGAAGATATTGAATGATGATGATATTAAATTTATTGGCAAATTATTTTATATAAACAATTAGCATTAGTGTAATTTAAGAAATACTGAATTTTGCATATAATATTATCATCTATTGTAGAATAGACCTCCATAATTTCTTGAATATCCATTAGTAGTGCTTTTACTATGATAATCATTCAAAACATAATTGCTTTTTTTAAATCCTTATTACACAGCTACTGTAGGATCATATTATTTCAATAAGCCTAATTCTTTTAATTTATAAACATTTTTTTCTAGTAGTTTATTGTTTATGATCAAATTTGCATCTTCTAAGATTGAATCCAATATATCTCCTTATTTTCTATTTAAATAGCTTCTGCTAGATTGATTCTCAACAATTAAGGTTTCCTTTAACTTCTTGATTGCAGGGTTTGAATTAGCCATAGAACAAGATCTTCGATTATTTATTTATAAATAAGGCAGTTTCTCTTAGGAAGATTGCATTAAATTAATTATTCAAAATCATTTCACTTAGACAGGTTTAAAATATAATGCAGTTGCCCTCTTTTTTTTCTTATGATGTTCTGCCTCTTTCTATGGACTTACAAGTTGATTATCTCTTAAGATATACTGACGATATTTCCTTAAATATTATTATCTTTAATTATTACTTTATAAATTCGTAAGGAAACGTTAGAAAAAGACTTAATTACTTCCACTATTCAAAGAATTTTAAGTTAATTTTTGTTGTTTTAAATAACCAAGCAGAGTTAAATTGTGGATAATAATACTTGAAATTTTTAATGCAATCTATTTCTAAATNTTAATAATGGATAAGAAGAAGATGCAAATGGAAAAAAAAGAAAATATAATAAACCTCCACCTAGAACTTTTTGGTCATTTAATAAAGAGATTTATAAATAAGCAAATATAAATGATGATCAAAATCTTAATGACATTTTAAATACTTTTAAAAAACCTCAAGCACCTGCTCCTTCACCTAATTTATTATAACCTATAGTACCTTAAGAATAATAAAAATAGATATAACCTTTAGGACATAAAAAGGATATGAAAGATATAGATCATCTATTAAATTAAGAAAAGGAGTAAAAAGATAAATTAATAAAGGAAATGTAAGAGAGAGACAAATAATTATAAGAACAATATTTTTAATAATAATATGAGAAATAATTGTAAAAAGAATAAGAATCAAAGAAGAGCAAAAAAGCTTAAAAAGAGAGTGAAAAGAAGAAACAATTAGAAGAACAACTTAAGAATGTTAGTCCTCTTGAGAAATTCATGGAACAAATAAATAAAAGAGCTAAAGTTGAAGATATTGAATGATGATGATATTAAATTTATTGGCAAATTATTTTATATAAACAATTAGCATTAGTGTAATTTAAGAAATACTGAATTTTGCATATAATATTATCATCTATTGTAGAATAGACCTCCATAATTTCTTGAATATCCATTAGTAGTGCTTTTACTATGATAATCATTCAAAACATAATTGCTTTTTTTATATCCTTATTAAACAGCTACTGTTGGATCGTATTATTTCAATAAGCCTAAATCCTTTAATTTATAGACATTTTATTCTAGTAATTTATTGTTGATAATCAAATTTGCATCTTCTAAGATTGAATCTAATATATCTCCTTATTTCCTGTTTAAATAACTTCTACTAGATTGATTCTCAACAATTAAGGTTTCTTTTAGCTTCTGGATAGCAGGGTTTGAATTAGCCATAGAACAAGATCTCCTATTATTTAGTTATAAATAAGGCAGTTTCTCTTTAGAAGATTGCATTAAATTAATTATTCAAAATCATTTCACTTATACAGGTTTAAAATATAATGCAGTTGCCCTTTTTTTTTTCCTATGATGATCGACATCTTTTTAGGGACTTACAAGTTGGTTATCTCTTAATATATGTTGGCGATATTTTCTATTATTATTAAGTAATATTACTTTATAAATTCATATGGAAAAGTTAAAAAAAGACTTAATTACTTCCATTATTCAAAGAATTTTAAGTTTATTTTTGTAGTTTTAAATAGCCAAGCAGAATTAAATTTTGGATAATAATTTTTATAATTCTTAACACAATCTATTTCTAAATTAACCCTTTAATTCAATCTTACTTTTAAATCTTCTAACAATACTTTATCACGTTCTCTTAGACAATCTTCATCAAATTCTCTTGGATTATTTAATTCTAATATTTATATATTCTAGTTTGGAGGATGCAATTTTTATCTTATTTATTTAATATTTAAAGCCTATCTATTAGAAAATTGTCTTCTTGTTATACTTTAAATTTATTAGAAATAATTGGAATGAGAAGCTTTCCATGATTCTTTTAATTCAAATTCAGAAGAATCTGATGATTCTATTGTTGGAATCGTTAATTAAATCTTATCTAAATTATCATTTTATTTAAGTTCTTTAAAAATAGCTCTTCTTTTTTTTTCAAATATTCTTTTATAATGTCTTCTATTTTATAATTAAGGATATTAATGTTTTTTGATGACTGAGTCTTTGTCTGGATTAAAATTAAGCAAAGGACATTGTTGAATGGTATGTTAAAGACTTTTACATGAGTAACAATCCATACCAAAATATGATTTATCAAAGATGATTTATTCTTTCAATTAACAATATTATTCATGATCCTCTGGATATTGTAAAAGAACTTTCATAAAATCTTTTTTAGTAATGAATACTAATTTACTAAAAGCAACAGAAGTGTACCTTAATGATGGGATAACATCAAGCATAAATTCTCTTAATCCAAAATTATCCCCAGCTTAAAGTGTAGCTAATCTTAATCTATTATTTCTCAAATATGTTCCAATAGATCCTCTTTCTATAAAGAATAAACAAGGTTAATCAATTGGGACCGTTTTACAAGGTGTAAGTGTTATTGATTAAACATGTTTTAAACATTCAGCTTTAAATTCATGAGAAAAATAATCATTAAATAATTTGCAACCTTTGACTATAATTGAATTAGCCTCAAAGATTAGATTCTCTTAAAGGTCTTATGATAATTAACCTATTATATCTTTAACTTCTAAGTTTTCTTCTAGTTTTTGTTCTTTCCAATAAAATGTTAAATATTCTCTTATTTCATATTTGAGTTAATTGGAAATATTAACACTCTTCATATATGTATTAATAGCTCTCATTTTACGAATGTGATCCTCACTTTTTTCATTCAATTTAGAATATACATTCCAAATTGCTGATACTGTATATGATAATTGTAAAGTTGAACAAACCATAAATCCTATTGTCACTAATCTTTCATATATATCTATTAGGATATATAAATTAAATTACTTTTTGGAACAACATCTCCATATCCTACAGTAAACATAGTAACAGACGAAAAATAAAATGCTGTAATATATTGATCAGTATAAGTGGCATTAGATAATCCATTTGCCTTTATCCAAGAATCTTCAGCAATTTCTTAAATTCCAACAAAATACCAAATACAACTAAATAAATGTTCCAGTAAGAATAGAAACATCACTAGTTTAATCTATAATAATTTAATATTTTACTAAATCTATTAATAATGAAGTAGATTCTGAATAATCTTAGCTATTTTATAGTCTTTAAAAGACTCGAATTATATTTTATAATTAGATAATAATTCCTAAGATACTGATCACACTTCTCACATAATTATATTCTCGAAGTGATTAGTGTTTATAATCAATATAATTATTTTATTCATTTAATTCTTGTGCAAGAACTAAAACTAATGTTATAACACAAAAAATATCATAAATGAAACCATTCCTTAAATAATTTCTAGATACTTTATAATGATTTGTTATCAAATATCCTTTCTCATAAAATGATGTTATAAAGTTTAATAAAATATCAAAGATCAATAAAGCAATGGAAACTTATAATGTCCATAAAAGTTAATTGTATAATAATTTATTATTAAATGCTATTTCATAAGGAATGACAAATAAAAGATAAAATCTTATAAAAGCTAGAAATATATCCCATATTAATTTGAATTCATTATTTGGATTGATTATTGGAATAAGTTTTATTGATTTAGTTATTTTTTATACAATTTTTGACTTTTTCATTTCTCTCCATTTTCTATTCAATTTTCTTTTCAATCTAGCAAATTTAGATTTATTTACTTTTCCCCATACTTAACCAGTTTTCTATGATACTTTTCAAAATAATAATTATATTTCTTACTAATAATATTCTTTTCGAGAAACATCTTTTATGATATGAAAATGAATGGGAGCTAATTATTGATATTGTTTCTTGTTTTGTATGGCTTTGTTCTTCATTCGAAATCCATAAAATTTGGCTCTCATTGATTGAAAAGCACTACAAATATAATTAAGTTCTCATACTTTCCAATAGTATTTACTTATTTTGTAATTAAAAGTTTATCTTCAATCTTATAGGCCTCACTTTAATCTAGCATCTTTTTATGTAATTAATTATAATATTAAATTATAAAAATTGAAAGGAAGTCAATAATGTATTTTAATTCATTGTAATAACCAATCAACTCTTAATGGAGACTTTAGACACTTTTAAGTACCTTTTAATGTATATAATTCTGATCTTCCATCTCTTCCTCTCATATAAAATTCAACAATATAATTTTCATCAGCTCTAATTGATAAAATATCTAAATATAATTATGATTTTGGAATATTCCTTTGATGACCACAGAGTTATAAAGATTCCCCTTTAAAATAACATTTACTATAAACAGTAATACAAGCTATATAAACAATAATAACTACCCCTATATTCATATCTATTATCATATTTATAAGCACTTCGATAAAAATCCCTTTGTCGTGGTTCTGTCCTTTTTATTGAAGAAGAACCATAATAATTATCTACTTCACAATTATCTGGATTATAGTTTGTAGATTTTGCATCACAAGGATCTGAATAAATACTTAATAGATATAATATATATTTTACTATAATTTGCTTATAACATCCCTTAAAAATCTCCCTAACTCTTAATCATTTGGATTTTTTGGTATTACTACACTCTATCCAGTTAATGGTGGTCCTCTTCTACTACTATATCTATTATAATAATCATCTCTTCCATAATAGTCTTCTCTTCTTTGATAATCTCTACCTTAATATTATTAATTCAAATATCTATCTCCTTTATCATAATATTAATCTCTTTGATGAAATGTGTTTTGATATTATTCATTTTATTCTATTTATAATTGTTATTCTCTCTTTTAAGTCTAATCTTCTTATTCAATATTTTATTATTCATTTTATCTACTTCTAAATTCTTTATCTTTTTATTCCATCTTACTTCTTTATTAATTATTTAATTAAGATTTTAAATTTTTTTATTTAGATTATAAGTGTTTTAAGTTTTGCTTTGATTTTTCATTTTAATCAAATTCTTCTTTTTTACTTTAATAAATTTATTAATTTTTTAAATTATTAAATTATTTTGTTTATTCTTATATTTCTTATTTTTATTTATAATTTTCATTATCAAAGTTTTCTTTTTAGAATAGATCTTAAGTTTCTAAATTTTAGTTTTCTTTTAGATTTTCATTTGATTAAGTTTCTAGATGGATCTCTTCAGGTATTATCGAAACCTCACTAACAAACCCTAGTTATTCTGAATTTGTTTTAAGACTCTTTTATATACTTTCATCTTCATCAATCGAATATTCTAAATCATTTTAGTCAAATTAATCTTAATTTACAGTTTAAATCAACTCAGCTGATTATTTTAATAGTTTATGTATTTCTTTATACTAAATAGGTTTTACATCATAATATCTTTATTATGCTTCACAATGATTTTCAACTAAATTTATTAGTAAATAGTTTACTCTATTCAATTATAAATATCTTTTAAATGTGATCAATAAATTCTCTAAATAATTATAAACATTAATTATCAGATAATTCATTTTAAGATGTAAATACTAAAACATATGTCTAACCAATAATATTTTAAACTGAATGAGAATCTAAAATATATTAAATAAAATTACATATATTATCATTAATACTATAAAATAATTCTAAATTTTCATTCTGTTCATTAATTATTAAAGAATTAATACTTTAATTTTTATAAGTAATTCTAAGAAATGACCCAATATATCCACCATGATTCATCTCTCTATTTTTCATTTCAGATGAAAATAAAACATTAAATTCGTTCTATATTTCTATTATGTTATCAAAAATTTTAACAAATGGTGTATCTTAGTATTCTCCATTAGATTTAAATTTTATTAATTAATCAGAATCCAATTCAAATTATAATTATTTAGAAATGTTTAAAGAAACATCAGAACATGATTATTGAATATTTTCACATACATTATTTCTTTATTGTATGATAAATACACAATCTTAAAATACATGTTAAATCAAATCAATAGAAGGAAATTTGGTAAATTATGAAGTGACAAATGAAAATACAAATACTTTTGAATCAGTCATACCAATTGTTATATAAGCTAAATTTTAATCTTCTTTATAATTGATAACAACTCCTTCATCGCTTTCAAATATTATAATATGTATAAATCCTCTATTTTCTTATTAAATTGTTACGATTAATCCACTTAAAGGATACTCTATTGTTTATTAATGAGTTTCCATATTTTTAATAGGTATTCTCAATTCTAAAACTTTATTATTTAAATTTTATGCTACAAAAACTTAAAGTCCTGGATAGTTTTTAGTAAAGTATTCATTGTCCAAAGATCCATTAATTATTTAATTTCCCATATGGTAATGTATTGGTGGATGATATAGATCAGGTGTATGAAAGGTTAAGTGTTCAAAATTTAAATCTAAATTACATTTGATTTATTCTAATGAGATTAAAGCGACCTTCTTTTAACAATATTCTTAACCTTCAGATTGATCAATTAAATGTACAAATCTTTTTAAAATCTATAATGCATCTCCTTTACCTCCCCAAGATATAATATATACAAAACCCATTTTCTCAAATTTATCCACAGCATCCGTTTTGCCATAAGAAAAATCTCTTATTAAATTTTCTTTTGAGATTAATAAATGTCCTCCATCTTCTTCCTTATCAACAAAATATCCATTATAACCATTATATTTATGAATTGATACAGTGGTTCTATTTTATTTTACTTTGAACTCCTAAATCGATAACCATTAAATTTCACTAGCATCACCTGCAAATATGTATGCATCTGAAAATCCAACCAAAAAATATGAATTATTATTCAAACTTGGTGAGGATTTATAAGTTTATTAGATATCTAATGCAAAATGAGGAGATTGACATGTTTGTATATAAGGCATAGTACTCAGCTATTAAATAAATATATTACTTTTCATTCTATTAATCAATCAGAAAAAATGTTTTTTCATCATAAAATAGACGTAATCCACATAAGAAATTCTCTGGATCAAACGAGTGTATAGCTTAGATTAAAAAAATTATAAACATTAAAATTATATGATTATTAAAATAAAACTAATGAATTACACTTTAATCGGTTATTCATACATCTGTTTAATCATCAAAATGAATTATATTTTAAAGTAATACATTTGATTTTAAAACTTTAATTAAAACCAGTTATTAACTAAAGTAATTTAAAATATACATATTGTTAGATGTATTTTTATTCACATAACTTAAAATTATAGGATTCTTAAAACAAAAATCATTTAGTTTTCTAACAAATCTAAAGATTGAGATGAACTATTATTATTTGTTTTATCAATAATGAATGTTTAAAAATTTACTGAATAAAACAACAAAAAATAACATATATAAAGTAAAATCAAGAGATATTCATTACAAATGATATGGCAGTATCTTATTTTTTTCTTTATATGAATTTATTTCGCTACATTCCAAAATCAGTATTATTATCATCTTCTTTGTGTGACTGGTTAGAATAATAATTATATTCCTTTGATTTTGGATCAGTGCAAAATCTGATATGTTAAGCTCTAAGATAAGCAATTATAGTTTTTATTTAAGGATTTGGCTTGTGGTATAGATCTAATTCAAGTGAATCAAGACTTGAATTTAATTCTTCTGACATTAACTAATTTATTTATATATATGAATTAATTCAAGAATAGTAAATTAAATACTTTAGGATATGTCAGAAATTATCACTCTGATTTTGGTTCATCTAATATAATCAATCATACACTATATCATAAATATGCATCTTCTCAAAATTATTACTACACAAAAGAAATTAATGATATTTTAAATAAAAACAGAACTTCAGCAACAATTAAGTTTTATGTAACCAATTAATGAATAATTCAGGATGATATGTAATATTTAGAGAATGAGGAATGCATGCCCAGACTATATTAATATGATGATTACTAATCAAAAATTTAATTGTTGGTTGAGTTTTATAAATATCATCATGATTTGCCTAGATTTACTGTAGACAAGGACATAATTTAAATTTTGAATTTGTATTACGATAAAAAAAGAAAATTGGAGTATTATAAAATATAGAGATAAATAGAATATGAAAATTTATAGAATCCAGATCAACCTTAAAAAGGAATAGTTGGAGATATACCTATTTAATCATAAAGTACTCCATAATCAGATATTAATGGAGATTCTACTATTAATTATAATGTGGATAATATTCTTTAAGATGTAATAATATTGTAAAAAAACTAAAATTAAATATCTGAATAAGATATAAGTTAAATTACTAAATTATAGGATGACTAAAAGAGTGAAATTCAATAAATGCTTCAAATTTTTGATTAAGGAAACTAAAAGAATATACAAAAATATTCAATTTAGAAAAATAATAGTCCATCTTTTAAAAAACCTCTTAAATTAAATAACTAGATACTACATCAATCAAATAGAAAATAATATACTTAATAATAATATGATTTTAGAATTCCTTTAACAACAAGATATCCTTCTTCCTCTCTCAGCAGATTTTTGAAAACATCATAACATGACCATAATCTTGATTCTAATTTAACTCATTTGATTAATAAATATCCATAAAGAATAAAAACAAGAATTGAAAAAAAAATTGAGAATAAAAAAGATTTTAAAAAGTCTGTTCCAGAAATGAAATTATTGGGATTAAGAATATTAGCTTGTCTAAATTAAATAGAAAAAAACAAGCAAAATGTTAAATCAATTTCATCATTTGATAATAAAGATTTACAAAAGATTTTAATTTCAATTAATTAACCTACATTCTCAACAAAAATTAAACCATTAAAAAGTTCTTCAACTCAATCCATTAAAATCTCTAAACAATTTAATACATAAGAAGATTAAGTATTAAATTCAAGTCCAAGAAACTTTTAAACAATTTAAACCCCAAGATCTTGTTTAAATGGTTCTAAATAAAAATAATTCTTAGATTCTAAATAAAAAGATAATATATAAGGTTTAAGAAAACTAATGGTATGTAAGAAGGATAATGTTCTCAAAACTCAACCAAATTTAGGGTTTATTCCAAAACTTAATCTTAATATAATCAATAAATTTAATACAAACTCTTCCTCTAATACTCTTAGAAACAATGGTTTAAATCTCAATATTACTAACTAATTAACACCAAAATCTTAAACTTTTAGATCTAAAATAAATCACTTAATAAATTAGCAAATAAAAACGATATAAACCAACAATATAAAGAATTCAATCAAATAATGATAGTTTAAAATTTGTTATAAATAAAATAAATTTTGAAACACTTATTAAATGTGTATTTTAATATTCATAATAAATGAAAATTTTAATGATTTTTAACTTAATCAACTTTGTTACTAATGATGTATAGAATAGATTATCAGTAACTTTAATTGGAATGAACTTTCTTAAATTGTTTTCATAGAAATAGTATTTAAAAATATATATATATAAATAAATAATGATTTAATATGGTGATACCATGATTTTATTTGAGGATGGAAAACCTAAATAATTTATTACAGTTACCTAGGGTTAAACATATCAAAATAAATATGGAGCATACCATCATTATACTTTTCTTGTTAAGCCTGGGGAAGAAATACTTTCAAAAAATGGGACAGGGCCAATTTATTTAATGACTCCTAATCCTCATTTAATAACAGAAACTGTTCCTCATAAAACTTAAATTCTCTTTATGGCTGATATATCTATGATAATACTTAAATTATGTTTAAAACCAGGTTAGAGAGTTATTGAAAGTGGAACAGGTAGTGGATCTTTATCTTGTTCATTAGCAGCAGCTGTTGGTCATAAAGGTAGATTATTCACATTTGAATTCAATAAGGAAAGAGCAAATAATGGTAAAGAATTGTTTGCAAAATTGAAAATAAATTAGGCAACTTGTTTTTGGAGAGATGTTTATACTAATGGCTTTCTTAAAGGAGATGATGTTGAAAATTAAGGAGAATTTCCATAAGAAAATAGTGTAGATGCTATATTTTTAGATTTACCATAGCCATGGTTAGCTTTGGATCACTCTAAGAAAATGATTAAAAAAGGTGGAAGAATATGTTGTTTCTCTCCATGTATTGAATAAGTACAAAAAACAGCACTAGAATTAAGACAATAAGGATGGAAGAACTTGGAGACATTAGAATGTTTAAAGAGGTATAAAAATTTACTATATAAATGATAGACATTTTGAAAGAAGAGTAAAACAAGAGTAATCTTTATTTGATGATGTTTAAAAGAAAGTATGCACAGATTAGAATAAGAGAGTGACTTATTCTTCAGGAATAAATTAGGCTTATGGACACACTGGATATTTAACATTTGCATAATATATATGATTTTTAGAAAATGTAATTTATATACATATATGTATAATTAAAATATTAATAATTTACATGTAAGAACTCTTTGAAATCTATACATATGTTATTAGTTGATTTTTAGACTTTTATTAAATTCTTAAGTTACATATACATATTTACAACATTTTAACAAAAAATCTAAAACTCTTAATGATAATATCTAAGAGAAGATATTATAATTCAATTAAATCTTATACTTATCAAATATTTTGATATCCTTCAAATTTAAATTAACTCTATAGTTATACTAGCTATACTCCTTATGATCAGACTGAAATGATTGCTTTTAAAAATTAATAATAAATTTTATAATGATATCCAACGATAACAAAGGATAAATTTAAAAGAATATTGGAAGCCATTTATTATATTCTTATTCTTAATAAGGCTTATCTAAGTAATCAATTAATCGAAAGGATAAAGAAAATTATATTGAAATCAAAAAAGTTGTAGAAGGTTAAAGCTATAAATATTCTGATTATCAATCAAGTACTTTATAGACATTTACAAATTTTAAGTAGACGAATATAAATAATACATAAATATAAAGCTGTGAAAATAATAACGAATATTGTACAAAAATGTCAGTTAAATAATTGTGTAAATCTAAAGAAAATCTGATATAGAATCAATATTCTGATAATCATAATTTTAGAAGTAGATCAACCAGTCCTTAATTAATTTCTTAAAATTATTAGAAATCTGATAATATTAACATTGAATTCATTAAAAATTAGGAGGGTTAGAGAATAAAAAATATAGCAGAAGGTCTTAAATCTAAAATATAGAGCAATTTAAATAACAAACTAAAAAATCATTTTATTTAATAATCTAAATAAATACAAAGTAGATTTTTGCCCAATTAGGATTTAGTAGCAAATTATTAGAATTAAGTTTATTTTCATAATAGCTGTTTATCTTTAAAGAATTTTTTTCATCAAAAAAGCATTGAATTAAAATAAAAATTTTTAGAATAACAATCTTAATTAATTGAGGAAAAAGTATAAATTATATCAAATAAAGCTAAAACAATGGAATCTACAAAAAAATCATTAAGTCGCTCATATGATATATCTATACATACACCAAAAAAAATAATATATAATAAAGAATGCATATCAAAATTAAGAAATGATAAAGATTCAAATTAGACTAAAATATTAAATTCTTCAAATTTAATGCCACAATAAAACTATTAAATTAATGATAATCATTAAGAAAATTAAACTCAAATTTAGATTGAAAATATTTAAGAGGATAATTATTTTTCATTAAATAAAAAATTTGTAGAATAAAATTTTAATGAAAAGAAAACTCAAAATTTATCTAAAAAACAAATCAGTATGAGTTCTCCAATAAATCTATCTTCTAATACACATTCTTAAAATAAATTGATAACTAATGATGAAAGAAATTCTCCACTAGTTTTATCAAATAAGGTAAATCGTTATATGAATTTAATTTAATCATTTAAAAGTTTTCATATAAATTAGACTTAATAAAAAAATGAAATTGAAATCTTTGATTCCATTTAGGTTAATGACTTAAATCATATTAGTGAATTCTCTATATTTAAAGATGAGAAATAAAACCATAACTAAAATTTAGGACTATTTTCTGAAATAGAATAATAAATAAGTTTTTCAGATATATAAATTAATTAAGATCTACTTTTAGAATCAAATTAATTTGATTAATAATATATCTAAAGAGATTTTTAATAAGATTATTTTATTGATGGAATAAAATAAGTTTATAATGAATAAACAAAAAGCTAATATTCTGAATAAAAGTCTTTACTTAATAAAAAATAAATTATGTTGTAAAAATAAGGTAATAATTTAGTAAATTATTTAAATTAGAATCCTGTCAGTACAATCAATAACTTAATAAATGATTAATATTAGAGTGTATTTGATTTTATGATATTTAATTAGTTATAAACTTAATCTTATTCTATATATATATGAGTTTAGCATTTTACTAGAGTGATATCTTTAATAAATTTAATAATGAATTAATTTTTATATAATTTTAATCTGTATTTATCAAATCAGTATAATTCTCTAAATTCATTTATTATTTCTTACTTTTACAATATATATATTGTAAGTTATTAAAATGGGTTAATGTTCCTCACAAAAGATGAAACAATAAATGAAAGCAAAGATTTAAGAAGCTAAACAAAAATAATCATAAACAACTACTCCAAATAGATAAACAACATAATTAAATGGAATGAGGTCACAATCTCGACACAATACACACTCTGCATTTTAATCTCATAATGATTTAAGTCAACCAGGATATAGTTTGAAAAATATCAATTATTTTCTTGTCTATAGAAATACAAATTTTTCTTCCTATTATAGCTTACTTAAGTAAGAAGATAAAGATTTTCCATTTACTACTATTTAACACAACAATACTGGAATTGTAAGAATAATTAAAAGCTATAAATCTTCTGATTCAAAATATATAGCATAGCTACTCAAATATTAACTTGTAATTTTTAACTTTATCTTAGCATCATCCAAATTTAATATAATAATTTGAAATATATGAAGAATAATAAAAGTATCATGTTGCTGAAGAGAACAACAACAAAATAGTAGTGTTAAATTCAAAAATTTACAATGATGAAAAAGAAATTGCTTTTGTTTTTAATTAAATAGTTGAAGTTATTGAATATCTACATCATTAAAAACTAACCCATGGACATCTAACATTAGAGTGTTTTGCACTATTTGGAGATAAATACTTAAAATTATATGATTTATACCATTTATTTATGAAGAAAAAACCAACTTTAGAGGAATCTCACTATTTACCACCAGAATATTTTGAAAATCAAGAATATTCTGAAGAAAGAGATATTTGGTCTTTGGGAATAATTTTATATAATTTACTCTATCATATTTCTCCATTCCAATCTAATATACCTAGTTTACTCAAATTAGAAATATTGGCTTCAAAAATTTCTTATGAGAAAACAATATCAGATGAAGCTATATCTTTATTATAATAAATATTAGAAAAAAATCCAAAAAGTAGAATCAGTATAAGAGACATTACAAAACATATTTGGTTTAAAAAATAATAAGTTTTTTTATTGGATGAGTAGATTAAAGAAACTTTGTTAAGATTGAAACAATCAAAAAAACTTAATATATTATAAGTTTATTTGCTTAAATTCATTATTAATAATTATCCACCTGATAAATTAAGAGAAATATACTCTGTTTTTCGATCACTTGATTTAGATAATGATGGTTATTTTAGTATTTCAGAACTTATAACTTCTTATACAGAATATGTTGAAGATACTGAAAATACTAAAATTATTTGCATGAATATTTTCTAAAAAGTTGATATGGATAAAGATAAAAAAATTACATTTTAAGAATTTATATTGTATGCCTTTGATAGAAAAGAATTAATTGAAGAAGAAGTAATTGATATAAGTTTCAAATTATTAAAAAATAAAAAAAATTTTATTACTGCTGAAACATTGGCTACTTAATATACATTAGATAAAGAATTCTTTACAGAAATAATGATTGAACTTTTAAAAAAAGATTATGTATTAATTTTCTTATTATTTAGATCACATTCCAAAACTTCAAAGATTTAATGAATAAAACAGTTTGATTGAAGTTTTATGTTTTTATTATTTTCAAATCTAATATTAAAGATTTAATTCTGTATAAAATTATAAAGAAATATACAACTAAATTTACAATTATTTAGTTGATTATAAATATAAAGTCAATCTAAGCAAATCATCCATAATGTTTTTAATAATTAATCTGCTGTTTTTCTTTTATCAACATCTCTTTCTAAACAATTTTATAACACCTCCACAATCTCTTCATCCAATGATTAGATATGTAGATCTTATTTTTTTATTTTCATTTATAATTCTTTCTCTGTATGACCACTAAAGGGAAATTTATTAAACAATAAAGCATAAAGTACAACTCCACAACTCCAAATATCTGTCATTTCATTATACCTAGGATTTGGAGGTAGCATTTCTGGACTCATATAAGAAGGAGTTCCATATGTAGTATTAATATATCCATCAATTTCTGTAGCAAAACCAAAATCAATGAGTTTGATCTCTCTTTATAGTTAAATTTAATTTACTTTTATGCATTTAATAAAATATTATCTAATTTAATGTCTCTGTGAATTATTTTTTTGTTGTGTAAATAATTAACAGCTTTTAATAGTTAAAAGAAAATTTATTGAATATCTATTTCTTTTAAATTTTTAACTTTTTTCAAAGATTGATCACCTCCATATTCCATTATTAAATTTATCTAAATAAAATTAAAAAAAAACAACTTACATTTTTATTTGATTCTACAACCTTAATCAATTGAATTATATTCTTATGATTACATTATCTAAGAATTTGAATTTCTTTGGCTACTGCTCTAGCACGTTAAGGATCATAGAGTCTTTCTTTAGAATATACTTTAATGGCAACAATTTAACCATGAATTTTATGTACTCCTTTTCTAACAATTGCATAAGAACCTTAACCAATAATTTCCTAGATTTCATATTCATCTAATGTCATTATTTATTTTTATGGTTTTAATTCTATTTTGATAGTTTCTTTTATTTCTAATTTTTCATTTGTTAGTTACTTTACCATTTAAGGTGCATTTGAATTTGATCTAATTTAAACTACTGATTTAACAGGTTCTATTCTTTTTTTATTTGTAACTTTAGTTTCTTCTTTATTTTATTTTGGTGGTGTAGGTGTCTATTTTGGTTTTAATAGCAAATTCGATAAAACAGGGAGTCTAGGTTTCATATGTACTTTTTTTGGTCGAATTTCAGCATTTTCATTTTGATTCTCTTAAATTACTTTATTATCTATGCTAATTTATTTTGTTTTAGTATCTGGTCTCTTCAAAATTTCAGGAAGAGTTGAAAATTTATGATATTAATCATCAGTAAATTGCCACATTATAAAATATATATATTAATAATTTTAATTTCATTTATAAAATTTGTAAAGATGGATGACATGGACTAGTTGATAGCATAATTAGAATAATAGGTTAATAATATGTAAGAAGAAAAAATTGATACTAATAAAGAGTAAGACTTTATCTAATATAAGTAATAAATAATAGGTACCTCCAAATATTGGAAACCAAAAAATTCAATAATAAAATGCTTAACTTCAGTAATAATAAGTTTAAAAGAATTATTAAGAAGATCAAGAACAAAAATAAAAAGATGTAAAATAAAAATAGTAACAAATGTAATAAATTGAAAAACAATTCTCCACTTAATAAAACTAGCAATAATAGTAGAACATATAGTAATAATAACAATAGAAGTAAGCTTATATTTAATCTCAACCAATTTAACAATAATAAAATATAAAATAGACAAATGCAAGTACAACAAAATTGATTGAATAAGAATAAATGTATACTATTGTGTCAAGTTTTAAATCATTTAATTTAATACAATAAGAATGCAATTTTATAATGAATACTTGTATGAAATAGCCATCTATTGAAAGCAATACTTAATGTTTGGCATTTTATACAAATTTAAAATAGGCTCTATAAAAATAATTACTTTAATTAATAGATTTTGTTGAATAAGGAAAATTGAGAGATGACATGTATGGAAAATTTATTGGAGCAACATTTAAAGATTAATATGCTTTACTTCAAAAAGCATAAACATAAGGAGATGCATTTTTTATTAAAAGGTTTTTATTTAATTATTATTTTATAGAATTACTAATAGAATGAATATATTAAAAGCAGAATAAACATTAATGTAATAAAATCCTTCAGAAAATTTTGTTCAAATAGTTTAAAAAATAAAACCAAATATAAACATACCTCAATCTTAGAAGCCTATATTAAGGAAACCTTAACTTTAGGAGTATAGATTTGTTACTATTATAGCAATATAAAATTAGATTCAATAAAAATTGATAAAAATGCCCAAAAACATCTAGAAGAAAATATAGATTAATTACCTACACATGTTAAATACGAAGCTTTACTAAAAAGATATAAAGAGTATTATAATTATGCAACTTATTTATCAAATCATGCTAAAGTAAAGAGGAAAGAAGATATTGAATAAGCCCTAAAATTATTAGAAAAAGGAAAGTAATTAAGAGAGCTTTTTACTTAAGGGTAGAATCCTCCAATTGGAAATTATCTATACAATGAAATAAAAGAAATTACTTTAGAATAATTTCATTAAATGAATTAATAATAATACAAATCATGTAAATATGTTGAAATATATTAGAATAAACATAATTATTCAATTAATTGATGGAAGCAAATAATAAAGAAAAAGAGTTTTATAAAATATCATTACACTCAAAGAGAATTCATATAGGCTAGAATTAAACTTATAATCCTCATGAAGAAAGCAAATAAAGATTAAATTCTTATGGTTAAGCATTTGAACATCTAAAATCCTTATAAAAAATGTAGTGGATATTATTACCAGATTTAGAGACTTAAGATTTATAAGTTTCAATATGTATTGAAAATAAAGAAGTTCCTCCAAATATAATAAGAATCAAATTTCGCAAGCTTGATTGCAAATATGAAAAATATTACTTATTTTATTCTTTAGATACTAATAAGTATTATTAATTATAATTATTAGAGGAGTTGTAAGCAAATAAACTGAAATTTGTGACAAGACTTGTTCATTCAATTCTGATCATGATATTCCTATGGAAACAGGTGTAGATTATTCTATGAAGAAAATTGAAGTTAGACTATTTGAAAAAGGATTCTTTGGATCAAGTGAAATAGGTGTAGGTTTTATAACTCTTGAAAATATTAAAAATAAGACTTTATTTGAAGGTATAGCAAGTATCACAACTCCTAAAAAATAAACAATCCAACTTTCTTATACATTAATGATTAGAGAACCTATAGAGAAATATACATAATTATAAATTTAGTTTGTTTAAATTACTAAACAATATCCAGTTTTTGATCAACAAGAAGGTATGAAGGAGTTTTTGGAAAAGTTCATGGTAGCTTTGCCTACTTATGAATAATATAAAAAAGAGTAGGAAATTAAAAGGTAAAGAGAATTAGAAGAGTAAAGATAGAGAGAAGCTTAAAGGATTTAAGAAGAAAAATTACTATAAGAATAATAAGAAGCTTAGTAATAATCAAATAATTAATAATAATAATAAACACAATTAATAGTAATATAAGTATTTAAACTAGTTTTTAAATCATATGGAGAATAATCCAGAAATTCAAAAGATAAAATAATATATGGCTACAAATCCACCTTTACCACCTAAATTTAATATAGAAGATTTATTATATCCTGAAAATCCAAATACAGTAAAAAAATTGTCTAAATTTAGTTTCCAGTTTTCTCTTTTATAGAAGAATACTAACCTTAAGCAAACTAAAAAAGTATTGAGTTGAAATAAGAGCCAAGTTTAAGATAATGGAGTAAATTTGTGCAAAAGATGTGGGAAGATTACACCAGATAATAATGTGTAAATAAATTGTTTTATATTTAGATAATAAGAAAAAATCTAGAAAATATTGGAGTTGATTGGTATCTTGAAAAAATATAAGGTTTACAGATTTATGAATAATTTCTATTGGATACTTATACAAAGTTAAATTTAAAAGATTGGGTTTAATTTGTAAAATATCGACAAGAAAAATTGTAAAAGGAATTATTGGAGCTAGAGAATATGTAAAATGAAGAAGAATAGGAATGATTATCCATTTTATATATTTCATTTAATTCATAATACAAATAAAAATTTATAAGAAATCAACTTTGATTATTCATAATTTACATGCTTTCAGGTGATCTGAACTTTGGTTTTTCAGGACTTGAAATGACGTGAAGTGCTTAATAAGCAATCATTCTAATTCCAACAGCCAATCCTATTAAAATGTAACAACATTCCCTTTTAGATAGAGTGATTGATAAAATTTCTACAGGATTGCATTCTTATCCTGGTAAACATTCATATTTTACATCATCAAACTCATTCTATTAAATAATAAGACAATTATTTTACAATAACTGAAGCTTAAAATCCATATCTAAATATTGATAAATAAGTAAATGGATAGAAAATATAAGGAATATTATCTTGGTTAACAAAAAATCCACCTAACATCATAAAAGGCATAACTAAAACAGACATTACTGAAGTAGCTAATTATATATTTGGTATTATTATTGATAAAAGTAATCCAAATGACACAGCATATTAATATGTTAATAATTAAATTAATATTAACATGAAGAATTTTCCAATATGAATATCACTTAATCCAATAACATAATAAACGATGATAACCTAAAGAGATGGATATAAAATCTAAAAAGGAAGTTCTGCCAAAGATCTTGCCCAAAAGAATGAATGTACACTATAAGTTTTATTTATTCTTTCTCTTAAAAATAAAGATCTTTCAATAGAAAATGTATAAAGAGCACCTTGGATTCCTCCAAATACATTAAATGTACAAATTAAAAATAATACTCCAAAACGATTTTATAATCCTTCATTATATTTTCCTAACTGTTATATTACAATTAATATTTACATCTGAATAAACTAACATAAGAATGATTGCATTAATAATTGATTAAAATATTTTTAATTTCACATAGTTAGGATTTCTAATTTCATTAAAAAAGGATCTTTTGTAGATTAAAACAAATTATTAAATAAATCCAATATGAAATTCAGAATCATTTTCTTTGATTACAGAATTTTCATTTGTTTGCAATTCTCTAATCATATTAGAAGAGTAATAATTATTTATAAATTATTGCAGTCTTTCTTCGAATTCTTCTTTAATTTTAGTTTCATCAAAGACTTCAGATTATCCTTCCTATATTTTCTCTACTATAAGACCTTCTTCATTCATTAATTTCATAAAGTAATCTGAAGGATTTGAAAATTTGGGACATTAAAAGCCCATATTTGCAAAATAATTAATAGCTTATTCAGCATCTCCTTAATAAATAATATTCCCTCTGACTAAAAGCATAAGTCTATCAAAATTGTTAAAGATTTCAGATAAAGGTTAATGAATAGTACTGACAATAGTTCTTCCATTTTTTGCTAATCTATTTAGTAGATCAATAACTTTTAAGGCAGTTGAGGAATCTAAACTAGTAATTGGTTCATCAAGAAAGATCAAACTTGGATTTGTCAATAATTCTACACCAATACTTGCTCTTTTTCTTTCACCACCTGATAAACCTCTAATTTAAGTATTTCCTACTCTGATATCTGCACATTTTTTAATACCCAACTCTCTGATCAGAGCTTCTACTCTTTACTGCTTTTCTTCTGCAGATATTGTTAATCTCATATTAGCTGAAAAATATAAGGCCTCTAAAAGCATTTATAGTTATTGTACCTCTTGGTGAGAATGTTGCAAGTAATATATCATCTTTCATAACATATGCCAATTAATCATTGAATTTAACAATATCTTCTATTCTTTTTCCATTCAACATTAATTCTCCTGATATTTGTAAATTGTCAGATGTTAAACGACCAGACAAAAAGTTTAAAAGAGTAGTTTTACCTGATCCAGAAGGACCAAGAATTGCAGTGAAATGTGCTGATTTCAGTACTCCTTTAATATTATTTAACAAACACTTTTAAGTGCTAATCTATGAAGAATTTATAACTAAATATACTTATCCAACTTAAATTGTAGCATTAATTATAAGTTTATCCCATTCTAATTCAATCGGAGTAAATTTTCCTAATGAAAATTCAGCTCTATTATCTGTACTTAAAAGCTTTTCATCTCTATTTGCTAATGTTTGAAGATTTTTGTACCATAAAGTTTATCTGACATCAAACTTATTTTATATATTGCAAAAAAATTTATTTATTAAAATTGAAAATATTAAAATACAGAAAATCTATAATTTAGAACTCTTTAATCCCTAGTTATATTAAAATTAATTTTTGATAAAATAAAACTATGTTATAAACTAATAATTATTTAAAATACAAATACTATATATCTTAAAATAATAAAATATCTCACTAATTTACAATTATTTCGTTTAATCTAAAATTAAATATTCTCTTCATCAACATTTACTTATTCATTATTTTTTGTTGTTTATTTAAATTTCTAATTTAAAGAAATTATTTTCATTATATTATTAAATTAATAATTAATTATCTCAATCTTAGAAATACTCATAATTTCAAATTAATGAAATTAAATTCTAGATAAAATAAGAATATATTTATATGTCATTACAGTAACATATCTGTTAATTATCAAAGTTTTTATAATTTATAAATAAATTAATATAAGATTGAAAAGAATTATGTTTATTTATAATTTTAGATATTTAGATATTTATTGATACTCTATAATTTAAATATCATGGTTACTGAATGTATTCGAATAAATAAATTAAATCTCGGGATCTAAAATTTATCTTAGTGGAATCTTTTTAAGATTAATTAAATCCTTGTGTAATTCATTCAAATTTTTGAATCTTCTTCTATAAGATATAAAGATTAATCTATTCTTAATATTGAAATTAAATAAATATAACAATAATTATAGATTATTTAATTAAATATTAAATTTAAAAAAAAAAAAGTTTTTAAGTAACATAAAATAATCAAAAGGTCGAAGTATGATATGATGATTATTTGATCTGTTTCAATAACGAATAAATTTTAATTTGATAATAATAATAATCAGGATTTTATTTCTGTGATCATTTGAATATTGTTAGAAATGTAATTGTTCTTATTTCTATTATCTGTTTATACTTATTCTTCATCCTTACATTTTGATGAGTCATTAGCCTCATTAACATGATTTTAAGTATGTATTGGACTCTTATTAATTTAGAATAAACTATACTTGCATATAATCTCTGGCTTCATAAATATTTTACTTCAATTCTAAAAACTTAAGTTAAGAAATACAAGTCAACACTTAAACGATATTTTTAAAAATGTTTTATCTTAAAATTTATTTATTTTAGTACCTTCTAAAAGGGTTCTTACTTTCTACTATCCAATGTTTCTTGAGATATTCATTAGTAGTCATATTAGTAATTACAAGATAAGTATGAAAGAGCCACAAACCTACAACGAAACATGAGAACTAAATTAAAGTTTTTGCATTACTCCAAAAGAATATATTACTAATATTATACTAACTGGATTTTGGGCAATAGTCTCAGATATTGCATCAGATGTATCCATATATTCAGCTCTTTTCTTAGATTCTTCCACTATATAAGAGATGCAAGTCCCAAAAACAAATATCAGCATAAAAGAAACTGACATAATAAAGAAGTAAAAATAAACATAATTCCTACGACCTATACATTATCCAATCCAAGGACAATGATGATCAAATCTAACTACACAATTATCACAAGAAGGACAATGAGAAGCTCTTGCTGGTCTATAAATTGCACCTAATATATATTAAATGATGATCAAATACAAGTTGGGCAATATTTTAATTTAAATTGATGAGCTTTTATTATAAACATTTTAGAATCGACAATAAATCTGTAATCTAATTTTGAATATTTTTAAGGCACTTTAAGTAGTTCTTCTTGCATTTCATATTCTGGTCTCTTTTTATATAAATAAAAATTACAATTTTTGGAATTATGCCTGGATCCATACAAACTGTTATTGATAATAGTACATAAATGGTAAGTTAAATTATTACAAATACAACAGTATACCCATTTTATCCATTTTTAGCAAATTCCTAACTATGAATTATTTATTACAGGTGACATAAATATATAAAATAGAATTGATGGAATTGTAATAAAACTAACACTTGCTAATAATTTATGATTCTCGGAACTAATAATTTAATTATTAATCAGAGATACCCAGTAAATATTTTTCCATTACAAAATATTTTATTTGCTGTTTCCCATAATTCATAAAATTATTTTTTAACTCTTGGGTCTTGGTATTTTTTCATCAAATATTTTTATTATATTATGAAAAATTAAAATAAAAATTTTCAAATTATATAAACATTATTCATAATAGAAGAAGTATTTATAACTTTATATATTTCATAATATTCATTTAATTATTCATATATGTTATAATTATAATATATGTAAGTAATAAATTCATATATATATAAATTATATTCATCTTAAAAAATAACAATTGAATGCTTAATTTTTTAAATCTATTTTCTTAGAATATTTGAATATAAAGAAATTAACTAAATTTTTAAAGATCATTTATTCAAAAAATAGGATTTTTATGATCAAAATTCAAATTTTATCAGTTTAATGTCTTTTTTTAATGCGAATTATTTTTGACTATATGATATTCGATTGAGCTCTTTTAATCAACTAATTTTCCCCTTTTTTATAACCTAAATAAATGTCTAAGTCTTTTTATAATTCTTAAAAATTATAAGATATTATTGGAAGATATTCTATAAAATGAATGTTCTTAAGAGCTTCTTTTAAAATACCAGAAAAATTCTTCAAAGTTTCAACAAGCAAATTCCAGATTTTGAATTAATTCTAATCATCATTTTCAAGTCTTTCCAATAGAGATTTAATTGGTTAACATGATGTTTACAATCTCTTTGAATATTATTGTACAATAAATGGTGCTATTTCTAGTTCATCAATTAATTCTATATTTTAAATTATAGCATGAGTTATATCAAAAATAGGATGATCATTATTTATTAAATCACAAGTTGAAATAGTAGGAGAGATTTTTATTTTTTTCTGAAGAACATGCAGTACCCATTTCTATTTTAATAATTTTATAATCATAATCAGATATTTTTGGAGTGTATGAGTGATATTAGTTTAGGGATACAGTACAACATATAATTACTAAAAAAGTCCTCGCTAATAAAGTGCTAGAAAATAATTCACTTAATAATAAGTCAAATACTTCTACAATTCAAATATATTCGCAGATAGACAACAGAATTACGATCCATCTCTATTCGACAGAAGCAAAATTCTGAAAGAAGCCAAAACTCACTAACAAACATACAGTCCTCCAATATCCCCGAAAGTCTAAAGAATGGATAGATCACCATAACCATAAATAGAGTTGGATATTATAACTGGTTTGCCTATAACTGAGAGAAATTCCATAATAAGCAAAAAGCTTATTACTAAGCCAATGCAAGATAAACAAGAGTACAATATGGAAAATAAAATATAAAAAAAGAAAGAATTTGAAATCCATTAAGAAGATAAGAAATATGCTAGTTTATATTTTGATAATAAAGTATATTCAAATTATTAAAAATAGAAATAATATGAATAATGGTTAAAATAGAATAAAGAATATGAAGACATCAATTATTTTTAGAAGAAACAACCTAATAATGTTACTAAAATTGAAGGTAATAGTTATTTCAAGATTCATGGAAAATAATGCATTCAATCTTAGCATAAATGATAATAATATATACTTTATTTTCAAAATATAACCCATCACTTTCTTAATATATTATTATTAAATTAATATGATTACTGATATAAATTATATAAAATTAACTAGAACAATCAATTTTTTTAAGAAATGTAGAATAAATAAATATTTTGATGATCTTCTTATTAGATAAAAAATCATTATAATGAATGATTCAGATTTGGTGTAATTATTGGATCATGTTTACGGACAGATTAATCTTCTATTTAATTTAACAATTGTTTAGGTTAACTCAATAAGAAAAAGTCTTGTATATGAAATGTTTAATTGTCATCTTCTAAATTTTCCTCTTAGCATTAAGCCAATGCTTATTCTAAATCTTAATTTAAGTTCTTATTAGGTGGCTTTAATAAGATTCCCATAGAATGACTTTCTTATAACTTTTTACGGCCAAAATGATTCTATAGGAATAATTATATTCTTGAAAGTTCATAAATGATATTAATATAAACAAGTCTTTTTTAAGCTTATTCTACTAAAATAGAACATGCTTTTTTATCATAATTTACCTTAGATTTTTTGATTTATTTATAATCAGTGAAATAAAAGCTTAATACTTAATCTATAAAAGTATGTTCTAATAATTTTTCATTGTAGTATAATATTATATACTTCAAAATCATAAGCATATTTACAATTGAACCAACTTAGGCTAATACTTCTCCAAGTTTAGGATAAACAATATTTAGTTCTTCAGAAACAGGATCAAGACGAAAAATCATATTAAAATATGTGTCCATACCTATTATTTTTTTCCAAAAACTTATAGAAGCTGATGTTGTCAAAATATAAGCATCTTGTACAAAAGTTTCTTCTTGGATAGAATTTAATATTATGCCACTGTCAATAAAAGCTTAAGTTTACTTTAGCAATATTTAACTTTAAGTTGAAATTGCTTTATCTAATGAAAAATAGTATGTCTTTTTAACAAATTCAAATTCTTCTTTTTAAGAATTAAACTATTTTAAATTAATCTGAAATGCCATATAATTCACAGCAGAATCAAAGAAATGATCAATTTCCTATTAACTTGCACAGGTCTAATTTTCAGATAGATATGTTTAATTGCATCTAACAAATACAAGCATCATTTCTCTCACATTTTCTTTAGATGTGCCTTTACTATTTTAAGACAATTTAAACTGATTTAATCCAAATTTTTTAGTTCCATAATAAGAAAGTGATTCTACCTAAGATAGAAAAGAAAATATTGTTGTCGGTTAACCATCTTCAAAATAAATACCTAAAGGTGTTAATATGTTANATAACCCATCACTTTCTTAATATATTATTATTAAATTAATATGATTACTGATATAAATTATATAAAATTAACTAGAACAATCAATTTTTTTAAGAAATGTAGAATAAATAAATATTTTGATGATCTTCTTATTAGATAAAAAATCATTATAATGAATGATTCAGATTTGGTGTAATTATTGGATCATGTTTACGGACAGATTAATCTTCTATTTAATTTAACAATTGTTTAGGTTAACTCAATAAGAAAAAGTCTTGTATATGAAATGTTTAATTGTCATCTTCTAAATTTTCCTCTTAGCATTAAGCCAATGCTTATTCTAAATCTTAATTTAAGTTCTTATTAGGTGGCTTTAATAAGATTCCCATAGAATGACTTTCTTATAACTTTTTACGGCCAAAATGATTCTATAGGAATAATTATATTCTTGAAAGTTCATAAATGATATTAATATAAACAAGTCTTTTTTAAGCTTATTCTACTAAAATAGAACATGCTTTTTTATCATAATTTACCTTAGATTTTTTGATTTATTTATAATCAGTGAAATAAAAGCTTAATACTTAATCTATAAAAGTATGTTCTAATAATTTTTCATTGTAGTATAATATTATATACTTCAAAATCATAAGCATATTTACAATTGAACCAACTTAGGCTAATACTTCTCCAAGTTTAGGATAAACAATATTTAGTTCTTCAGAAACAGGATCAAGACGAAAAATCATATTAAAATATGTGTCCATACCTATTATTTTTTTCCAAAAACTTATAGAAGCTGATGTTGTCAAAATATAAGCATCTTGTACAAAAGTTTCTTCTTGGATAGAATTTAATATTATGCCACTGTCAATAAAAGCTTAAGTTTACTTTAGCAATATTTAACTTTAAGTTGAAATTGCTTTATCTAATGAAAAATAGTATGTCTTTTTAACAAATTCAAATTCTTCTTTTTAAGAATTAAACTATTTTAAATTAATCTGAAATGCCATATAATTCACAGCAGAATCAAAGAAATGATCAATTTCCTATTAACTTGCACAGGTCTAATTTTCAGATAGATATGTTTAATTGCATCTAACAAATACAAGCATCATTTCTCTCACATTTTCTTTAGATGTGCCTTTACTATTTTAAGACAATTTAAACTGATTTAATCCAAATTTTTTAGTTCCATAATAAGAAAGTGATTCTACCTAAGATAGAAAAGAAAATATTGTTGTCGGTTAACCATCTTCAAAATAAATACCTAAAGGTGTTAATATGTTATTTTATTAGTTAAAAGGATCTGATTATTAGTCTGAGTATTTCCAATAAAAAAATTCAAATAGGATAGCATCTTGATCATATTATAATTCAGAAGCTAAATTAGCTTTCATTGTGCTAGTTGACTTTGGAAGCAAACGAAATTAAATCCACTCATTCAAAATGTAAATCAAATACCCCAAACTTGTTGTTAAAATCAAAAGGGATGTAATTCCTCCAAATACTGACTTCTGACTTTTAACATTAAGATGGATTTATTATCTGAACTCCACTCCAAAAATATCTATAAAAGATAAGTAATTCATTAATAAATTATAATTTTTAATAAATTTCTCCTGATCCACTTTATGATATATATAATGAATTCCTGGTTAGTGAGTTTTAAACTCTAATTTTACATTATAAGAGTAGAGATTAATTTTAATGAATAGAAGATTTTATCAATAATAAACTTTATAAAATTTAATTACAGATTTTAAATAAAATTTAACTAGTTCTTTAATTTTGTTTCTAAATAATTTAGTTTATAATATAAAGATGTTAATATGATTATGTTTGATATTATTATCTTAATATATAGATTATTTTTCTTATATGTTTAAAGAGTAATATAATTCCTAATGAAAGTAGTATTAATTGTAAATATAATAGTTATTGTTTATATGATATATATAATTATTTTAAATCATTCGCTCTTTAGTTCATTTAGTAATTGCTTATTAATTTTATTTTATTTCCTAATATGAATTTATATAATAATTTCTTACTTTCCTTAAAACATTTCAATTTTCAGGATAAATTCACTAATTTTGATTTCTGCATTATTTTTTAAGACAATTAGATCTGATTCCTACTTTTTTTCTGCTTATTCTATTGTTGACAATGAAACCCAAGTACCATTAGCAGAATCTCTTTCTTTAGATCCATCAAATATTATCCATGATTTCAGGCTAAATTAATTTGCAATAATACCTTTTTGAATATTTAAATCTACTCTATTTCCTTGATATAGTATTTGAGTTAATTTTAACATGGTTTTCTTAACCTCTTCCTATTTAAAATTCAATGGAATCCTAATTTTCTGGATGAATAAAAAGATTATAATTTTTTCCTGTATCAATACCAGATCCATTAAATTTGATAGAAATAATAGATATTTTATATTCTTTTAGCTTATTATAAATTTCTTTATAATCTTCAGTTTTAATTTTTAATTCTTCAATATCATCTTCTTATGTTTATATTTTCTAAAATCTCTCAAGGAAACTTTAACCACTAAAATGAATTTCATGTTTTAATTGTTTAAGTCGACTTATTTTTCTTAATAATCTATAGAATTAATCATCTATTTCAATTCCTTTCTCTTTATAAGATTCACAAAATAGGACATTAAAATGTGTATCACTACCAATACTATACTTTTGATCATATTTCATAATATTAGGTTCATTTTTTTATATTTTAAAATGAGTTCCACATAAACTACCTAAATCTTAAACATAAGCATGTCTTGGATATCTAAAAACATTATTAAAAATAAATGTACTCTAAAAATTAAGAAATGATCTACATAGCCCTTTTAGGTAATGGAAAATTAGATGAAGTTCTTATGTTTTATATTGCTAATATATAAATTAGTTTAATTTTTTATTCTTTTCTAAAATAATTTTTGCACACTAATTTACAATGAATTCTAGAGATAATTCTATCTTCTGGAAGCACTAAAAATTTAAAGAGTTATTACTTATATCATTTGGAATGATTTCTGTTCTATGAGATCTTCCTATAAGGATGTCTTCAGAATCAGCATTTTTATGAGACCCAACGAGACTAAAATTCCTTGTAAAATTTACCCTTGTTAATTTATGAAGTATTCATTTGAATGAATAGTATTTGGATAATTAATATTTCTCAACACAGTAACTTTTATATATGGTTCATTTTTGTTTAATTCCTCATTATGAATTGGAATGGCTCTCTTTTACATATACTTATCAAGGTTGGAATTCTTTTATCTGAATTAATTGAAATTATAACCTAGGAGATGAAGGTTCTCGTCTACTTTGATTTTAAATATAAAGCATAAATTCTTCGTCTTAATTAGATGACCTTGAAGTAAATGCATTCATTCTAAAAAATTATCTTTATTGTTATTCTCCAATAGGATAGAAATTGAGAAATTAATTAAATTGAAATGAAGATCCAAACTCTAAAAATTGCTCTAAGTCTAATAATGGATGAGGAAATGGGGAAAGAAAGTTATTTTAGTTATTGTTGTTGTTGTTGTTGTTGTTTGGATTATTATTATTATCATTATTCATTATAATAATTAATGATCTTATTAATAATTTATTTAATTACCTGTGTAATTTTTGTAAACAAGAACAAAATCTAAATAATTCTTATACAACCTCAATTTACTAAGACTCAATAAAAGCAATCATAATAAAAGAGACTTTCATCAATACTAAACTCTTTTGGAACAAAGTTTGACTAGATTAATAATCAAAGAACAACTTGATTAAATGTAAGAAACACCATATTCAAGTATATTTTCACTCTCATTTAGATATATCAATTCTTAATTGAATGAAATAATTTTTACTAATTAAATTGTGTGGTAATGATTATGATTATTGATCTTTTAAAAAGATGGATGAAAATTTAGTTAAAGTATTCATATAGCTTTTAGAATAATGGTTATATTATCCTTCTAAATAAATACTACTTAAAAATTAAATTAAAATGTATTTAATGGATTAATTGATATAGAATAAGTAAAAATAGTGATATTTTGTAAATTGAAAATATCAAGGAAAACATAAGGAAAATCTCCTGTTATTGTTTAAGAATACTACACTAAGAGACTTGGTATTATTTGTAAAATAATCTCTATTAATGAAATCCTAGAGGTTAATTCATAGTTTCTTTACTAATTATTGATGCTAGTAATTTGGAAGATACTTGCACTCAATGAATAATAATTGAAATTCAATGATAATGTTTTATTTTATATTAAAAGCTGATTTCAACTTCTTCTCATTCTTCTATCTCTTTTTGATGGATCCTATCCGTTTCCAACACAATTTTAATCTTAATATGTATAAATGTTTGGGTATGGTTATTTATCCTCAGCTTTTCTATTCTCTTCTGTCAAATGATCAGCAAATTTCTAAGAGATATAAGAGTTCTAATTACTGATAAATGTTTTCTTGCTTGATTAGCAGATGTTTCCTCTTTTTTCTATCCACCTAAATCAGTGTTAGGTAAACATGATTCACCTTTAAGTTATATAAAATTATACCTGGTTTCATAGATAAATTATGACCCAATTAATGTTTGGTATGTCTTAAGTGTTGATGTCTTGCTTGAATAACAAAAACAACTAATAATATGAGAATTATTTGTTTAATCATTAATATATATATTATTAATCTTAATCAATTTAAAATGCAGCTCTCATATGTTGGTATCATATATTTTATGTTTATATAAGCATCCTATTAAATTATCCATCAAATTCTTACTTCTCCTCCTGTTTATTCAAATAATTCAAGTGTTTCTTATATCAAATCTCCAATAATAACTCTTTTTCTTTGGTTATATTCAATTTTATCACCTAAATTTTAATTATTATTTTTATATAAGTTCATTATTGGTAATAATTATCTGTAGTAAGGAACTAATACATATTTATATAATATACTCACCTAACGCTTCACCTACCATTTCCCCACTTAATACAAGTTTTTGTAATACTTTTAATTACACTTCCATAATACTTGGATCTCTTGTATTTAAATTAGCTATTGATTATAAACAAATACAATTACTTTTAATTGGAATAATTAATTATGGAATTACAGGTAATATTTTATTACCTCCACTTTCCAATAAACCATAAGTTCCCAAAATAGCTAAAAATCTATAAGGATCCATTTTTTCCTTAAGTTTTTAATAAATTTATCATACTCTTAATCCATCAAAAAATATTGGTAAATAATGATGATAGTCTAATTATTCTGGTGATATTTTCCATATAATTCTATTGACACTTCCTTAATGATCAACCTATTCAATATAGTTTTATTTAAATTACTTTTATTGGTAAATCTCCTCTATCATAATATCTCCTGAAATCTGAAACTGTAATGGTTCTTTAATCATAAGCTCCTGCTTTTGGTGGTGCTGGTTTATATTCTTCCTTCTTTAATAATTATGAACTTGTTCTTCCCCCTGTTCCCTAATGAGTTCCTTAATATTTATCTATAAATGCTAAATTACAATTCTTACTTGTTATCAAAGCATTTTAAGAAGTTTCATGAACGGGTTCATTCACTTTTTATTTGTTGGCTTTCTCCTTTGGAATGTATTCTTTTGGAAAATCACCAAATGGTGAATGAGGATTCTTTGGAGCATAGGGTGTCTTCCATGCTTTGTAATTCTAAATAGTTTTGAAATAATCATATACTTGATTTTCTTGTTTTTTTAGTATATTTTTTAAATGATCTTCGACAATCTATTAAGATGCCAAATTCTCTTTTCTTCCAACTGCTTATCCTTATATTTTAGGTAGCATTTAATTATTTAATTTTTATTTATGCAATAATTCTAAACCTCCATCCTTGATAAAGACATGTTATTATAAACTGATGGTTCTCTCTATGTAGGAACCATCATTAGAGGCAATCTCTAAGGTTTTGGTTTACTTATAAACCCTGATGGATGTAAATACAAATCAATATCATTTAGCATATTATTATGGGGAATTTAAAGACTCTTAACCAATAAATATAGGAATCTATAAGTTATAGAATTCTTGTATTAAATTACATTTTGATGACAATTCAAATTTGATTGACTCTGAGAATATTCATAATAAAAGTTTTCTATATAAAGTGATCCCTTTTAAGAACAACTCTTATGGTGATAAAATCCTTATCAAAAGGTATACTAATATGATTACATATGGAATAACAAAGAAAGGTGAATATGATGGATTTTGTGTTCAGCATTCTAAAAATGGAGATACCTTTTATGGATAAATTATTAAAGGTAAGAAAGAAGGGGATGCTATTGAATTCAAAAGTAAAAAATAATAATGGTTTTGGTTAATCTATAAAGAAGACATTATTTAATAATAAAAATTTTATGGAGACAATTTTGTACCAAGAGATTTGATAAGTAATTATTAAATACTATTAAATTTTAGCTGAATTATTTTTTTCTATTCATAATAAAATTCCTAATCCTTGTAAAGTTGTATCATTAGCTAATATTTAATTTAGTATCAATAATATCATACTTAATATGAATCTTGAAAATTCAATTAATGAAGAAATTGATAATTGTGAAAATAGAAGACCAAGATAATTTGAAAGTTTAATTGAAGAAGATTAAGTACAATTTGATAATAATGAATAATTTAAAGAACTTTAAGATTTTCATGCTGATAATTTAAGTAAACTCACTTAAACAGAAATATAATAAGCTAAAATTAGAATTGGTAGAAGTTCAAGTTGCTTAATTAGTTCTTCTGATAATCTATAAACTACTTAAAATATTAAAGACATGGTCAAAACTAAAATCATAATTAAACGATCCACTTCTCCTATACTAACTACAATTAGACCCTTATTTTCTGTTATTAGAGTTTGAATATTTATTATTGTGTTTTTTGTGTTTGTAGAAACTTTATTATATACAAAACTAAGGTATTCTTTTTTTATTATAATTGTATAAATAATTATGTTCAAAGTCAAGATTCTCCAATTATTTGATTCCTTTGTATTAAATACTGTCGGGCCATACTATAGGAGAATTGGAAAAAGCTTCCTTTCACAAGGAAATGATATGCTTGGAAGCGAAGCTAGTGATGATCGTTTAGTGTAGTGTTTGAGATAAGTACAAACTAATGGTTAAACTCCATAAATCAGTGAAGCATTATTTACTGCCCCTAATTCTGTTTTAGTTGGAAACGTTATTTTAAAGCAGAAGTACTATTAGATATGTTAATCATTAGCTCCTCTGTTTGGTATGGTGCCACATTGCGTGCTGATTAAAATGCTATAACAGTAGGCAAGAATGCTTTAATATAAGATAATGTCTATGTAAAAGCAACATAACCAGTGACTTTAGGAAATAACTCTTATGTAGGACCAAATTCAAATTTATAAGGATGTTTAATTGGAGATGATGCATTTATTGGAATGGGATCAACAATTAAATAAGGTGCTTCTGTTTAAGGAATTGTTGCAGCTGGATCCCTTGTACCAGAAGGCACTCAAATTAAATAAGGGGAAGTTTGGGCTGGATCTCCTGCCAAATATTTAAGAGACATTACACCTCAAGAATTACAAATCCTTAAAGAATATAAATAAGAATTAATGGAATTAGCATAAGTTCATGGTGAAGAGACATCAAAGAGTTTCAGATAAGTATTTTAAATATTCATTTTAGATCGTTATTGATACAGATGAGAGATTATTAAAATAATCAAGAGGAAATGAAGAAGAAGCTTTGTAAAAAATAGCAGAATTGAATTTCCCTTTAGAATATGAAGATGAAGAATTTATTGAATAGAGAGTATTTATGAAATAATAACCACCTATGTTTATGGACTCTGAAAATCTTTTTAGTCAATAAGATTAATATGAATAGGATCTAAATTAATTTTCTGAAAGTAATCATAAATATCAATCAATTAGATATGTAAAAATATGGTGAAGATTATCAAATTTATGAGGAGGCTAAGAAGTACTTTGAGCAAAACCCATAAGCTAAAGCTAATCAATTCTAACCAAAATCTGAAATCCCTGATGATCAACCATGGAGTAGAAAATATTGATTTATTAAATATCAAACAAAAATTTCATCAAAACTCTATTATATTTTGAGAATTGACTATTTTATATCATCAATTCAAAAATATATCAATAAATTGCTATTTAAATACTATTTCAAAAGCACATTTTTTTTAATAATTTATTTATTAAACAAATGATGAATATAAAAGGCCGAGTTTTAATTTTAAATAATAGTAGAAGCAATTCTCTATTATTTAGAATATGACATAAATATTCGGAGGGTATAACAACTATCGCTGAGTAATATATAAAATTACTTTTTAATTGATTCATTTTCAAAATATCTTCTTTTTTTAATGAATCTAAATTCCCTAATTAATTGATATATTTTTGATGTAAATTAGTGAACAAATCTCTAGTAAAATAAAATATTATAAATATCTTTAACAATTTCAACTTAATATATATAATTAATTAGAAATAAATATTTATAGAATAAAATGTTCTTCATTTAATAGATATTCTTATATTATAATGATTTTCAAGGTAGTCTATTTGTAATATTAACACATTCTTTTACAAATTATTAATTCAATATATATATATATATTTAAGTTTATTTTACTTCCTAATAATTAGAATGATAGATGTTGACAAATTAATAAGATAATACTCAAACATAATACTAATCTATATTAATAAGTAATAGAAATGATTTTTTGTTCTTTAATTTTAAGTTTTAAAAAAGAAAACAGAAAAATAATTTATTCTTGCATACATGCTTTACATACAAAAAAGAGCAAGAATATGATATAAATACAATAAAAAAATAGAAAGAATTAATCAATTTTTGTATTTTCTAAAGAAAAAAAAAATCATCAGATTGTTTGATTATATTATCAGAAACTTAGTATTATATCAGAGAGCAGTCAGTTTTTAGTAACAGAAAGAGAATTTTTATACCTTAATAATGAAAATAAATGTAAAAAAGTGTTAAAATAAATGAGAAAGCTGATGATTAGAAGCATAATATATTCGTTTGAATAAATTATACATTAAAAACAAATATGGTTATTATAATGTATACTAAATAATAACCACAACTAATTGCAGGATGTTATGTCATGATAAAATTTCAATATAAAATGTATTTTAATTTTATTATTCAATTTTTTATTTGTATTAATAATCTTAGAAATATCTTAATTTGATAATTTGAAATCATTTAAAGATTAAAAATACATATAAAATAATTTTGATTGTTAGAATGTCATCAGAAAAGGAATATTTTATTAGATTAAAAATATAACACTTTTTAAATGATTTAAGCAACTAATAAGTGTTGAAATTATATTAAAAATCAAATGTATAAAATAATATATTTGGATTTTATGAAATATAAGATTAATATTAGATTATTAAATAATTTATGAATTTTATATTGATTCTATTTATTGCCTCAATTAAAGCACTTCCATTATATTTGGCTGTCTTTGCAGATGATTAATAAGAATCTAAGGTCTATATGAGATTAAAAGTATTGGATGCAGTTAAAATATTAATGAATCGTTATCCTTAAGATTAAGATGTTTAATGTAAGAAATTAATTAATTAAAGATATGTACTATGAATTAATTAATAATAAAACATATAGATCTCCTCCTAATCTTCACATCACTACATTTTATATAGGAGATAATAAAGATGCAGAATAATCAGTATATTATAAAAATTTCACAGTAAATCTTCCTTAAGAAATGAAAATTTATGCTGTAGCATTATTACCAAAGAGAGTGATTGCTTGTGTTGTTAAAAGATAAGATTATGCAGTTCCAATAGAGAACAAATTTCCACATATGACTACTTTATTAGGAAATTGGACAGCTGTTGATTCTAATGTATTGATGGCTAGCTTATTTGATGACTATGGACCATTGAATAATATTTATGATAGCTTGTTTGAACAATCAGAAATAAAGGTTTACAGTACTTTAATAAATGGAAAAGGTGAGAAAAATTTACCTGCATATGTAGTTAAAATGCCAATAAGTATTGATGGATAAACCTAATATGGTTTTCAATGATTTTTAATTTTATAGAAAATGATTAAATTTATTAATTATCATTATAGATTTCTAAATTATTATGCAACTTTTTCCATTTCTTAGTTATTTAATGATTTTCCAATTAAATCTATTTTTAATGGAGCCAAACATGCATCAACAACATCTTATAAATCTATTGAAGTATCAACTTTGAATTCATTGAAGATTTTTCCAATAAATGATTATTAAGGAATTAATCTAGAAGCATTATCATGTACACATTTCCATATTGCCAAATCATATTTTAAAGGAACACTCCACCATCTTTGAGTCAAACTATATATGAATCCTGGTCTAACTATAATTGGATTAAGTTATTATTACTAAAATATATATTTTCAAAAATACTTGATATAGACTCAAAATATGTTATTCTACTTCTTATTTTGTAGTTAAATATCTTTTTAAAAAAGGTGGATGAGCAGAACCACTCACATATACAAATTTTACATTTGTATTGATTAATTCTTTCACAACATTTAAAGCTGTATCTCTATTCATTTATTCATAAGTGCCTTGATCACCTCTAAATTATTGAATATCAAATATACGGTTTTTTATTATTTAAAACTGATGAGTCAATTAATGTTCCAATTGTATGAATAACAATATCACTTTTTTGCAAAATATCTTTAAATTCATGTGCTTTCATTGCATCACCTTTAATCCAATTAACTTCTCTAGTCCAATTTTATTGAGTTGTAGGTTATCCACTTCTAGAAACTCCATTTACTATAGCACCATATTACAATGCATTTTTTATTACATTAGAACCTACATATCCAGATGATCCTATAACTGTGATTACCTTTCCACTTAATGGTTTAAGCATTTAATAATTAAATTAATAATCCTTTATTGATCTATCATTCAGAATTATATTATTCTCAAACTCTTACAACTTTTAATAAATTAATTATGGTTATAACATGAAAAAAAGAATAATAATATTTATTTATTTTATAAATCTCTTGATCTATCATTAAAGGAAAATATGAACAATAGAATTTCTTCAATAAATATTTAATATTAAAAATAACTAAAATTATGATACATGGAATTTTTTGAAAACATTATTAAATCATTATTACATCATTTATAATTATGAGGTGTAACCATGAAGTTAACTAAACCAGTTTCCTGATCTTTTTTATACTTTCTAAATGCACTTGGACTATAACCACCAATTCCAAATTTATTTGATGGTGATTTATAATCCTTTTAAACTTCAAAAGCATCTCCAATATTGATTTCCAAATCTGAATCTTATGTTGTCTATTAATTATATATATATTTATCAGCATTTGCATCTACAATTTATTTGTTAATATACTAATTTTTTGCTGTAATTACTAAGCTATTGTATCAAGAGTTTTCTCTCTACATTAAGTGTAAGGTTTTGTAATTACAATAGGCACAAAGCTTGATTTGCTTAAGGGATTATCATCATGTAAGCCTTATTCCTCCAAATATGAATTAGTAGGTTTCTAAAAGAATATCTACCTTGGAGTTAATACAGGAAAGGCTGGAGTCATTTATTAATTATTAGGACTATTGTTACCTTAATAATCATAGATGTATTATTAATTATAATTGTTAGAAGATTATTACTATATTATAATAAAATTAGACTTACTTCTTCATTATCCTGTTAGATTTCAAATTCATCACGAATAATATTGAAAAGAGGACCTTTTTTAGTTCTGATACATATATCTATATAATCTTCTTTATCAATATGCTAAATAAAATGAAAATTCTACCACTTTCTTTTTTGCATTTAGTCTAGAAGATCTCTTAAGAGGAACCTAATTACTTATTTCTTGTTATTTGTAATCACTAGTATAATCATCATCATCATCATCATCATCAATTCTACTTTTTCTCTTCTTATGATTTTTCTTCTTTAATTTTAATCTGCTTTCTCTTTATTTAGTGTAAAGAGTACTGATAATAATTGCAAGAAATACTTAAATTCCATTATTTTGTCAATAAGTTATTTGAACTTGTCTTCATTAAATTAATTAATGTGAGATTTCTATTTGGATTATGCGAATTCTAAGATGGAGTCTTATAATCCTTTACAAGCTTAACATAACTTTTTCATATGATCATCTTTTAATTCAGATGGATTTTTTTCTGCAAGTATAAATATCTTAGATAAGACTCCTGGCTTAATATCCTTGATCTGCTGGGTACCCTTTTCTTTGCTAAATATATAATCATGCAGATTACTATTCTTGTCTCCAATAAGTTTATTGATTCTTCTAAGACTTCTTCTTAAAGTAGAATAGAAATGATTTTTTATAGCATTATCTGTTCTCCCAGGTAACAGTTTCGCAATTTCTGCCTAAAAATTTATTTAACTTTTTCATACCCACTTATTGCCATGTTCTTTGTGTGCGACAAAGATCACTTTTTCTTCATTTTCACTCCAAGGCTCTTTATTAATTGTTGGATCAAGATGATTATGATAGCGTTCTCTACATTATTTTCCAGACCTTCCAAATAATCCATAAACTTCTTTCATCTTTTCAGCCACTATTGTCCATTTCTTTATACCATACTGCTTAACTAATTAAAGAATTGCCATGTCTTCCTAAAATAATTAAATCTTAAGGTTACATACTTTTTAATTCCAAGCCTTTCTATCTGTCATATTTAAATAATTAATTAATTAACTTTATCCATAATTATACTTAAAAATCAAAAAGAACATTCAAGAACTATTATTATTTTGATACTTCAAAATGAATAGGGTATGAATATTGAATAAATTTATTTTAATTGTCTTTTTAGCTATTAAAATATAATTAGATTTTTAAATATGAAAATTCTTCAAAATATTTGATGTGTTTAATTGATTCATGAATAATAATTAAAAATACTTCAAATTTAATGAATCATAAATGATGATTAATTATAAATAATTTCAACAGCAACTTGATTCAGATCTTGGATTTAATTCACTACCCTTAGGAGTTGTTGTATTAGAGATTAAGGCAATTACTTTTTAGTTTTATTACAATTGAATTTAAGATGTACTTATTTTAAAACTCTTATAAGCTTATTAATCTGGACATAAATTATGATCCTATTTAGCCTTTGCTCCTAATTCAAAAGCTGATTGAAAAGCTTCCTTTATACCTTCTCCAGTTTTAGAGGATGTCAAAAAGATAGGAAAATCATTATTAAAATTAGCTTTCCATGCAATTTAAATTTACTAAAGTTATTCTTAAGTATATTTGTTAGGTAGATCCTTTTTTGTCCCAATAATAACCATTTAAATATTTTAAGGTGCTTCTTCTCTTAATAACTAAATCCAACTGGCTACATTATCAATAGAACTGGAATCACTTAAATCAAAACAAATCATAGCTGTATTTGCATCCTATAAATATCTTCTGTGAATGCATATACTTTTGATGAAAATTTGACCATCTTTTAATATATTTCTTATCCAGCTGTATCCCATATTGCAATATCATAAAATTGATTGTTAATTTTTACATTCTTCTCCACATTCAAATCAATACCAACAGTATTGACAGAATCTTAAGTGAATCTGTCTGTTTTAAATTTGATTATTAAACTGGTTTTACCAGCATCTGAATCTCCTATAAGAATAATTTTTAGATTTTGATTTTCTTCCATATTAGTTGATAAATAATTAATATACACATTTCAATCAAAATCCAATTTACCAATCACTCCATTTAATGGCTTTGTATCAACTTCTGATGTGTCATCACTCATAGAACTCACATTACCTGAAGATGAAGAACTTGTATCTTATTATTTACAGATGACAATAGAAAGTCCTCCAAACTTTTTCTTATATTGGTTTTATTAATTAATAGAATTTAAAGTTCCTTCTTACCTTTCTTATATAGCAGGTAATTAATGTTGTGTAGTATTTCTACTATTTGGGAATGGAAAATGTTTCATTGTTTATTTTCCTTATCTATCTGGAGAGACAGTATCTGTAATTGAATCTTGTTTTTTTATTTATTAAATAAATGCCATATTATCAACACTACCTGCATGTTTTAATTTACTAATTCTAACAGGACTTGTAGATGTACTATTTTTATGTTTAGGTTTTAGTAAATGAATCCAATCAAATTATAATTGTAAGTCATTTTAACCTAATAATTAAAAAAATGGTTGTTTCAATAGATCATAATTTGGAAATTCATGAGGTGATAATAATCTGATGGCATGATATAATTATAAAAATTATTCTGGGAATCCTTTTAATTCTCTTTCAGGAACAAATCTCTATTTTAATTCATAATAATATTTAAGTTTTTCTTAACGTTTCACATTTGGTTAAGAAGGTAAGAATTTACCTGATGTAATTATGTGTAATAGAATATAGAATAATGATTCTAGATCATCTCTTGGACAAGGAACTTTAATATAAAAATATTAAAATACATTATTTTAAATGTGTTCCAATAGATGAGAATTTATTGATATAAAGGTTAAGTTTATTTTTGTTATGGAGTAAGATTTTTCCGTTTTTATCCATATATTTTGAGGAATATTCAAAATGTGTAAAATATATATCAGATGAGAGAGTAGTAATTAGATTGGATAATTTTAAGCATCGATGAATTATATTTAACGAATGTAATTATGAGAGATGAGTGATCTTAAATTAGTTAACACAAAATTACCATTTTCAATGCAATTAAAGCAATTGTTTATATTGAAAATTTACGCTTCATCAATTAAAAACACAATTTCAATGAGGGTCCTGCTTTCTATTGTACAATGTAATGATAAGATGTTTCTCCTACTTTGAGAATTCCAAATTGGTGAATGTTAGGAGTGATACCATCTTATTTAGAGTATGAATTATACTGTCACTGGTCTTTTTATATAATCTGCAATAGCATTATGACTGATTAGTAACCTATTTTTATGTGTTCCAAACTATACTATTTATACTAGTATGTCAGCACTTTTCTGATCATCTTTGATTAGTACTGCATTATAGTAAACAGAGTTTCTACCAGTATAATAAATAGATGTTAGCAAATATTAATCATCTATAATTACGGGTTTATCATTTTTAAGCATTTAGAAACTTAATTAATCTATAATAATTTAATTAACTATTTTTCAAAAATGGACATAGATAGACATATTGCTACATTACTTGGCGGAGGATGTTTACCAGAGAGAGACCTTAAACTGATCTGTGATAGAGCAAAAGAAATCTTTCTTGAAGAATCCAACGTATAACCAGTACGTGCACCTGTGAATGTATGTGGAGATATTCATGGTATTTATTATTTAATAATAATTAGGCTAATTTTATGATTTATAAGCTCTTATGAAAGAAGGAGGTGATATCTCTTCTGCAAATTACATCTTTATTGGAGATTTTGTTGATCGAGGATATAATTCTGTTGAAACTATGGAGTATCTTTTATGTTTGAAAGGTAATTATAATATTTTTAATCTTAGTTAAATATCCTGGCAAGATTATGTTACTTCGTGGTAATCATGAATCACGTTAATGTACTTAAGTCTACGGTTTCTATGAAGAATTGCTTCGTAAATATGGTAATTGCAGTCCATGGAGATTATTTATGGATGTATTTGATTGTCTTCCACTGGCAGCATTGATTGAAGGTTAAATTCTTTGTGTTCATGGTGGTTTATCACCAGATATGAGGACAATTGATCAAATAAGAACTATTGATAGAAAAGTAAAAATTTATTTATTATAATTTCTCCCATTATAGATTGAAATCCCACATGAAGGACCTTTTTGTGATTTGATGTGGTCTGATCCAGAAGAAGTTGAATATTGGGCTGTTAATTCAAGAGGAGCTGGATATCTATTCGGAGCTAAAGTAACTAAAGAATTTTGCAGACTTAATGATCTAACTCTTATTTGTAGAGCCCATCAATTAGTTATGGAAGGCTATAAATATTGGTTCCCAGTAATTCTTTAATTTTATTTTAGGATTAAAATTTAGTAACTGTCTGGTCTGCTCCTAATTATTGTTATAGATGTGGTAATATTGCTTCCATTTTATGTTTGGATGAAAATTTGACTTAAACTTGGAAGACATTCAAAGAGGTTCCTGAAAGTGCTAAAAGCATTAACCCAAAAAGTGTATTACCTTACTTCTTATGAAGTATATAATATATTTTGATACTTCTTATGAAGTATAATAATATAAAATAAGCATTATTCTATTTTTGCACAAATTATCAGTTATATGTATATCATATAACTTTTAGAGTTTGTGAGTGATATTTATATCAATACATCTTAATTAAAATGGTATGAAAATATGATATTTATATTCTTTTTCTTTTATATACCTAATAAACAGAGTATTTAATGAAGATTTTAACAGAAAACATATAATCATGTAAACTGAAAAGTCGCCATTTTAATTTTGAATACTCTAGAAATAGTTAATTTAATAATGTTATAAAATACAATTTATTCGGTGGGATGGCTTGGATCATAGCCTATCATTTCAATCTCCCTATTAAGATATCTTGTTAAAACAGATGTTGCTGCTCTTTATGCTTCTTAGTTTTTCCTTAGACTTTGGTGTATTGCTGCCTTCCTCATAGCCTTTATTTAGTAAATTTAGTGTTTTAATATCAATAGCAAAATTTTGAGCTTACAACATCCAACTAAGAATTCACCTCATGAATTAGCTTAACCATTCCGTTTTTCATTTTCTCTTGTTTTCACATGTGCAATATTCGAATTTATTCAATTAGCATTAACTATTCACGCAGTAACAATAGTATAAAATATAAGTTAGCCTATTACAGCATTGTTCACTACTTAGCTCTTTATTAATTATTCAGAGCTTTTTTTCGTAGTTGGATCAACAACGTAACACCTAATACAATATTTTGTTCGTTTTTACTAATGGGCTTAGTCTATTTATTAGAAGATTGGTTTGTACTCATTCCTGGAACTGCTTTTCAGAATAAATATCTATCTATTAAAAAATCATTTGATTGGTAACCTCTTATAATGGTTATTGGTGCAGCAGCCTCTCATACTCTTGGAATTTGGATGTTTAAGGTTTTGTCAATGAAAATGCATTAAACTTAAAAAGCCTTTATTGATAGAGTTTCATGGTCTAATTATATAGCAGATGAACCAGATAAAATCACTTATAGTTTATGTGTAGTCAATAGTTTATTTAGCAAATATTTAGAGTGTTAATTAAGAATTCATTGTGAAACTAATTCTATGTAAATAGATGGACTTTCTTAAAAGGAACTAAGAGCATTAATAAAGGATTATTTTGATAATCATTTAACTTATAGTTTTTAATATATGGAGTAATTCAAAATATTTAATTTCAATAAAGAAGGTAATTTTGATACAATATCTGATAAGCAATTGATGATCCTGCCATTTATAAAGAAGAAGACACTTTACTAAGAAGATTAATTAAGGAGAAGATATATGAAATTTAACTTTAACATCAATAATATAAAGAATTATTTGGATCAGATAAATACCTCAATCTCTAATTTGAAATTCTATTTGAAGATTATGGTATTCATGAATATATATGGGATGATGAAACTCCTTATATTTAATTGATAATTTCATTTTTTGAAGGAATCTTTTGTTTTTGTGCTGCTTTCTATAATAATGAATATGATGATTTATTTTCTAATGGATATGATGTAAAAATGTCTCATATTTCATATTATGTATGGATAACCATATTTTTGGGAGTTTTTCATTTGATAAAAATATTGTAATATTTAAAAAATAAATAATAGTTCATTTAAATTAATGTTCTTATGGAATGTTTAAACTTATTTTTTTAGTGGAATTTTCACTGAATTAATTGTTGTTTATATTACAATGCTTTGGATTGAACCAGTTGGATATCTTTAAGTTTTAGGCTTAATCTTATCATATTGTATAATGTGTGTATTGTATAGATCTGCTGAAAAAGTGAGAGATTAAAGTAAATTAATTTTTATATTTTATTAGAAAATAAATTATTCTATCTGAGTTTTATTACATTTTTAATTAGAGTATAAAAATTTACAATTAGAGAAGGATCTTAAATAATTCAAATGATGTCTTTATGTGCAGAACGATTAAGTCTCAATGAATTTTTAAAGGTTTTGGCTTAAATTCTTTGTACTCATGGAATAGTTAGTTATGATTAATTAAGATAAATTAAATTTAGTCATTTTGGAAGAAGTCCTTTTTTTTAATTTTAGATTCCATTTATATTTCAATCTCAACTTAGATATGAAAATAATATTGAAGATCCATATCTTCCTGAATTTGATGATGAATAACCACTTAGAGAAGAAGATAAATAAACAAAATTTGAAAGGTAATTATAAATTCTATTATAAAGATATGTTATTGATAGTAAATATGAAAATGAAAAATAATAAATGAAAGATGAAGTCAAATAGGCAGTAATGGAAATAAGAAAATTGAATAAATCAAAGATAATCTAAAGCAATATCTAATAATCAAGAATTGTTTAAATTGATGAACATCAAGAATGAATTTCATGAAAATAAAATTGTTAATTCTAATGAATATTTTCATTAGTCTATGTATATTTATCCATTTCCAAATGATTATTAAATTGCACCCTCAATAAATAAGAATTCAATAGGTCTACTTCTCATACATTTATTAGTAACTGTATATGCAGTAGTTCCATTTTCTTAAATTAGACTCAATGATCCTTTTTCAGGTAAATGAATAGATAAAACTTCAAAAGGTAATCCAAAGAAGGTTACATTATCTCCTGGACATGATTTTGCATGTTAACCCTTGAAATTGCATTCACTAAAAACATAAATACAACCATCTTAAAATGTAGTCACTTTTTCATTGCTATAAACTTTCTTTTATGTTACAGTATTTTCAAATAGATGATAATCTGGTTTTTCTGTAGCTCTTACTGCATTAGGATTTGGTTAATCAATAATGAACATTGATTCAATAAATTTAATTGTATGTTCTTCTGTTTCAGAGGGTGTTAATTTAAGAGCCTCTTCATAATTCAATAGAGATGATAACTATTCTTTAATTGAGTCATCTGAACTTCTTCCTAAAAATGTAGGTAATCCTTTTTTTTTAATTGTATATATTTCTGTTGATAAATCCTTTTGTTATTTCACATGTTTTTATTTTTCAAGAAAACTCTCTTGAGATATTACTATAGTCAATAGCAATGCTAATATGTATAATTTTTACATATTAATAAAAACGGATTTATAATATATATAAAATATATCTATTCTTATTGATAAAATGTTAAGAATGAAGTATACCCTTCGATATTATTATCTTTTGAAAAAAAAAAATATATAAAATAAATGGATGCAAAAATTTGATTTGGGCATAAAATAATTTTCCAAAAATCTTATTCTAAATGTATAGATGATGAAAATAACAAATTTATTTTATCAATCTTCTATGTCTGCTAGAACTCAATATAATGAAGATATATAGAAACAATTAATTGAAGTAGTAGAAACATATGGAGGAAAAAATTGTAAAAGTTGGACTTAAGTTGCCCGTATTTTTGAATTAACAACTGGAATTAAAGTCTAAAACACATTTGATTTAAAAAAGAAGTTATTGAAAATTGTTATCATAGATGGGAAATGTTTACTAATTATAAAGAAGAATTATCCCAAGATGAACTAAAAGCCTTATACTCAACTGGAGTTAGATGTCGAGGGCGTCATAAAGCAGGAAATGAAGAATTCTTTAAATTGACTGGAAAAAAGTAAATATCAGTAAATATATTTAGATTGTATGTCAATCAATATAGCAAAATGGTGGGTAATTTCTTATTATAAGCCATTAAGTTATTGTGTTAGTCATTTTTCAATTAAATAAAAGTTAAATACAGATAATTAGGATAAGAAAGATTTCATAGTAGAATAAGTTATGTCTCTATACATATTCTATTAAGAGCTGTAGAAATTAATAAACATCTTGATGATTTTTTTGTTTAAGAATTGAAACAATCAGCTGAAAAATTTGAATAATTATTATTAATATAGGCTGAACATCATGAAGATGAAAGAATAGATAGATTTTAACATTATAGAAGAATAATAAATAGAAGAGAATTTAAAAAGATTGCTTTTTTTCTTGATTATGTGAATGAATTAAAATAAATTAGCATTAATTTATATTAAGAATAGATAGGAAGACATCCATTATTATATCCTTAAATTGAAGAAAATAAATCATCAAAGATATATTAATTATTAATTTGGGAAAATGATTGGTAATCAAAATACAACTTATTTTAAGAATGTGCAGCTAAATCTGATTGGGAAGAATATTCAATGTTAATTAAGAAAACAAAAAAAAATGAAGATAACAAATAAATTAAAAAAANTTTTTTTTTAATTGTATATATTTCTGTTGATAAATCCTTTTGTTATTTCACATGTTTTTATTTTTCAAGAAAACTCTCTTGAGATATTACTATAGTCAATAGCAATGCTAATATGTATAATTTTTACATATTAATAAAAACGGATTTATAATATATATAAAATATATCTATTCTTATTGATAAAATGTTAAGAATGAAGTATACCCTTCGATATTATTATCTTTTGAAAAAAAAAAATATATAAAATAAATGGATGCAAAAATTTGATTTGGGCATAAAATAATTTTCCAAAAATCTTATTCTAAATGTATAGATGATGAAAATAACAAATTTATTTTATCAATCTTCTATGTCTGCTAGAACTCAATATAATGAAGATATATAGAAACAATTAATTGAAGTAGTAGAAACATATGGAGGAAAAAATTGTAAAAGTTGGACTTAAGTTGCCCGTATTTTTGAATTAACAACTGGAATTAAAGTCTAAAACACATTTGATTTAAAAAAGAAGTTATTGAAAATTGTTATCATAGATGGGAAATGTTTACTAATTATAAAGAAGAATTATCCCAAGATGAACTAAAAGCCTTATACTCAACTGGAGTTAGATGTCGAGGGCGTCATAAAGCAGGAAATGAAGAATTCTTTAAATTGACTGGAAAAAAGTAAATATCAGTAAATATATTTAGATTGTATGTCAATCAATATAGCAAAATGGTGGGTAATTTCTTATTATAAGCCATTAAGTTATTGTGTTAGTCATTTTTCAATTAAATAAAAGTTAAATACAGATAATTAGGATAAGAAAGATTTCATAGTAGAATAAGTTATGTCTCTATACATATTCTATTAAGAGCTGTAGAAATTAATAAACATCTTGATGATTTTTTTGTTTAAGAATTGAAACAATCAGCTGAAAAATTTGAATAATTATTATTAATATAGGCTGAACATCATGAAGATGAAAGAATAGATAGATTTTAACATTATAGAAGAATAATAAATAGAAGAGAATTTAAAAAGATTGCTTTTTTTCTTGATTATGTGAATGAATTAAAATAAATTAGCATTAATTTATATTAAGAATAGATAGGAAGACATCCATTATTATATCCTTAAATTGAAGAAAATAAATCATCAAAGATATATTAATTATTAATTTGGGAAAATGATTGGTAATCAAAATACAACTTATTTTAAGAATGTGCAGCTAAATCTGATTGGGAAGAATATTCAATGTTAATTAAGAAAACAAAAAAAAATGAAGATAACAAATAAATTAAAAAAAAAACAACTTAATAATAAGTATAATAAAAATAACAATCCTATGAAATTATTAATTAAGAAACAATTGAACCTGAAACTAATAAATTAAAATAGAATTCTTATGATTTAATATCAACAGCTACACATAAGGTTTGTAATAATGCTTCCAAATAACAAATCAAATAAATGGATAAATAAGAATTAAAATCTTTTAGAGGTCATTATTATAGAGAAGGTCAAATTAGAACAAAAGGATTAACTACAATCTTATTTGATACAGATATGAGATCAGATGAAGATGAAGCAGATCAATATTAAAATATCGAAGAAAATAGAAAAGAGTTTTTTGACAAAATGGAAGAACTATATGATTATGTCTTTGGTGGAAAGGCTAATTTAGTCTCATTTGAAAAAAGCTAACCAATTCCTTATTGAATTTCAGCAATTTTCATTAATTTCACAATATTCATTTTAACTAAGTTTAGTTTTCAAGATTTTGATATAAACATAATATATAACATCTTAAATATTTTGATATATTCATAAATCTTATTTGGATTTACATTAAAATCTCTTTATTTTGACAAATTCTTTTATTCTCTCAAAAGTTTGATGATTTTTTACTTTAAAGATTAAAGATCTTAGAGAAATAAATAATAATATAAAAATGTAAAATTATTAGATAAAGAGATATTAAAGTCATATTAAAAATATAAATAAAACTCTTTAATGAATTATATTTTTTAGAATTAGTAGAAATATCTTTAAAAAAAAATAATTTTAAGAAATTAGTAAATTCTTCGATAAAGTTCACGAAATTTATCATATTAGATTATATAATGTAAAATGTAATTTATTAGAAATGATATTGAATTAAATAAAAATCATACGTCATTATAAATATTTCATCATATAAATATGTCAAATAAATTTATATCATAAGATATATTAAAAGTAGTGAAAGACAATGGCTGATTAACTTAAACAAAGACCAGAAGGTGGAAAGTTCTATGGATTTGATCACATTCATTTTTGGGTTGGAAATGCTCTCCAAGCAGCCTCATTTTATGTGACACGCTTTGGATTTCAATATTATGCTTATAGGTATATTGATAGGTCTAATTGTATAGAGGACTTGAAACAGGAATAAGAGATGTGGTTACACATGTTCTAAGAAATGGTGAAGGAGTATTCTTTGCATTCTCAAGTCCTTATGGTCCAGAGAATGTATTAATGAACACTCATCAATCTAAACATGGTGACGGTGTTAGAGATGTTGCTTTTAGAGTTGAAGATGCCAGAGCTCTTTATGATAAAGCAATTGCTAAAGGAGCAAAATCAATTAGACCACCAACAGAGGATAAAGATGAACATGGAAGTGTTGTTTTGGCTTCCATCTAAACCTATGGTGATACTATTCACACTTTTGTCCAAAGAAATGATTACAAGGGTTTCTTTTTACCTGGATTTACTAAACATCCAAAGGTTGATCCTATTAATACAATTCTACCCCCAGTTGAATTTTTAGTAGTAGATCATGTTGTTGGTAATCAACCTGAACATGAAATGGTTCCTGTTGCTGAATGGTATGAAAAAACATTGGATTTCCACAGATTTTGGTCAGTTGATGATTCTATTCTTCATACTGATTATTCATCACTTTAATCAATTGTGGTTGCAGATTTTGATGAAGTCATTAAGATGCCAATCAATGAACCTGCTCATGGCAAAAAAGTATCTTAGATTTAAGAATATGTTGACTATTACAGTGGACCTGGAGTAATTATTTTTTTAATATTTAAGGTTTAACATATTGCATTGAAAACAGACAATATATTAAAGGAAGTAGAAGCAATGAGAGCTAGAGGACTTGATTTCCTATCTATTCCTGATACTTATTATGATAATTTAAGAAAGAATATTCCTCATATGAATTTTAAGATTGCTGAAGATATTGATATAATTTAAAAGAATAAGATCTTGGTTGATTACGATGACAAAGGTATTGTTATTTTTTTATTTTTTTTTAGGTTATCTTTTATAAATATTTACAAAACCTTTAGAAGATAGACCAACCTTATTTATAGAAATTATCTAAAGAAGAAATCATTCAGGATTTGGTGCTGGTAATTTCAAATCTCTCTTCTAATCCATTGAATTAGAACAAGCCATAAGAGGAAATTTAACAGACAACCCTAAATACAAAGTTCCATATTGAAAATTTACAAAATTTATATGTAAATATATATATATAAATAAATATTTTAAATAACTTATGTAATTGCTAAAATAATCAATTTAAGTTTGAGAACTATTTATAAGTTCTCTTATTTTTAATTAAATTGATAGTCATTCAATTATCTATTTTTCATGATGTCTATTAGATATTTGTTATGTATAAAATTTCTTGATAGAAGGGGCACCAAATCCAAAAACCAAATGATTCTTTGCTCTTACTTTAATTGATTTTTCATTATTATATATTCAACAATCATATTTAGCTTAATTTTAATGAATTAGCAGTTCATTCATTTTTGTTCTAACCAATAAAACAAATTAATGATTAAATTTGTGACATCTATTATAGTATTTTACTTGATAAATGTAAAAAAAAAATTAATAAAATTCTATTCAATAAGCATATTATTCATATTTCTTATAAATAAATTAGTAGTTTTAAGTTAAACATTATTATATCAATACTATTTATTTAATTATAATTATACTATAAATATCTGACCTTAAAGAAAATAATATTAATGTGTTATTTTTCTCTTCAATCTGAAATAAATCAAATAAAATAATCATAAAAATAAATAAATTTGATAATTCAAGAATCTATTATTATATTATAATTAAATAAAAAAATTATGGCAGAATTAGAATATCCATAATTTCTATTTGAAAAACATGATGAAAATAAATTCTATAAATATGAAGAAATATAAAATCATAAAGGTTTTAGGTTGCCAGATTAATAGAATGATACTATTTATTTATAAGATTCAGATGGAGGGTAATTAGGTTTTTTTAATTTAGTTGGTGTGATTTAAATGGTTGTTACTATAATTCTTAAGGCTAACCAAGTGGTTGGATTCTAGTGTCTAAAGATGGGAAAAAATATATTAAATTTAATATGGATGGAGACTTTATTACAGAATAACCAAATATTTATTATTCCAATTTAACATTTGATGCAGCACACTCATAATAATATAAATAATTACATAAAAATAATAATAAAAATTAGTTTATTGAAAATTAATAATCAGATTTTTAAAGTAAATAATAAGAAGATAATTAAAAGAAATTAAAAGAATATAAAAGTAATTAAAAAGAAATAAAAGGCTAAAAGGATAAAATTTGTGTTACTTCAGAAAAAGCAAAGAATAAAAAGTAAATTGAAAATTAAATACAAAATGATAAGTGTGTTGAAAAAACAGATAATTAGGTCGAACCATTAAAAAATAATAGAGATAAAAAAAAAAATGATAGAAGGAGTAAAAATAACAAAAAGGACGATTAGAATTAGAATAATAATTAAACTAAAAAATATTATATATTAAACATAGAGGAAAATACTTTGAGCAATGAAGATTTTATAAAATATTTAATTGAAGAGTCCAAAATTAAAAAAGAATTTATCATAGATTACAATGAGAATATCTTGAAACTAGTTTAAGAAAAAGATGCCATTAAATTATATAGAGTAAATAAAAAGGAATAAATTAATAAAGTTTAGAAGTTTATTGTCTCCATATGAATATTTAACATATATATTAAATGTGTTATTAAATTAATATCATAAATTTACTATTTTATTTTATATGAATTTACTATTTGATTTTATATGAATATTCCTTATGTTATATACTTAGAAATTGATAATATCTAATATTAAATCTAAATATAAAATTCTAAATATTTAAATGAATATAAATAAGAAGATAATATAATTTAATTCAATATTAATTATAATTAAATAAAATGAAATCCTTATTAACAAAAGCATCACAATTACCTAAATATTATGCTGATTTTAATGTTCATTAACCTTAGCATTATTGGGATTATGAAAATTACAAAACTTAATATGGGTATGTATGAGGTTAATTCAGACATTAAGACGACTATGAAATATATTAAAAAATAGGTTAAGGGAAATATTCAGAAGTATTTAAAGGTGTTTCAGTTATAACTCATCAAAATGTTATTATTAAAGTTTTAAAGACTAATGTACAAAAGAAAATAAATCGAGAAATATTAATACTAAAAAATTTATCAAATCATCCTTTAGTAACTGAATTAATAGATGTAGTTTAAGATTAAAGCAGCTTAAGATAATCTTTAATTTTTAAATAATAAAATTGGATTAATTTGAAAGAAGTTCGTAATTATGAATCATTGAAACCTATTAAATTTTTATTAAAATGTGTTCTAGAAGTTTTAGATTATGCTCATTCTATAGGAATATTTCATCGTGATATCAAACCTCATAATATTATAACTAATAATGAATTTAGTTGTAAAGAATAATAATTAAATAATTAGATTTTAAATTATTAGATTGGGGATTGGCAGAATTTTATCATCCATATAAAGAATATAATACAAGAGTGGCATCAAGATATTTTAAATCTCCAGAGATTTTACTTGATATTAGATAATATCATCATTCAATAGATTCTTGGGGAGTTGGTTGTTTAATGGCTGGTATGATTTTTAAGAAAGAACCTTTTTTTGCAGGTATTAACAATGATGATCAATTATTAAAGATTGTTAATGTATTAGGATCAAATACTTTGTATGAATATTTAGATAAATGGAAAATCAATATGCCTTCAAGATATAAAAGTTTTCCTTATTCAAATTAAAAAAGATTTGAATTATTTATTACAAAAGAGAATGAATAGCTTTGCACACCAGAAGCAATTGATTTATTGAAATAATTGCTCATTTTTGATCATTCAGAAAGAATATTACCTAAAGATGCTCTCTAACATCCATTTTTTCAATGAGAACATTAAAGAGTAGACTATAATTTATGTTATTTATAAAAATCTGATTAAAATATATTATACAAATAATAATAATGAATATGTCATAATAATAAATGATTCTATTATAAAATTAATGAAATAGTCTAAACAAACTTAAAATTAAGCTCATGATGATTAATTCTCTGGGTCCAATACTCCAAATGTTCATGGATTGTTTTTACCATAAACAATGACTATGGGTGTAATATATTGAAATAAAATGAAAGTAAATGTCAGAAGACAGAAAAGGAGAAGATTAAAAATTAAAATTAATAAGAGCTTCTACTGATCCTTATGAGGCATTTAAAGATGATGATTTTTTATATCCCACTAAAGAAGATGAAATGTCTCTTTGGCAAAAATATTCTGGAGATTATATTTAAGGAATGCCTGTATTACCAACAGGAAAATGTAGTTTATTTTGTAACATTGTTTGTTGTTTTTACTTTCTTATATTTGGTTTAGTTTTTGTTGGAATAGCTGGTAGTATTACAGAAGTAATAATAAATATATATATATAGATTAGATTAAATTATGGTAAGGAATGTGAAGGTAAATAGCAATGTATAGTTAATTTTGAAATTGAGAAAAATACTTATGGTCCATTCTTTTTATACTATGAATTAAATGAATTTTATACTAGTCATTCTGAGTAAAATTAGGGTATTTATAGATTAGTTTTGCATAATCAATCAGTCCAAAATAAATGAAGGGTTATGAATTGACAGATGAAGAATATGATGTATATTGTCCTGATACATAATCTTTTGAATCTCTTTAGAGACCTGTTGGATTTAATAAAAGTTATGCCGGTTTTATGATAGACTTAAATAAGAAAGTCAGTCCATGTGGCATAGCTGCTAAATATATTTTTAATGGTATATCAATTGGTTTTTTAATATAGATTCTTTCCTATTATTTGATGTTAATACTGAAACTGCTACATCTTTAGCTCTTAATTCAACAGGAATTGCATTTTCTGTTGATTTAGAATATAAATATTCAAGAACATAGAATTCATAATTTAGATAATGGTTGGATCTTGATGATGGTATAAAATACTGTTTATTCTATATAGAAAAACTCATAAATTGGTTTAATATTCAATCATTACCCTTGGTTAGAAAGTTATATGCTCGATATGATAATGATTTATCAAAAGGAACCTATAGTGTTGTCATTTAAAATAGTAAATTCTAAAAAATACAGCTTTAGATTATCCAACCAAAATTTTTGGAGGAGAAAAGTTTCTTATTGTTACTACTCTGTCTTCATTTGGTAGCAAAAATTTTTCTTTTGGTTATTTGCTTATTGCAACTGCAGGTGTGTAGTTTTTAAGTGCTTTTGTTGTTTATATCAAACATAAAATGGTAGAGAAGAAAGAAAAACATGAATAGAAAATACATGCTGATTTAAAACTCAAAGAAAAATCCGATTGATAATATATATAGATTTAAAAATTATTATCAAAATGAACTAAATTTTCAATAATAATTATAGATATTTGATTAGATATAGATTTATTAAATATTTCTAACTTCATAGAATGCTATAATTAATCTATCTATGAAATCTTGTTTTAATTCATTTATATATCAAGGAATATATTTATATTTTAATTTTGATTAATGATGAAAGCAAGAAAGTTATTGAGAGTTGCTGAGTAATAAACAACTGAATTGTATGAATATCCAATTGAAATACATGCTAAAAATTATAGTATGTAGAGATAAAATAGAAAATTGGATAAAATAAAATACAATTATCTCCCAAAAGTTGATAATTGTCTAAGTAAAGATCCCTTTCTTAATACTTTAAAATTAACAACATTGGATTTAGTATAGAATTTCGATTATATGGATCCTAATGATGTTACATTTCAACTAAATGAAATGGCTAAACAAAAGTCTTTTATACAATAAACCAAACCTTTTAATCGAATACATCAAAGATCAATGCCTAAACAAAGAAGCAATAATAAATATCTATTTGAACTTTCTAGAACAACTAGAATTAATTGATTTATATCTTATATTATAACATTTCTACTCAAATAATAAATCATTCCATGTCCTCTACCCATATAGTAAATCAAATTTCAAAATCTTAAATTAAGTGCTTTAATATTCTCCTTATTTAAAATTACATTATTCATTAAATAATAGAATAGCAAAAAATCCAGTAATATAGATATATTATAATACTTGAAATCAATTTTAAAATTTATACAAGACTTCAAATAATGTAATTCAAAATAAACATTGAATTACAAATACTCAAAATTCAGTATTATGTTATTAAAAATTCTACTAAATTCATTTAAGATATATAAGTATATTTATGCAGAACTACATTATTTATTATTCATGACATTAACATTAATTAATTAAGATTTATATTCCATTAAAAAAATATATATATATATCAAATATATATAATATCAAACTTATATTTATAAGTCAGCCAATTTTAGTATACTTAATTTATACCTAGCAGTTAATAAATTAAAAGTTATTTTAATAATATCTGAAATACTAATCTACTCATCTTAAAAAGCCATTCTATATATTTTAATCACTTTTTAAGTTAAGTATTACTAATTCAAAATAATATCTACCAAGCGTTTATTTATTTGAATTTTAGTTTTTACTAAGCTTTGTTTAATGAATTCATAAAATACCTTAAATTATATGAAAAATTAACTATTTATAAATAATCTAAATTAAATAAAATTATTTATCTTTAGAAGATGAAATATTTATCCAAAATTTTTTACGATTTAAAATAATATAATAACATTTCCTAATTTTCAAATATTTGTCTAAATATTATTTAAATTATATTCAAATAAGCTTGAACTTAAAAATAAGAATATATAGTTAGTTAATAATTTAAATTTTAAAATATATGAAGTATTCAATTATCTTTTTTAATGCTAATTAACTAATCATATCAGTTTTTATAACAAATAAAAGTGTTTATTTTGGTTCAAAGACTTAAGAGAATATAAAATAATTTACTATTATTAATTCCAATTACAATATTTTAAATTAATAATAAAGATTACTTAACATAATTCAAATAGAAAATTATTGTATTAATAAAAAAACCAATATAATATGAAAAAAAATTGTAAAACTAAATTGTATTCATTTTAAATTACAATTACCAAAAAAGGTTTTCTAAATTTCAAAAACTAATATTAAGATTAGAAAAGTAAGGTATTGGAATAAAACTAAAGCATAAAATATAATCAATAAGTTAACGATTTTACAAAGAATTAGAAAAAAAATAACAACAACTAATCTGAATAAATGAAAAAAAATACAATTTGTGTGTCCAAATTTGATAATAAATTATTAAACTCCCTTAATTAGCTTGAAAATCTATTAGATAAATCTGAAAAAGAAGAAACTCCTCTTATTTTTGCAAATGAAGATTAGATAAAATTTAAATACTTTGAAAATAATAAAGATGACAATGATAAGAAATTATAAAGTTGAGAATGATTTTAATATACATTTATTCAATATTTTTATAAATCCATTTTTAAGAAGTACAAGTTAAAAAAGAATACTATTCTTAATAGTTATTGCGCTAAATTTCATAAATAAAGAATGTAAAAAAACCCATTTTTAATTAGTCAAAAAAATTAATTCTTGATTTAAGTTGAATATATAAGAGTAGTTTAATATAAAATATATATATTTTATAATTAATATATTTTGAAAGATTAGTATCATTTTTTATTAATTTTTGTAAAATTGAAGATGAGTACTATTTTGATTGAATGAGAATTTATTTTCAAATTTAAATTATTAATTTCTTTAGAACATAATATATAATTTAAGTGAAAATAATGATTTTAAATATAATTAGTGGATGTTTAATAGAGATTTAAAAGCAAGATACATATAATAATGGAAATATGTTTGAATGTGGACAGATATAAATCAATAATTTAATACAATTATTAATTTAATGTTTTCTCCGCCAAAAGTACATCCATTTGAAGAAAATTATATTTAGAAAGTGCTAATGGATATTGAACGTAGTCCATTATTGTAATATGAAATACCTTAAGATCTTTAATTATTGTATTTGATTTTGACATAATATTTAGTAAATCTTAAAGTCTATTATGTGATGATGATTAATAATCACCATTTCAAGGAGCTCGAAATTTACCACTTTAAAGGTTTAATTCAGAGGTTTTCCATGATTTTTCAGGATGTTAATAGTAAATAATAGGAGACAATAATAAATTTTTGAAATCAAGATAATTTAGAGCTGACTTATCGAAATTCACTGGAGATTTTGAAGTGATACATCAGATAGGTAGAGGTTCAAAAGGAGTAGTTTATAAAGTGTTATCAAAAGTTGATGGTTTGTATTATGCAGCAAAAAAAGTACCTTTGGATGATAATATTCAAACATTGACATTGGATGGGTAAGTGTAATTTAATTGCTGTTATTAACATTAAGGATTCTTATATATTATAATGGAACATTGTGAATATTCTTTAAAGTAAAGATTAATGTAAAGAGTTTATGAATCAGAAATCAGATAGATTATAGTAGATGTATGTGAAGCTCTATAGAACTTCCCTTAACCTCATTTACATATACATGGTGGTAATGTATTATTAAGCAAATAAATGAAATATAAGTTAAGTGATTATGGATATTCAAATAATACAATTCATTAAGCACCTGAGAAAATAAAGAGCAAATTGTCTGATATTTACTCATTAGGTATTTTGTTGATGGAATTAATGCTTGAAAAAGAATTAAATCAAATAAGTTCTTTAATATTGTAAAAATTCGATAATTTATCATATTATTCAGTATCATTGAAATAGTAAATTAAAAAAATGGTATCGATAATTCCAGATCACAGACCTGATATTTAATAATTAATTAATTTTGCAAAGGTGCATTTGGATTAAGAGTTGAATTTACTCTAAGAATAAAATGCTGAATTATAAAAATAAATAGATGAGATCAAACAAAAAAGAAGGAGAAGAATTCAAAGTGAATGATTTTAATTATTAGTTAATCTATATTCATAGTTTTTTAAATTATTAAGTTAAAATGTTTAAATCCGATAGATAGAAGTACAATAAGGAAAGAATATTTACAATAAATTCATTTGGAAAGACAGAAAGTGAAGTTTACCCAACAAATTTCATTAAGACTTCAAAGTATAATATAGTAACATTCCTACCACTATCTCTGTTGGGATAATTTAGGAGATATGCAAATATTTATTTTCTTTTTATTGCCATAATTCAAAGTTTCCCTATTATATCACCTTTAAATCCAATATCAGCAATAGCTCCATTAGTATTTGTTTTAGGATTATCCATGATAAGAGAAGGTAAATTATCAATTTGATTAAAAAGCTATGGAGGATATCAGCAGACATAAATCTGATAATGAAGTAAATGCTATGCAATGTACTAAGATTGTGAATAATAAATAAGTCAAAACTACTTGGGCTAATGTTAAAGTAGGAGATTTATTGTTTGTGTCTGAAAATGAGATGTTTCCAGCTGATCTAATAGTATTAACCAGTTATTTTGAGAGTGGGGTTTGTTACATTGAAACTTCATCATTAGATGGAGAAAAGAACTTGAAACCAAAATCTGCTATCAAAGAAACTTAAACCCTATTTCAGTATAAGGATGGCGATTCAAAGATATCTATGAAGAACAATTAGTAATTTAAAGCTTAAGGCAATCCTCCAACACCAGCATTAGGTGATTTTGAAGGTTCAATTCATTTCCCTGATGGATCAAAAAAGTATAGAGTCTATAAGTATCAAGAGTTTTGAATGGCAAATAATTGTTATTGAGAGGAGCATTTCTAAGGAATACAAAATTTATAGTAGGCGTAATAGCTTATACAGGAGAGGATACAAAAATAATGAGAAATGCAGAACCTTCAAGAATCAAATAGAGTACTATAGAAAATACAATGAATAAATTGATATTGGGGATATTGGGTGTATAAATAATAGCCTGTGCTTTATCAGCTGTTTTATCTTCATGGTGGTTGCATAAATCATTTAGCAAACACATATATATTATAATGACAGAATAAAATTATACTTTGTTATCTGTTATTGCTTTCTTTTCATTCTTTTTACTTTATAATACTATGATACCTATATCATTAGTTGTATCAATGGAATTTGTTAAGGTTTTTTAATGTTATTTTATAAATAAAGATTAGGATATGTATTCTTCAAAAAGAGAAAAATTTGCTAAAGCTTAAACATCTACAATTAATGAAGAATTAGGTTAAGTTGAATATGTATTTTCTGATAAGACTGGAACATTAACTTGTAATCAAATGGAATTCAAATATTGTATAATTGGTGATGTATTATATGGAAAAAGTGAGAAAACCAATTATTTAACATCAGCAAATTCTAATAATAATAATGGTAATGGATAATAAGATCCTACTCAATTCAAACATTCAGTGTTTAATTTTTAAGATTAAATACTAACTGGAATTATTGAAGATAGTGAAGATTGTTAAAAGTATTCAGAATAAAAAAGAAAATTAATCATTTAATCAAATGATAAAAATGCTACATTAGAAATAAAGACATAAAAACAATTAGTTCATGAATATCTTATGTTACTCTCTAGTGCTCATGAATGTATAGCATAGAAAAATAAAAATTCTTAAATTACTTATTAAGGACCTTCTCCAGATGAAATTACATTAGTAGATGCTGCCATGAATTTAGGTTATATATTTGAAGGATAATCTGCAAATGAATAAGAAGTAATTAAATATTATTATAAATTTAGTTTACTATTAAAGGTAAATAAAAAAAAGTTGAACTTCTTTCATAATTTGAATTTGATTCAAATAGAAAAAGAATGAGTGTAATAATAAAAGATAATGGAATTTATAAATTATATATTAAAGGAGCAGATAGTATTATTAAAGCTAGACTAAAACCAGATTAGCCATTTTTAGGATTTATTTAAAATAAATTATCAGAGTTTAGTAGTATTGGATTAAGAACTTTATTAATGGCAATGAAAATTTTATCTGAATAAGAGTATCTTGCATTTTAAAAATAGAAGGATGCACTTGCATCATCTGATAAAAGAGAATAAGAAAATGAAGAATTAGCTAATAATTTAGAAAAAGATTTATATTTATTAGGTGCAACTGCAGTTGAAGATAAATTATAAGATGATGTTCCAGAAACCATTGCAGATTTATTAAAAGCAAATATTAAAGTTTGGATGCTTACTGGAGATAAATTAGAAACTGCTGAAAATATTGCTAAAAGTTGTAGATTAATCTAAAATGATTTCATGGTTATGAAATATTCAGAAACAGATCTAAATAAATTAAGATTTTAATTATCAGAAAATAAATTGACTTATTAAGCTTGTATAAAAGAAAGAAAAAAGAAATCAATTTTAGTAGAAGGTGAATCTTTAGTTATGTTAACTAATAATTAATAATTAAAGAGAGAATTCACAAAAATGGCTATGGGTTGTGATAGTGTTGTATGTTGTAGAGTTACACCAAAATAAAAAGCAGAAGTTGTTCATTTGGTTAAAGATCTAAATAAAATAACATTAGCTATAGGAGATGGTGCTAATGATGTCAATATGATATAAGAAGCACATATTGGAATAGGTTTATATGGTAATGAAGGAATGAGAGCTGTTTAAAGTAGTGATTATGCTTTAGGTGAATTTAGATTTTTATGGAAACTCTTATTAATACATGGTAATTGGTCATATATTAGAATATCAGAAATGATTCTTTATTTCTTTTATAAGAATATGATTTTCACTGTTCCTTAATTTTTGTATTCTTTTTATAGTGCATATAGTGCTTAAACCTATTTTGATGATTGGTATATCACATTTTATAATTTGTTTTTTACTTCTCTTCCATTAATTGCCAGAGCCACTTTGGATAGAAGTGTTTATTATAAAATTAATATAAGAAATGAAGAATACTCTGATATTTATAAGAAATCAACTCAATATCTGAAAGGAAAATTCCCTCTTCTTTATTCAATTGGTTAAAAATAAACAATATTTACATTATCAAATTTTATATTTTGGTGGGGCTAAGGATTTATACATGGATTATTTGTATTCTTCATTACTTATGCATGTTATGATACAGAATAAGTTAATATCAATGGATAAAATGCTGGTTTTGCTACTCTTTCAATTACAACATATACAGCAATTATATTTGTATATTTATTCATTTATTTATTAGATAGTGGATATTAAAATTGCACTTTATACTAAATTTTGGACTTGTATTAATGTAATCACACTTGTCTTATTTTCTGTAGGAATTTATATTGCATATTTTTTTATCTCCAATTTTTTTAGAGGAACTTATTCTGAATTTACACCTTTTTATTTAATTTAATCTCCAAATTTTTATTTAATTATTGCACTACTTAATTCTATTGTTTTTATATTTGATTTGGTTATTAATGCTATTATACATGAATTTTATTCAAATGAAACTGATAAAATTATTAAATGGAGAAGAGAATTTAAAGAATTAGCAAGAGAAGGTAATGTTCTATAAAAAATTGAAATGATGCAATAAGGTAAAAGAGAAAATGGACAAAGAGATTGGGGAGATACATTTTATGAATAAATTTTAGATGAGAGATTAAAATCAGAAAGAGATTAAAATATTTTTGATGAACAATAAGCAATTCTAGATTCTAAAGTCTAGCATTATGCTACATCTCCAGTTAATCTAGATAATAGTGAACAAAGCAATAGATAATTTCATTAAAGAACTGAATTATAACAAATTCCTCATCCTCTTTAAAATAATAACTCAAAAATTATCAATTATTAAATGTCTAAACAATAATAATAGAATTTTCACAATGTAAATGAAGATAGTAAAATAAATCATCCATAGTAATAAAGAATCTATGTAAGATGAAAATAAATTGACATTAATTAAATTATCTATAAAGCATTTATTTTATATTATCACTAAGAAAATTATAATTATTATATTTATATAGATATTTATTATTAATTCTAATCATCATTTTTATATATGATATATTTGAATATATATTGCAATAATTTAAAATAAATTCGAAAAATAAATTTATTATTTATAAATAAATGAGATTAAAAATATCAAAGTATATATATTTAAAATTATCATATTATTCTAAAATTACTAAATCCTTTCTTTATCTAAATTATCTTAATTCATCAAATTTTGATTTATTTAGATTAATTTTGATAATGATTAATTTAATCAGCATTACTCTCTTATTTTGGTTAGCAGCTACACAATATAAATTAATTCTTTAAGGTCCAGCTTCTAAAAAGATGGACTGCAAAAAACTTGATAAAAGTAATGAATTTATAACATCTAGATGATAATGGATTTAAAGGTTCATAATTTTTTTATGAAAAACTTTCCAATTACGGTTAAAATACTAACTTGGATAAGTTTACATTTCGATTATGGTTTATGGTCTATTAAAAAATGAGATTTCCAGGTAAACAAATACTGTTTGCTTTTTTAGATGGCTACGATACTGATTCTGTAAGGGTAATTAATATAATAGTATATAAATCTCATGGTTTACTTTAATTTGTAGTCATCAAATTATACATTATATGTTATAAATGAAAAAATGAATTCAGAGTTGATGAACATACTGATAGATTAGTAAATATAAATAATATTAGAGATAAAATGATTTCTTTATAGGATACTGGAATTATCTTTTGATTTCTATAGATTAAACTAGTGGAGATGTATTTTTAAATTTAAAACTCTTCAGTACTTACAATTACCAACTATAATAGTTTTAAGATTCGTTGCCATCAAAAAAGTATATTATAGTATATAAATTTTAGATTAAATTTTAGATTTGGTGTACATTCTAGAATAACAAATGAATAATTATATCAAATTATATAAGACTATAAAGCCTGTGTTTATATTGCTAATTTTGAATATATTAATGGATGGACAACAATGGACAGGGAAATATATTTTTAAGATTAAATAGATTTGAAGTATTCTTTAAAACCCTTCTAAAGTGAAGGATTAAATGTAAATTCTTAATTTATCAATGTAAAATTAATAGATCAAAAGAATATTGAGTATAGTGGAAATATAGGTTTAAATATTTATAAAGATACTAGAATTCTCTATAATTTTGAGGAATAGATGGATTCATTTACAATTATATTTTGGATGAAACCTTAAAAAATTAGTTCATTTTTTAAATTAATTTCATTAACTGATGAATATGTAAAACTTATTAGTCTAGGATTTGGTGTTAATTAAAATTATAATTTTTTGATATACTAAAATAAATTAGAAATTTATACTGGAAATTTGAATCCAAATTAATGGAAACATATTACAATAGGAATATTAGAAATATCAAGAAATTAATATTTTAAGGCAACTAATTCTGTAAAAATGTTGAAAGTATATATAGATGATTTAATGGTTTATTTGTAATAAATTTTAAATTTTAAATCATATAAAAGATTATTAATTGGTCCATTATTATTGGAAAGTAGAGGTTAAGAGGTTGTTGATATTTAAGATTTTAAGATTTTTAATGGATATGGTATTTATGAATCATCAGGAGATTGTCGATTATTTGCAGGACTATATTGTGCATTCTGCAAATCATTGACACATTATTGTAAAGAATAAGATCCATTAGATGATGATAATATTTATTAATGTCCAGCAGGTTATAGAATAGAAAATGGGTATTGTAAACCTAATACAATTGCCTTGTGTTTAAGATAAATTGGAGGTAGTTGTATAGAATGTGAAAAAAATACTATTCTAATATAAGGAGAATGCTAACCTTAAACATAATTAAATAGAGTATCTCCTTATCCATGTTAAGGCTTAAATGTTGTATTATGTTAAATTATTAATATTGTAAAAAATTCAGAATTAACATCTGTATAACGAGCACGATTGTGTAATTCTAATTAATATAATATTGCTAAATTTGAATGTACTGGTAATTAGGTTGCATCATGCAAGTATTCATAATATTCAGGTCTTTGTTTTGAATGTAAGGAATCATTCTATTTAACAGAATTAAAGATGTGCGTTTCAACTTGTTTTAAAAATAAATAAGATAGATTTAATTATATAAATAAGTGTGTTTAAGATTGTCCTTATAAATATACATTTAATCATCCTTGTCCAACATCTGGAGGAAAAGAACCTGATTTAGGGTGTTCTCTTACTCCTGATTGTCAAGCTGATGAAATTGATCTTGGATATACTTGTTTATCTATTAGTTAACAAGAAATAGGTAAATCAGTAGGTTGTAGACCAATACTTATTTCTTAATATGCTCCAAATTAGCCATTATTTTGTCATCCTTCATGCAAATATTGTTTTGGAACAACTGATAGATAATGTTTAGGCTGTCATGAAGGAATGTATTTTACTCCATATCTTGGAATGTGCTTATAAAATTGTTCTGATGATAGAGACAATATATTTATATATCATAATACTTATATTTGGAAATGTGAATTAAAATGTCCATCAAATTTATTAACATAAGGTGATATGTGTGTATAATCTTGTTTAGATGGATATGTAGTTTTAAATGGAATTTGTAGAAGTATAAACATAGTTGATGAATATTTTTTATCTAGTGAAATAGTTGAAATAGAAGGAATCAATTAAATAATATAGTCATGGAATTATTGTCCTTTTTTATGTAATACTTGTTAGAATACTTAAATATGTAATAGTTGTATTAATAAATATCCATTTGAAAATAATGTATGCAAAATTAGTTGTTTCCCAAGATTTTCTTTAAAAACAAACAATCTCTCAACATGTAAAGATTAATGTGATCCCAATGAACTTACATTTTGGAATGATAATTTGTATGGTTATTAAATAGCAGAATGTTTTTTAAAGAAATGTGGTGAAATTGAAGCTGATTAAATATATTAATCTTATCTTCATTAAAATGATAATAAAAAATGTGTTTATCCATGTGATGATGGATATTATGGTAATTCATAATCCATTTTATGTAAACCATGTATTGTATCATGTGCAACTTGTATAGATAAATCTCATATTTGTACTTCATGCAAACCTCTATTATTTTTAAAAGGTTCAACTTGTTTAACATCTTGTGGATAAAATTTCAAAAATTATATGAATTGGCAATGTGAAGTAGAATGTTCTTCAGGATATACTATTAAAGATTCTACAAATAATTTATATGCTTGTGTTGAAAATTGTGGATAATTATATGCTACTTATTTATATGTATGGAGAGGTTAATGTTATGAAAATATTCCTAATATATCTGTTTTTTGTATAGATTATTAATGTGAAGATTGCCATTCATCATGTTTATAATGTTAAGGTCCTAATAATAATGATTGTCTGGCTTGTTATTAAAATTCATATCTACTTAATAATGAATGTGTATAAGATTGTGGAATTTTGAAACATGATTAAATAAATTGGAAATGTGTAGAAGAATGTCCAATTGAATCATTATAATCAATAGGTATTTCATTAGTCTTAAATAAATAAATAACTATTTGTGGTCTAACATGTTTACTTGAAACATTCTAATTTAGAAATGAATGTTATGCTTAATAACCAATAGAAACATTTTGTTTACAAAGACCAGATTATTAGTTTTGTGAACTTTGTTCTTCTCTTTGTACAATATGTTCTTCATCTTCTTCATCAGATTGTTAATAATGTATTTCTACTGCATTTTAATATGGAACTACATGTTTTATGGAATGTCCAGATGAAGCACCTTTAAAAGATACAATCAATAAATAATGTGTTGCATCATGTCCAACTGGATTTTCTGAAGATGGATATTGTGTTGAGTTTTGTCAACCTATTTCATACATATACTAATTAAAAAATGCATGTTATACTGTTGGATGTCCAATTGGTACATTTAATGAAACAGGTTCTAAAATATGTTAAGATTGTTATATTGGTTGTGCTACTTGTTTTGGAAATAATTAGAGTGAATGTTTGAGTTGTATTGTTGGATATTTCATTGATTAAGAAACATATTGTAGTGATTCTTGTTTAATAGAACCAAATATAATTGAAGATTAGATTAATCGAAGATGTGTTTAATTTTGTCCTATTGATTCTTTCTTATAAAAATTAATTAATGGTCGTTATGGATGTAAAGAAACATGTCCAGAATATTATTATTCTAATATTTGTGTTTCATATTGTCCATCTTAAACATATTAAGATGGATATGCTTGTATTAGTTGTGCATCTCCTTGTTCAATTTGTTTTGGAAGTGCTATCACTTAATGTACTTAATGTGATATTGGTTATTATTTATATGAAACAACTTGTTATTAAATTTGTCCAGATGAAAATCCTTATGCAAATATTTAAGATTCAAAATGTGTATAAACATGTCCAAATTTTTTATATTTACCTAAAATGCTTTGTTTTGATTCTTGTCCTTTCTTTTTATATAGATATGAAATTGCTAATTAAAAATAATGTGTTGATAATTGTCTATCAAAATCATATTTATTAGATTAAGACTGTTATCCTTGTGATTCAATTTGTAAAGAATGTTATGGACCTGCTAATGGAAATTGTTTAGAATGTGAATTACCTTATTTTCTTAATGGATAAACTTGTGAAGTAACTTGTCCTTCATTTTATGATCTAACTGATCATTAATGTAAAGCAGCTTGTCCAGTTAATTTAGTAATCTAAAATATATATTGTTAAACTCAATGTGATTAAGATTATTTACAATATGGATAAAATTGTTTATTACAATGTCCTTAATTTACTTATTTAAACAATAATACTTGCTAAAATTGTAATGCATATTGTTTAACTTGTTTTGGACCTAACTTTTCATAATGTTATTCATGTATAGATGGATTCTATTTAAATGGTTAATCTTGTTAATAAATATGTGATAATTACTATGATTAAGATAATAAAACTTGTATTAATAATTGTGGATCTAAATATTTAATTAGAGATTAAAAATAATGTGTTTTATAATGTCCTATAGGATATATTAGTTGTGAATAAGAATGTGTCACTAATATTTAAGATGGATTTTATTTGAATAATGGATAATGCTATAGATGTGATTAAAAATGTACTAAATGTACATCATCTACTTCATGTTCTGAATGTTCTTTAAACTTTTATTTAGAATTAGATTCTTGTGTAAATTATTGTATAAATAAATATTTATATATGGATCCTATTTCAAGAAGTTGTGTATCTAGATGTCCAATAGGGTTATATCATTAAGAATCATTTAATAGAAGATTTTGTATGTTGGATTGTACTTTTAAATTAGATGATTAATGTGTTCAATCTTGTCCTATAGGTTTTTATAATGATAATTCATTTTGTAAATTATGTCCTTCTGAATGTACTGAATGTTAATCTATAACATTTTGTTTAAAATGTTAGATAGGCTTATATTTAGAAAATAATTGGTGTTATCCAGTATGTAATTATAAAAAAACAGATAGAAAAAATTAAATTTGTGTTGATGAATGTAATTTGGATTTATTTGAATATGAAAATTAATGTGTTGAAAGTTGTCCATCAAATCCAATTTATTTTTATTATAAGTCATAATGTGTTTAAAGTTGTCCTACTTCAACATTTTAATAAGAATAATATTGTATTGATTGTCATATATAATGTTCATCTTGTTTTGGTTCAAATAATGATGAATGTTATTCATGTTTTTTAGGTTATTATTTAGATAATAATCAAATATGTACATAAACATGTCCTTTTCTTTATGATCTTATAAATTAGAAATGTGTGTTTTAATGTTAAAAGGATTAATATTTAGAATAAAATTAATGTGTTGAAAAATGTAATCATTTCTTATATGATAAATAATGTGTTGATTATTGTCCATCTTAAACATATTAATAAAATACTTAATGTTTCAATTGTTCAAATAATTGTTTAGAATGTAATTCTTTTGGTTGTATTAAATGTAAAATTGGATCTTATTTAAATGATGGTATTTGTGATTCATATTGTTAAATAATGTATAATGATGTAAAATAAGAATGTGTAGAAATATGCACAAATTAAGAATATTAATATCTAGATCATTGTTACTCTCAATGTCCTATAGATACTTACGAATATAAATAAATATGTTTATTAGATTGCCCAATTAAAACAGTATAATATAACAATTATTGTTATGATTGTCCTGAAAGATGTGATATATGTTTGAGTGAATATGAATGTCTAAAATGTAATAATCTTTATTTTCTATTTAATGGATAATGTATTTTACATTGTCCATTATAATTACCATATGAAGATACTGTTAATCGTATTTGTGTATCTATGTGTCCTCCTAATACTTTTATCAGAAATTACACTTGTCTATCTACTTGCAATTTAATTACACATTAAAATATGTGTTTAGAATAATGTCCTAAAGGTTATTATGGAAATAACATTTGCAAACATTGTAAACTTGAGTGTCTAGCTTGTAATGACTTAGACTATTGTACAGAATGTGATATTAATTATTATCTAGAAGATAACTAATGTGATAACTAATGTACAAACATAAAAGATTTAAAAACTAAAAAGTGTGTTGAAATTTGTGATTCATTCTTATACAAAAATATATGCTATTAAAAATGTCCAATTGACACCTTTTAATTTGAATCTATATGTGTTATAAAATGTCCTGATGGTTATTATGGTTCAAAGGACTTTATCTGTGAACAATGTCCATATTAATGTTTCAGTTGTTAAAATCAATTTGTGTGTATCTAATGTAATATTGGATATTATCTATTCGAAAATTAATGTTTAGAATCTTGTCCAGATTAATCATTTTCAAATCCCATTAATAATAAATGTTCAAATGAATGTCCTCCTACCACATTTATTTACTAAAATTAATGTTTATTTTAATGTCCAAATGAATATTTACATGATATTCAGAATTATAAATGTGTTTTATAATGTGATGATTAATAATATAAAGAAAAAAATAATTGTTTAGCTTGTTCAATAGAATGTAATAAATGTTATACTTATGGGAATAATAATTGTATTAATTGTGCAAATTTATACAATTTAAATGAAAATGGATATTGTTTAGGAGAATGTCCTAATGGTTATTATAAAAATGAATAAAATTGTGAAAAATGTTTACATAAATGTTAAACTTGTATAAATTAAATTTAATGTGTTAAATGTAGAGGAACTAATAGAAATTCTATTGATTGTTCTTGTTAAAAAGGTTATTATGATGATGAATTATAAGAAAATTGTCAGAAATGTCCTTGTGAAGAATGTATATCATAACAAAATTGTTAGATTTGTAAAAATAATCTTTAAATTCCAAAATGTAATTGTGATAGAAAATTAAATGATAATTGGTGTATTACATGTGAAGTAGCTAAAGTTAAAATATATTACTCAGATGATCTTAATGAAATAGTTGTATATTTTGGTTATTTAGTATCTGTCAATTTAATTAATCCATTTTAACCTTCAGATTGTTATTTATGGTTTGATAATTCAATTATTTTTGGATAAAATTCAAAATGCTATTTAGCATGGAATAGATATTCAGTACATATATAATTATCTCCATATTCAACTATTAATATAGGAGATGAATTGTAATTTAAATAATCATTTTACAGAGATGTAGATTAAGGAAACTGTTCTTAATAGTATATAAAATAATTCATAGAAAATAAATTATTAGAACCAAATAGATTTATTAAACCATACATTATATTTGATGTTCCATAATATGTTAGTAGTTGTAAATAAATTGAAATTAGATAAATTTTAATCTAAGGAACAGCATAAAAAATATAAACAGTAATATCTTGGTAATTACATTCAATAGATAATGAAGATTATTATTTATCTATGGATTCATTTTTAGCTACCTAAAAGAATGAAATTATTATACCTATTAATACTTTATAACCTAATTTAAAATATACAATTACAGCAAAATATATCAATATATTTCAAAGAGTTAATTATACAACATTTACTTTCAATACCATTCCTATTCAAACTCCTTATATTTATCTAACTTACAATCCTTTAACTGTTAATATTTATATATTTGATTGTCATATTACTTTTTCAGATATACTAAGTGATTAAAATGTATAAATTGACATACTAGATTCATTAATATAAGATCAAAAATATATTTCTATAAAATAATCAATACATTCTATCCGTAAAATTCCTTTAGATGAAATACTTCTACCTAAATAAGTACCTCTACTTTTCATTGCTATAACACAAAGCTATATTATTCAGGAAATTCTAATTTTAAAATCAAAACCAATTGAGATATCTTTTCTATAAAAAAATAGATTTATTGGTTAGGATGACTAAATAAATGCAAGAGCTTATGATAAAAATATAGAAGACATAATTTTAAGTACAAAAGATATTCATTATTAATGGTTATGTACTAATCTACATGATCTTCAACCATGCAAAACTGAAGAAAATAAAATACTTGAATTTGCATAAAGAAGAATCATTAATATTTAGGCTAACTCTCAAAATTCAACATTTGTTTTTTATGTTAAAGCCTCAAAAGATAATAGATGGACTATTAAAGAATAATTAATTGTGTTATTAGATTTAAATATCTAAGAAGAATTTGTAATCAATAGAGATTAACCAACAGATTTGATAAATTTAAATAGTGAAGTTACTATTTTATTATAGTAATCTTAAACATATGCTTTTATTATATAAAATCACAAAGTACTTTAATACATTAAGATATCTAATGCTTCATTAAAATTTAGAATGGCTGAAATTACATAAGATTCTACACATCCAATTTTCATATATTTAGTGCCTGGAACTGACTCTTTTGGATTTAAAATAAATGAAATACCAAATATATTTACATTCTCTATTGAACCTAAGATTGGTTAATCTATGGATTATTTTAATTATACAATTGATAATTTAAATAGTGATTAAATTGCTAGTATTTATTATTATGTTGATTATTATACTTTTAAAAATGATATGGATGCTAAATCTTTATTAAATGGTATTCCTTTAATTTTTAACACTTAAATTACTTAAGGTTAATTTTAGATTCCAAGTGGAATTGCAGATGATCCTATTTGGATTGTTTGTTAAATTGAATCTAATCAAGGTGCATTAATATTTAAATGGACATAGATAGTTGTTTAAAGAAGAAACTATGAAATGCATAGCTTGTTTGAAGATCTTGCCAATTTAGTTAATTTTTCAAGTTTACAGAGTATACACACTATGATATCACTAATTAATTAGGAAGATAAGTAAGTTTGTTTGAAATAATGTTCAGGAGTTGGTACTTGTGTAGATTAAAAATGTCGTTGTCCACCAGGTTATTATTTTAATGATTGTAGTGGAGATAAAACTTAATTTGAGAATTCTAATGATTTAATTTTTTAAAGTATGTAAGCATTAATTGTGAAAGATGTAATAGATAATGAATAATTTAAATTATATAGTTAGGCACTTCTTTACTTTTAATAATATAAGGATATAATATCAAATACAAGTATTGATAAATGTTTAAAAGTATTAATAAATTACATAACAAATCTTAATAATAGGATGGAATAAATTAATTAATATTCTATAAATATGTAATACTAATAAACGAATCAATTCTCTTATTCTTAAATAGATACTAGATAAATTTTAAGTATATAAGATATTAGTAATGCTATACTAAGTACTGAATTTATATGGAATAAAGCTTTATCTATTTCTAATTCTAGTATCTATCAAATAATGCATCATTTAAATGATTTTTTCATTCACATAATTGATTTATCTTTTCTTGCAATATTACCTAATGAAAAGTTTGAAATTTCTATGAGTACAGTAAATTTAATAATTTAAAGATCAAATAATTTATAAAATTTAAGTAGTCATAGATTTCTCTAATAAGATATTAATACAGATTATTATGATATAGTGTAAGCAATTTATATTAGTAATTTTTATTAATATGATGGTTATTATCCATATCCTAATTAAAAGTATCCTCTTTATGATTATAAGATCAGATAATAAAATAGATATTAAAATATTAAAATTTCTAAACCTATTACTTATAAATTTGAAATTCATAATGATACTACAAATTTAGTTTGTATAAGTCGAAATGCTAATACTTATGAATGGACTAAAGATAATTGTTATTTATCAATAATAAATAATTCATATTTTTGTAATTGTACTATGATTGAACCAGTTACAATTTGTAATGACTATCAATTTATATATTAAGGAAAGCCTCCATTTTATCTAAAATTGCCTAATTTCATATTTATATTTTATTTCTTTTAATTCATTTTATTAGCATTTGTAATTTATAAATCATAATATGGAAATAAATAATAAATAGCTAAATCTAATAAGTTTGGTAGAGTTTTAAAGTTAAATAAATTTGAAAGTGTAAGGATGATGTTTAATAATAATTTACCATCTCCAATATCTCCTATATCTCCTATATCTCCTATATCTCCTAATAGAATCTATCCAGAAAATGATTGTATAAAAGAAACTGTACAAAATATTGATTAAAAAGTGATAAACAAATTTAATTTTAATTATTTTTGGGTACTCAATTTCTTATAATTTAGAATTATCATTTTCTTACTAGTATTATGTTTTAGAGTAAGTTTTATTTTAGTCGATTTTAGAGAGTCTAATTCATAATACTAAAATGGAATATCTGTTTTATAGTAGGAGAAATTCTCTCCATTTTTTACTTTGAATATGATATTTAAATTTACATTTTACTAGCATCTGTAATTATATGCAGAATAAATTAAGAGTTCTGGAAAGTAAGAAATTAAATTAAGTTTTAGAAACAATTTAAATATTATGAATATATGAAATCCATTTTGACATTAAATTTAATAAAAATCATATTTTTCATTTTTACAACAAGTACTTTTATTATAGGTGTGTATTTATACTTTTGGATAAGCGATTAAACTGATTTTGTATAAATTTCATATAAATTTATTAGATACTATCTTACATAACTACTAACCTTATAGATTTATTGTTTTTAGATATCATAATATTTTTTGCTAATAAGTATTTAGGTTAAACTAAGAAGAAACTAATTAAGAAAAAAATATAAGAATTTAAATTAGCCATGTAAGGTATTAAATGAAAATTAAAAAATAAATATATATACATTATAATTCCTAAAATTAAACTGTTAAAATTGAGAACAAAACTATTAATTAATAATCATTCCATTATTTATAAAGTTGTTTCTGACATCTCTCTTGAACTAACCTTCTTATCCCAATTATATCCATCACCTAATGGTTTTCCAACTGGTATAAACCAAAAAAATGGATTTTTGCCAAAATAAAATTAAAAATTATACCAAAATCCTAAATTATAAATAGTTAAATCATTATGCTTATAAAATTAGATTAAATTTTTACATATTTTCTTTTAGTTTATGCTTCAATATCTAATATTAACTAATCAAGTGTACAAATATTAATTGTAATCAATTTGAAGTTACTCCAAAAAAAATAATATAAACCAAAACCATTTAAGAATTATGAAAATGTCATTAAAAATATGAATCCTGCTTTAACTTTATTAAAATCTAATGAATCATATACCCATATCCTATTCCAAAGTGCCATTATATTTGTTAATCCAAGGAAAGTGGCTTATAACATACCAACTGAACCCCAGAATAATATAAGTATAAAGAATTTCCTATTATATAAACCTATGCAATTAGAAGTCCAAACACAATGATGATCCATATTTAAAACACATCTTTTACATTTAGAACAATGATGTGATCTTTCAGGTCTTTTTATTCTACATTATAAGCAATAATCTCTTTGTCTTGTTTCATCATATTCTGTTAAGATACTTTTAGGAATAAATCCTGGATCAATTCTTGATGTTTAAAATAATGCCCAAAATAACATAAGAATGCTAAAAGTACCTATAAATACATATATCCATTCAATCATGCTTTCTAATAATTAATATTCTTCAATACATTCTGAAATTTATATAAATACAAAGTAAACAAATGTAAAGTATATGAATAGTACTAATAAGGATAACATTAATGGAAAGTATTTCTTAACAACATCAGGCATAATTTCAGCAATCATTATTAATTAAATGTATATTTATAGAAATATAAATTATATAAATAGTTAATATAATTGTATCTAATAATAAAGAGATAGTCTATATACATATGAATCATCATAATTAACTCAAATTTCTTAATAATCTAAATATTAATATGGACTTATTATTTAAGTAAATTCAATATATACTTATTTTAACTTATTTGAATAATAATTTCTTATAGAACAGATTTCAAAGTGACTGATTCCTCCTAAAATGAATATACATAAAACTAATTTATTCTACTTTTTCTTCCTTCTTTTATCTCAAACTTTATTAATCACTTATCTATTTTTAAATTGAATTTGAACAATATAAAGTGATTGTATTAAATTGATTATCATCATTTAAAAGATATTTCTTTATAGTTCTAAAGTCATTTGGTTTAATTTTTATTTAGCAAGTAATCTCTATTCTGATATTTTTAGTTATTCTATTAGATTTCATTTTATCAAAATTAAATCCTAACTTTTATAACCCATAAAATGGTTTCATATCTGTAATTTTATTAAGAATCTATTTACGTTCATATTATGGCATCTATACAGTAAGTAAAATTATTAAAACTAATCTAATTTTATCATTATTTTAAATGTACGATCTAATATTAAGAAATGTAATTCTCCACCTTCATCTTTAACCATTTAATCGGTTCTATCCCAACTATCTAATAATCGTGGAAGACAATTAGCAAACAATTATGAAAATTAATTATTTTTTATTGTAGACAATTTTATAGATTAAAAAGGTCGCAATGAAGGTAAAAATAATTAAATCAGTTACATTTAATCATCAATATATATTTGTAGAATTTCAAAATGGAAAGCATTATCATCAAGAAAGTAAAGATGATGATTAAATTCTTTAATCTATAAAATACGATTAGCTAAATTTTATTTGCATATCTATTTCAATAATCTTTAAGGTAAATTGTAAGAAAATATTACATTAATTTTTCTATATATTAATTAAAACTTTAAAATCATCTATTAACCTATTTACTAAATCATCTAAAGGCGTTATGAAATAGAATGCATCATGCTTAGATTATGGTTTACGTTACAATTCTAATTTTTCAATAGTTGATACTCCCATGTCTATTAGATCTTTGAGTTTCATAATTGAACTTAAAATTTTAACTGTTATTGAATCTAAGATCATTATCAAGCATCTTTCTGGTTTTCTTTATTTAATTGAATAAACTATATTACAAAATCTATTTCTCGCATTTATTTCATTTTAAATATTGAATGAAGATTATAAATATTGAAATAAGTATACTCTTAAAATTATTTTTAATATCTTTCAATAATAATATAAAATGATTATTATTCATAAAATATTTGTTAACTGTTAATTTATACTTATAATTGATTCTTTTCATAATTTAGATGTATATATTTTACCCATTTTGAATAATATCCATTATAATTATTATAGAATTGAATATTGATCTAAAATTTATAATTTCAAAACTATATCTAATTGAAAATAGAAGATTTTCTCTCAAAATAATTAAGTGAAAAACAATTATTATTTGTAAGAAAAATTCTAAAATAAAATAATTAAATTTACTTAACGATTACAGAATGGCTTCAATAACATAATTAGATGAAGAATATAAAATGTACTTCGAATAGATAATGGCTATGTTAGACTAACTAACTTAAATAAGTTTAGAATTTGTGAGCTCTAAATTAACTTTTCTTGAAAAATATTCATAAACTCTTAAAGATTCTTAAATTGATGCAAGATAGCACAGAAATAATCAAATAAAGCATTTAGTTGATTATGTGAAAATGCATCGCAAATCTAAGACAAGATCTGTAATTCATGTTCCTGCAAGCAGAACCTTTCATTTTCATCATAAATCACTTGATATTTAAGATACTTATTTTGAGGATAATGTATAAATAATGCCAAATTCTTGTTTAAATTAGAAAAGTATGAGTGATTCAAAGTCAATACATACAAAAACTATCAAAAATATTTTATAAAAAATGGTTTAAAAGAAATGTTCTCCCTAAAAGTAAGTTAATGATCCAGTTCTTAATTTATTATAAAATGCTATGACTTTATTAGAGACACATCAATAATTTTACTAGGTTGAATTTAATAAATTAAATAAAGATTATGAAGAAATTCTATAAGAAAATCCATAATTTTAGGCTAAAAAAAGCTTATAAAATAAATCCAGCAAAATCAAATAAAACTTGAATTCTCTTATTGAAACTTAAAAATCATTCAAGTCCTATTTGAATTCAATAATGTGAATAAATGACTAAATAATAATTTATTTATATTTATCACTTTTTTTTAGCACCTCCTCCTTTCCCTTTCTTTTTTCCAAGTAATTTAGCTTATTTCATTAAATTGTGCACAGTTTTTTCTTTTATTTTAGCCTCCTTCTCTAATTCTTCTTTCCATTGTTATTCCAATTCTAATCTTCTAGCATTCATTCTAGATATAATCAATTAAATAATATACCTTTATTCAATACCCTCTTAAGCTGTAATAGCCTTTTCCTTATCTTGCATTTAAATAGTAGAAGTTTAATCTTCATTTCTAATTCTTTATCTCTCTTAAAATTCTCTATAACGTTCATCATCATAAATCTTTTTATTTCTAATTAAATAGTCTTAACATTTTCTAACATCATTTAAATTCATTTTTGGATTTTCAGTAATATCTAAACAAATTAAACTAGTATTATCTCTTAAAGCATTAGCCAAAGCTTCACCACATTTCTCATCTAATTTACAATTACATAGATTTAATTATAAAAGAGTATCATTTTTTTCTATAGCTTCACATAAAGCATATATTCCACTATAATCATAAGTATTTCTATCTTTGTCATGATTTGTTAAATTATTATTTTCTAAATCAATAACTCGAATAGATTTATTGATTTCTAATAATTTTGAAATGGAAGCTAATGTTTTTGGCCCAAGATTGTTACCTTCTAATTCTAATCTAATATAGATTAGAATATCAACCTTTCTAACACCATATTTTTTTCTAAACTTGCTGCAATCTCTTAACCTTCTTCATCTCCTATACGTTTCCTACTCATTGATAAACCTTTTAATGTATTATTATTTTCTGTAACCTTCACTAAAACTCTAATTTATGTTGGTCTCAGATCTAATCCTGAAATAGTATAATCTAATTTAGAATCCCCAGTAGCCAAATCAATCATCATATTACCATACTCACCTTTTAATGTATTCATTTATTATATTTCTTCTTAACTTCTTTTTTCTTCTTCTTTTTTTCTATCTTCTTCTTATTTCTTAATTCTTTCTTATTCAATCAAATATTATTGGAATTTCTTTTACTTTTCTGCTTACTCTTTTTATTGTGTCTCTTACTAAATAATTATATAAATTATAATAAAACCTCTTTTTTCTTCTTCTACTCCTCCTCTAATTGCTTCTATCTCCTCTCAAGAGTTCTCTTAGTATTTGGTAAGATTTCTGTAATGATTGATTTATGAGTCTAGTCCATTTTAAAATAAAATATTAAAATTATTAAAAATTTAAGAAACTGTTAAATCAAATACTATATTCCCCCAATATTGTCTAAATTAAAATTAACAATCGTTAAAAGATCTCTTCACTTACACATACTATTGTCGGATTTCAAAGAAAATATCATTCTATTTAATTATTAAAATATACTTTAACTAGTTAATGAATTTACAACATAAAGAATCAAATTAAGGAATAATTTAAATCAAGAATCAATAAAAAATATCAAAATTAAGGAATATCAACAAACAAACACACTTTAAGAATCAATTTAAGTTCTAAAAATATAGACAATATATATTATCAGTCCTAATTGTGGAAAAATTGGAATAATATATATTATTTTAATAGTAATTTAATTCTATTCGAATTGAAAATAATAAATAAAAATACAAAGTGATTATTTCTTCAAAAATTGACTTTGCATATAAACTGATTATGTTTAAAAATAATATAAATTTGAATATATTTTAATAATAACAATGATATAATTATCTTATTTTAAGAAATAATTATAAATAATTAATTGATACATATATAAATCCATATATACAAATAAATATTAAGTAATAATCTTTATGAGAATATTTCTTTTATTATAAGAGTTTTAACATCGATTATGGCATCAATCTGATTAGTAATGTTAAATGTCTTAAGAAATCAATTTTTCATTTATTTAATTATACATCCTCGGTATTAATTATTTAAATATATACATCATGATTTTCAATTCTGAAATCTCAGGCTAATAACAACATACAACATCTCCAGTTGTAACAGGAGGTAGTGTTATTGCTTTGGTTTACAACGGTGGAGTAATTGTTGGGACAGATACACTATGTAGTTATGGAAGTATGGCAGCATTCAAGTATGAAATGAGATTAATACATTTAGAAATGTTTAAAAGATTGCTTAAATATCTAAAAACACAATCTATGCATCTAGTGGTGAATTTTCTGATTTCTAATAAGTTGTGAAGGAATTAGCAAAAATTGATAGATCAGCCTTATAATATGATGATGGAGTTCATCCTTCACCTAAAGATTATGGTAATTTCTTAGCAAGATTGTCATATAAAAAAAGATGCAAAATAAATCCATTGTATTTATAGAATGTTGTAGCTGTATTAAATTCTCAATATTTAGGGATTTCATAATGGAGAAAGATATTTAGCACTTGTTGATATTTATGGTACCTATTTAGAATCAAACTTTATTACAACTGGATTTGCAAGTTACTTCTGTAAAGCTATTATTAGTAATTATTGGAATGAGAATTGTACTCTTGATTAAGCAAAATAAGTAATTAGAGAATGTTTTAAAGTATCAATAGATTATATTATTAGGTGTTATTCTGTAGAGATTGTAGAGCTCATGATGTTATATAATTGGCATATGTAGATGAATAAGGTACACATATTGAAGAACAAGAGAGAGTAGATACAAAATGGGACTTTAATGGATTCAAATTTAGGGCTAATGAGAAATTACACACATAATGAACATTATTATTATATGATATTTGATTATTCACTCCTCTCAAGGATCAGCTACTTATGGTCTAGTAGAAATAAAGCTTTCTCTGCCACTGGGTTACCATTCCATTGCTTCATACCAAAATGTACGCAATTTCATGTCTCTACATCTAATAAAACGCTCAAATCTGCTTGATCTCCAAAAGAATTTGTCTATTCTTTCATGTGAGTGATAAAGTATGTCATATAAACAAACTGGCAACAAAGTTCCTAGTGTTGTAAGTACCATACAAACTGGAGCTATTTTGAGTACTGTTCTTAAGGGTATTGGATATGAACTATTAGGTACAGGCATTATTGTTTATTATTATTATTAATATTATTTTATAATTATATTTATTAAATTATATTCATTCTAAATTAATAGATTCTATTCATTTAAATATCTCTTAAATATGATTATGTTAATTATCTTTAAAATATATATGAAATCTATTATTAATAATACTTAATTTAGAATAAATATACTTTCTTGAAATTAATAAACTCTAATGATATAAATAAAAAGTAAACAAACTTTAATAACAATTCAAATTATAAAATATATAAAAATATTAAATTATTAAATTTATATTATATAATAGTAATCATTTTTTTGTCTTTTAAGCTTTCCAAATTAACTCTTAACTAGTCTCATATTATTTATCCAAGAGATCAATATCTAAACAACGTTTACTTAATTATTTCTTGCAATTTTACTCACTATAACTTTTAGCTCTTTAATTTGAAATCTAATTATTTAATATAACTTACTTAGTTCATAATTTCAAATTACTATTTAAAAGGAATGTTACTAGTTGATGTTGGTGCTTATTTAACATTTTTAGTGCTAGCATTATTAAGGTTGTTTAAGAATGGATTCTATGAAGATATTTATTAAGAAGCCTGCTATTGTTAATTAATTAGATTGTTATTATTTTAAAGGACTTAAGCTTATTAATTACCATAACAAGATTTTGAAGAAGACCTATTATTTTCTGATTAAAGCTGTTATTATTAAAAATAATTAAGAGGTCTCTAACTATTTTATGATGTTTTAGCAGTACTGCATTATTCATATTATCTATGAGATTAAGCAATAGAATCTATAATAGAAATGAATAGTTACATCTGAAATTATTTTCATAAGGACTCATACAGGGTGATTAGTTTTCTTCAACAACCGTTGATAATTGAGGTTAGTCAAGAATTCGTTTAGAATCTGGTCTATTCATGGAAGAATGATGTTAATGATTCTCTTTATTGGCTTTAATATCTTAGGAACGCATAACTTTTGTATTGAAAGCGAATTGTTTATTTTCATAAGTATTCTTTGCACTTTGGGGTTACTGTATTTCAAGCTATTGATTCTTCTTCTATTTGTTTAAATCAACTGACATTTGCATAGATTTTGGCACAGATAGATACTAGTCTTCTCTGTAAGGTTCTTCAAGTTCTTTATTGATACTTTCAAATGCTGAATCAAATGGAGTCCCTTGAAGTTGCATAATTGAAATCTAAGAGAGGATAATTACATGATTACCTTCTTAGGGTTATTAAATATTTTAGAAAAGTTTTCTGGCTTAATTACTTCATCTGGTTCTGTTTTATGAGGTCTTATGGGTGACAATTTTATTTGGTCTTTGGGTTAAGAATGTTTATGTCTACGATGTTAAGTTGCTATTAACTATTATAATAATGATGCCTTAATAAATAGAGATTATGTATTTACATTGTATTGATTCTGTTTATGGGTTTCAATAGTGATTTCCATCAATTGACTGAAAATAGTTGTCCAACCTTAGAGTGTTTGTTTGATTTGATGAATATCTTAAGATAGACAATCCAAGTTGAAAGAGTGAGCTTCCATTAAACCACTTTAGGGGTGATCGTACATTTGATTGTTAAAAATATAAATAAATGTCAAATTAATAATCAGGTAATGAAAAATCGAAAAGCAAATCCTAAAAATTACAGACCATGGAATTGAATGGAAAAAACTATATATTATTGGATAAATATTTTTATAACCCAGATGATGTAATTGGTGAAGGTGCATTCGGTAAAGTTTATCGTGGATTCAATTTTTAAGCGTAATTATTTTGTCTTATTTACTTATAGACAAAATAAAGAAAATGACAAAGAATGTGCCATTAAGAAAATGGAACTTCCAGAAAATATGGCATTGATGAGTGATAGAGAAAAAATGACTTTGGATGCTGTCCGAAAAGAGATTTGTGCTTTAAAATTACTTAAACATCCCAATATAGTTAAACTTTATGATGTTAAGAAATTATAGAATGTTATTTATATGGTTATGGAACTCTGCAATGAAAAGGTAAAGTATAAATAAATTCTTAATGATCTTAGTCTTTATCTGAATTCATAAAAGAAAATAAAGATATTACTGAACCTGAGATCAGATATAAATTTGGTGAAATCCTTAATGGATTTAAATATCTTAGAAGTAAATAAATTATCCATCGAGATGTGAAACCTGAAAATATATTAATTAGAAAAGGAGTTTTAAAAATAGCTGATTTTGGATTTGCTAAATAACATAACTCCAAAACATAATTACATTCTTATTTAGGAACTAGAGCTACTATTGCACCTTAAGTTATTTTAGGTAAATTTGTTTAGAATAAATTTAGGTGATTATACTGATAAATGTGACATTTGGAGTTTAGGAGCTACTCTATATTTTATGTGTTTTAAGAAATATCCATACAAAGAATTCTATGCAAGTGAAATTAAATTAATGGAATTAATGAAAAGAGATTTTATTGAATTTCCAAAAACTGGTATGTAAGTTTCTTAACCTTTATAATAAATTATTGTATAAATGATGAGATATAGGGAAGAAGATAGAATTGATTGGAACGATTTATTTGCATGTCCTTTATTTTAAAATAAATTATTAAAAGAAATGGGATTAAATATATTTGAATATCATGAACCATAGGATGATTCTGTTGATATTAATGAAGCTAAAATTGATGATTTTGATTTTGAAATGAATGATCATTCAGAATAAGAAATTGAAAGATTTTAAGAAAATGCTAATGTTGTTATTGATTAAGCTGAAAAATAAAGAAAAAATGAAGAAATTTTCTCTAAATTAATAAGTAGACTTACTTTTGAAAAAGGTAAATGTATGTTCTTAAGATTACTATCTTAAAGAGTTAAAGAATATGAATTAACTTTATCTAATAAATTAATATTTGAAAAAAGTAAAGTAGATATTTCAGATCATCTTAAATCACTAAGATTTGGATTAAATAAATTTGAGCTTATTATAAATAGAGGATTAGTAGAATGGATGGAAGTTAATAAAAACTTTAAATATTATTGTTGTTGGGATATTAATAATCCAATAGGTGTAAATGAAACTGATTGGGAAAATTTTTTAACTGAAGGATTAGATAGAGAAAAAATAAAAAAAGCACTTGAAAAAGATTTAAATATTACTCAACAATATGTTTACAGTGCATCATAAGATTAATTATAGTAATTTTAATAAATGAATGAAAAAGCATTTTAAAAATTGAATGTTAATAAAGAATTTATGAGTTCTAATTTCGAATGCAATAAGAATTTTTTTAAAGTTCTTTATGATCTAAGTTTAGGATTAGCACGATTGCTCTTCCCAGAAATTGTGAAAATTAGAAATAATCTAGATTCACTTCATAAAGTTCTTCCAACTTTAGTTCTTGTTGATGATCTTTTCATTTTATTAACACTTGATTCTGTATTTTCACATACTGATACTACTTTAGTGAATTACACAGCATTTTTTGAATTAAGAAAAAAAAACTATTCAGAGGATTAAGTCATGTATAAGACAATGTATTAAAGAGTGATGAGAGCATATGAAGTATTTTTCGAATGAATAAATTATTCATTCACAGATATATATATATACATTTATTTAATAATAGTCTAGAATTATTTTATGTTTCTTTCATAAATTATGCTCTTTGAAACAGTAAAATTCTTTTTCCATTAGAATATACTAATGCCTCAAATTAATTTTATTTAATATTAATCATTTATATATTACATTCAATAATATTATGACTCATCTTCTTCTTCTGATTCTGGCATATCTAGGTTTCTCTTTTATTTTTTTGGTTTTGGTACTCCTTCAGCAGTCACTCTTCTAATTACATTAAAATTATATTTACTTTTTCTTTTTCTTCTTTTTTTCTTATTATTAATCCTCTTAACCTTCTTCTTTTTATTCAACTTTTTAAGGTTAATCCTCTTATTCAACTTCCTCATCATCTTCTTAATCTTCCTCTGCCTGATGTTTTAATTATTCGATCAATTCACCCTCATTCACTTATTAGAATTATCGATCCTTATGATTTCCCCATTTCCTATTTTTTCCTCTAGCGTCTTTAGGCATTTAATAAATTTTTTAATATATATATATATTTATATCAGCGAACGGATCATTCATCACTTAATATAAGTAATGTATAATATTCATCATTAGTTATAAGTTAATTGTCAACACTGTGAGCCTTAACCTGAGAAATTTTCATTCTCAAAAGTGTTTAGAGATATTTTATTTAAATAATTTAAATAAATTAATAATTAAATTTTATACTTATAAAAAAGAATATTAATTCCTATTTTATCAATGATTTCTATGGGAATCACTGTTAACTAATATTTCAACATATTAATTTATTACTTCTAAAAATAATATTAGAGCTAATCCTATTATAATAAAAATACAATATCCAATCACTGAATTTTTATTAAGTATCACTTAAAAATTGAATTGATATCAAGTATGATTTAGTGTTCAAAATTTTCAGGTATTAATTTTTATTGGTAAAAACTGTTCCAAAAATATATTTAAAATGAATTGAATTCATAATTGACAACAATTTAAAATGAAATGAACTTATTAATCGAATTCTACTTAAAAAAAAACAAACCTATTACATGAGAAATATAAACAGAAGAATACTTAATGAAAATTCGGATATTATTTCTAATAAAACTTAGTTACAGACTTTAGTTAGTTATATTAAAAAAATTAATGAAATGCTTTAAATTTATTTTTATGAAATTAAAAAATGAATAAAATAAATGTAAAAGCAATTTTGAACAAATACACTACTCAGTAATCAGAATACTGTAAATTCTTCACAAATTGGACAATAAGATTTTAGATTTTTATTATCTAATTTTCTATCATCTTTTTTTGCAAAGCATTTAAAATTACAAAAGCTATTTTTACAAATTTATACCTATAGTTGATTTTAAGTATCAAATATTTTTTCTAATTATTAGGAGAGTAACATATCAAATAAATTTCTATTAGACAGATTTGTTAAATCTTTTATTTTGATTCTCTTATTCTATAAACATTCAAATTATTAATTGATATTGTTTTTTATCCTTTATTAAAGCTGGTATTTCAATATTAAATTATAATGTTCCTACTCATAATCTTAAATTTGAGAATGATTGATTAAGCATTTCTAATTTTCATTTAAAGTTTAATAAACCTCTTTCTGATTAGTCTTCTTAAAAGAATTTAACTAACCAACATTTTTATTCATCTCTTCCTTATCCTTAACTAAAGATTGTGGAGTTAATTATTCTTATTTATCTTATATATAAGTCTCTAATTATTTATTAATGTCTGTTTATCTTTCTGCCTGATGATGTTGAAATTACGCTTATGGAGGATTGTAAATATAAAAAAGAGAAGAACATTTATTTATAGTTTCGGTCAGCTTCTATTGAATAGAATTAATTTATTTTAAAATTTCCTCAATCATTTTATTAATAACTTCTTTATTCTCCAAATCCTCTTCTTATAAATCTACCTTCGCAAATGATTGAAAATTTCCTATTTTATCCCAAGCTTCTTTAAAAATAGTTTTTATTTAAACTAATATAGCCTTATTATAATCAAATGAAGTTTATTCATTTTTAATAAATTTTTTTCTTTTATTCGTTTATTGATCCTACTTTAATTCTTAGATATTTTACTCTTTCCAACCCTAAATTGTGTCATTCTAATCATTCATTATTTTTTTTATGATTTAATTAATTAAAAATTTTGAAAAATATATATTTCTGGTTTAAGTATTTTAATGTCGATATTTAGAATTTGTTATATTGCTTAATTTATATCATAAGAACTATATGGATTTACTAAATTTAGTTAATTCCTTGATATAAAAATGCTAAAATTTATCAAGATATAAGCCAGATATTTTATTTAATATAAATTGAGAGTTATTAAAGGTGATAAAATGAAAATTAATTTATAATTATGGGATCTAAGTAGATTATTGAAATAGCATTTGAGTTTAATAATAATTTAGAAAAAGTTTGAAAATTAATTATTAATTATATTAATAATTATTATATAAACAAATGCAAGAAGATAAAAGCTTTGCAATTATAAAAAGAATGCAAGAAACTAATTATCAACCTCAAGATGGTGATTTAAAAGAGCTATTAGCAGGAATTTAAGTAAATTTCTTAATTGATTTTTTTGAGAACCTAAGGATAATTGATATCATCATTGATGAAGAATAGTCAACGAATTAGTTTATTAATAACTTAGAAGCTAGTAGATAACGATAAATAGTTTTATAGTGTATTATTTACCATTGTAAAATCATCTTAAAAATGGAAATAATATAAAGCTGATGTTTTAGTTATTAGTGTTATTCCCAGTCTCATCTCATTAAATATACTGAATGGAGAAGAAATTGTATCAGTATTATTATTAGCTGTCTATAATGAATATTTGGAATTTATTAATTAATAAAATGAAACACATCTATCTTTAGATAGCTTACCAGTAATGAAAAACAAATATGAAAATAGTTTTCATAATGCAAAAAAAAGAAAATAGTATTAAATCATAACTGAAATAACATAAACAAATTTATTAGAAATTCATTAAATGCTTCTTGAGCTATTCTTAATATATCTTAATTAAATGGACTAAGTGATCTTAAAATAAGCAATAAGACTAGGTTATATTTTTTGTGGTTCATCTTATACAAATTAAGAATTAAAAACTCTTGAATATCATGGCGTATAAGACTAGATCTTTAAAGTTCAAATGAGTGATCGATCTATGGAATTATTGTTATTCATTGTTTCATCTATCAATATAAAGGATGAATCTATTTTACATGTTCATCATCTAATAAATTTAATAAGGAAAAAGGCTGCTAATGAATCTAGATTTAGTGTGGCAGGGTTAGCACAATCAGTAAAAACTATAACTGATGATGTATTCGAAGGAGTATTTTGAACAGTATTTATTGAAATATATTTATAATAATTCATTGATAAGGTATTAGTTGAAATAAAAAAAAAGATCTGACTTTAAAGATTAATAATAATAGCTTATTATTAAAATCTGAAGATTAGAAAGATCAATTAATTTTATTATTATATTTTAACACTAACTTTGAATTCACTTTTTTGATTTCTTTTATTTTTCATATTACTCTCTAAGTTTTCTATCATTTCTTTATAAATTTTCTAAAAGCTCTTTATTTTTTTAAGCCATTGGAATATCTCCAATTTTTAAAGATTATAAATCAGACCTATTTTTATGGTCGCTTTCAAGTGGTTATTTATCCATCTTAATTTTGAATGGTACTACATATCTATAATCCCAATATCTCACATTATCAAAATTAATGAATCCTATATATGTGCCAAATACTGTTGAAACCTTTTATCCTTTGCATGTAATATCTGCTTAGAAATAATCCGAAGTTCTAAACTCTTAATTTAAATTTACTTCTTTTTTACTTTTCCAATATCAATAATACACTATAATCCATTGGCTTTATCTTAGAATGTAATTTTGTTTATAGATTCCTATCTGAGTTGGCCAAAAAAAGTCCCACTATAAAGTTCATTAGGGAAATCAAAATCAATCTTTTAACCATCATTAAATTCAATTGATCGCTTCCCTTTATTAATAATCTAAGATAGAATTTTTTTTTATACTGTCACAGAATTTAATCCTGCTCTTCCTTCAACCAAATAATATCCATAGTATTTGTACTTTTTGTTTGGTCCATAAACTAAAAAGTAACTTACAGGTGGATGATGCATAATTTATTCACAATATACTTAAGTTCCATCATTATATGATGCTTGTAAAGTTTCACCCAATATTGGATTAAGCTAGATTAATATTAATCATACAGGTTTCAAAAATGTGTTAGTCCAAAAAAATGAAGATAATGTTGCTGTGATAACTAATTTAAATCTTTCCAAAAAATCTGGTGTCATAGTTGCCTTTGTAATATATAAAGGAAATATGGAAGCTATGATAATTTACTTATATTTATTACTTCCATGAACAGCAGTTTCTAATGCAGTTTTAGGAATCATAACTCTAATAGGAAAACTCACTTTAGTGAGATTCAACGATCCTGATAAGATTTTCTTTCCTATTTATTTTACCATTTCTTTTCCTACACTTCTTGCCTTGCTTACTACTTTTTTATCAGCACATATTCTTCCTCCTTTTTCATATCCTTCAATATGACGAATTTCTTCATCATTTGGGAAATTTTTTAAGCTGAGCACTAATTAAAGCATTTCATCTCCTGATATATCATGATAACCAACATAATCCAATTTATCAGGATCAGCTATTCCTTCGTTTTCCTTGTCCTATTCTTAGACTTATGTGATAGGATCAAATCCTTTTTCTTCTAATTCTTTATCCTCATTAGTAACAACTTAAGTATCATCCTTTAAATTTATTAAATATTTACCTCAACAAAATCACTCTCATCTTTTTCCTCTTATTATGGTTAATTAGTCTCAGGCTTCTTTTTTTTGAACCAACTAAGCATTTTTTAATGACAATTAATTAAAAATAAAAATTTATTATTATTAAATTCAATAATATATTCAAATATCAAAAAAATATACTTTCTTCTACCCTAACTAATTTAATAAGTATGTCAAAATATATTTTATATACATATATAAAAGGTTTCATAAAAATTACTCTTTTTGATTCTTATAGTAGTCATTCTCCATTAATTTATTTAATATTAGTTTTATATATTCTCTTAATTTTTGGCTATCTGGTATTTTATTAAATTAAGTCTTTTCAAAAAAATTAAGCCATTCAATTTTTCGATCTGGTTTTAATTTGTATTTCTTAGCTCTTTGTAGTAACAAAAACTCTCTTTATTTTTATTTTTTTTTATTTCGTATTAAATCAGAAATCAATTGAGTCAATTTTTAAATATTAACTCCTTGTTTATATTTATTACCTATGATACCAACACCAGTTGATATTTTAGAGTCAGTAGATAATCTCTATCTGATACTATCAAGTGTGTCTGTAGAATCTAATGAATCACAAGTTTCTAAAATAACATTTGTCGTTAATAACTCTTTTAAATTGTCTGTTTATGTTTGATGAAGATCTTTTTAATAAGAATTTTCATTTTAGTCACTCTTGTTTTCACTCTCTAATTAAAGTTATTCTTCTAATTCAATATCTTAACTTTAAGTAAAAAACGAAGTTTTAAGAGATTCTTATTTAGATTCTTATTTAAATTCATTTAGTATTCTTTTAATCTTATTCTAAATAGCTTTTAATTCAATCTCAACTTCATAAAACCATAAGGGATATAACATTTTTTAATTAATCAACATTAAATCCATTGAATCATTACAATTTTAATTTGAAGAAAATAGTTATTCCCCTTCCTTCAACCAGTGTTTATCAATTAATAGTTTCTTCTCATATTTAAAATTTATTCTATGTCCTATCCAATGAACATTATCCTCATTTATATTTACATCTAAAGCATAATTTACATACTAATAAAAAAGTGTTTAATCATTTTATTAATCCAAATTTTTGAAGCTTTCTTCTAAGATCTTTTAAATTTAATCAGAAAGCATAATCTAACACCAAAATCTCATCATATAACCAATCAACTTAAAATGAGGATATTAATTATTTTCGTTTTTATAATCAAACTATATTTAGTACATCAATTACATGTTATCAATTAACTATTCATAAAAATTTGAGTATCCATTCATCAGTTTTTAATAAAGCTCATAGAATTAAATATAAAGCTATATATTTTATTTATTATTTGCTAATGATTTATTTTCAAGAAATAATTCTTTGAAAAATATGCAATAATGAACTATCCTTTAAAACATTTAAAAACATTCTTTTATTATTTTATTTTATGGGTGAATTTATTATTATCGTAATAAAAAAAAGTCTACAACACACCATTTCAAGCAAATCAAGGTTTGAAGATCATCACAATTGAGCTTTTATTTATGATATTACTCTTAAATTAAAATTCCATCATATTTAGAATTATTTTACACAATTTTTGGTATAGCCACTGACAATTAAAACCATGTAGTTACAATTGTAGAAATAGGATCGTTGTGAAGCAAAGCTAATACTTCATTAGATTTATGTGATTCATTAATGTTCTCTTAATGTATGGGGTGACTTTTATCATTTTAATTTATCTTTTTTAACTTAATATTCAATGTTTTCAAATAAGATATGCAAAAATCACATGTGCTGTATTATCTATTCTATTGATTTTAAGTTTGACTTTGATCCACATATTTTTGGTTTTATTATAATGATAAATCATTATCATTTTATTATTCTAATATATTTATATTTTAGTATGGCTGAACTTATTAAGTCTCTTCTTAATCATTATAGCACCAACATATTTGATTTCCCATTTAAATTCAATATAGAATTTATTAAAATTATTATAATTAGGAAACAAAATTTAGCTTGCTATGGAGTGTACATAAAAAATCTTATTTCTGATATTTATTTCCCTCTATGAAAACTCAATATAAAAAGAATAAAGGATTTTAATTAGCCTAATGAAATATAGTCTAAAAATTGATTAATCTACCAAAAATAACGCCAGATAGGTTTATTTAGATCAATTTAGGAATTAATGTTGAACTTATTCGTCTAATTTTCTAAAAAATAGTACACAAAATTAATTAAAGAAAATAGTTTTAACATATAATCAATGATGAAAAAAAATTATTAAAAATATAAATATAATATATATATTTAAAATAATAAATAGAATTAGAGTATAAAATATCATTATTGAATTAAGGAGTGACTTCATATATTAAATAAAAACGAGCATTACAAGAAACAAGCAATATTCGTATTATCTTATTAAAAATTGTTTGTAAAAATACTCTTGAATATATATTTTGAAATATATATCAAATAGCCTTTCAGAAATTTTTTGAATAAAAACTAATTGATAAGCTTTCGATATTTTTTGAAAGAATATTTTTATACGGGTGGCCTAATTAAGTTTCTACTTAATAAGATACCACTAAAAATTTAATTTCCCTTTAAAATTAAATAAAGAACTAATTAAAAAAAATTATTATAATCAATATTTAACTATTATATTGGAAATTCATCATACAATTGCTATTTTATTCATTTAATTTTTTATTAACTTAGAAATATTTAGAATCATTCTAAATTAATATAGGTTGAACAAAAAGTAATAAGTATAGCTTGTTTGAATCATTGAAATAAAATTAACTTATATATGCCTACAATTCTCTACTTATTAATTCTTATATAGAGTCCAATTACTTAATAATACTAATATTTTATTGTATTTTTTGGAATTCGATTAAAATATATTATTTTATTTAAATGTCAAATATTGAATAAGCAAAAAGAAGAAGATCGAAGAGAGGAGAATTATAAGGAGATTTTAAATGTACATATGATGGATGTGGAAAGGAATATTTAAGTTATCCAGCACTATACACTCACATCAAATCAAAACATGGTCCAGAATATATTAGTGAAATGTAAAGACCAAGAGGATAAGGGAGCAGAGGAAGACCTAGAAGAGACGATGTAAAGTTTTATCTTATCTAGTTAACTACTAACTAAGCCATAGAATAACCACCATTTTATTTAAAAGTACAAATAGAAGCTAAACAATCTATCGATGATTTTTTACTTGATTTGGTTGGAGATAAATATAAACAAATTCTTTAAGCAGAAGCAGACATGATTTCAAAGTATTCATCCAAATATTATTACATTAGTTATGATTTAGAAAGTAGAATTAATTAAGTGTTTTAATTTATTGAATCTAATATAAGCAGTAAAATTGAAGATGATTCTTTTATGATCACTTTTGCTGATGTTTTAAAAAATGAACATAGATATGAAGCTGAAAATGATATTATAAAAATTGGATGTGATGAAACCATATGCCTCTTTATTAAAGAATTATCTTACACACTTAATTTGAGATTTTTACAAGAAATAGGATATTTTCTTTTAAGTTTTAGAAATTATATATTTAACAATCATAATATCACATCATTTTCAGCTCCATTATAATTTGGAGATTTGATGAATAGTTTTATGCTAGAAAAAAAAATTAACTATTTTAATGATACCTAATTATAATAATTTTATACAGAACTTCAAGACTAAGATTAGTATTTTTTAATTCTATGATAGAATATATTTAAAAAAAGATAAAAGTGAGAATTTGTAAAGAAAGATTGGGCTTCATTTTTGCACTTGGTTATTCCATTCAAGATATACTAGATAATTAGTGTAATTAAAATGAACAAAAGAAATATTATTCATTTTATATTGAAAAATTATGTATATAATATTCGATTCAAATCATGAGTGAATAATTCAAATTTTATTCGAAAAATATCATTTCCTGCAATCATCTCCAATAAACTTCATCAATGCTTTTAAAAGCCACTTCAAAATGTTGCTATTTTTATTTAAAAAAAAACAATAGAAGTTATTGAAATCAAAAAGATTATTTATAAATATTTTAATTAAAAATGAATAAATTTCTAATTTTAGCAGAGCTTATTCACTTTCTGTCATTTGTCTTGCTTTATTACAAAATTAAGAAAACTAGAAGTTGTTTAGGAATATCATATAAGACTCAAGAGATATATCTGATAGTTTTTTTAACAAGATTTTGCGATTTGAATATACATTTTGAAACTATAGATTATGTTTTGAGATTATTTTATTTAACTTTGACAGCCCTTTTAATTTACACTATTAAATTTTAAAAGCCTTTTTGTTTGGTATTTAATATTAACTAATTTAATAGACATATTAAAAAGATTAGGATTAATCTTAATTTTATTTATACATTTATCCAGCAGCATTTCTCCTAACTTTAATTTTTCATACAGGAACATCAATGACTTAAATATGCTAATCTTTTTCTATATGGTTAGAAGCATTAGCAATTTTACCACAAATGAATCTAATGTATAAAATTAAAGATGTAGAGAATTTAGCAGGATATTATGTTCTCTGTTTAGGAATTTATAGAGGTCTTTATGTTATAAGTTGGTATTGTAGAGTGTTTCATGCTGGTTGGTGGTGTTCAACTACAATTTTTGGAGGGACATTAGCAGTACTTGTTTATTCAGATTTTGTTTATTTATTTTTTAAAAATAAAGGAGCATTTAAAGTTATTGTTTGATTTATTGCTTTATATTTTTAGTAAATAAAATTATAATCATTTTTTTTTAAATTAATAATTAATATCATTAGAGAATTCTCATTTAAACATAATTTACTACTTATTTATAAAATCCTTTAATTAACTATTTTACATTTTAATTACTATGCTAATCTACATAATTCAAATTATACATCAAAAAAGCATTTATTTAGATACATTCAAATCATTCTTAATAATAATATCTTCAGCTTTTGATTGAAGTGCTCTGAGATGGTTTTTGTCATAGAATTATTTATTCCTTTTAATAATTATTAACTAATTAGAAATTATAATTTTAATTGTTTAAGATTAAGATTGAGAGATAGTATATTAAAATATAAATTCATTAATTTAATAAGATAGAAAGCTTTAATAAAGAATTAAATACAAGAATTTATTGATAAAATTAAATTTTTTATTATTTATTTAAAATAATATTCTCAGTATTGCTTTTGATTTTCTGCTAATAACTAAAATTAAATGATAATGTCTTTCTAATAAGGATGTATTTATTAAGATAATTTAATGTCAAAGATACTATTATCTAATTCCATTTCAGTAAAATATTAATTTAACTTAAAACAATATTGACAACACTAAATCATGTGAAATAAAACATATGTAATTTGACTATTTTGCTTTTATATTAGTTCAGTAATTTCTTTATGGAGAAAATCATTAAAACTGTTTTAATCTAGTTGATTTTAAACCATTTTTTGAATTCTTTTATCACCAGATTATATCTATTATTTTGCAATATCATCAAACTGTAAATCTATAATTATTGATTATTATTCTGATAATTCTTATTGTTTCTTTAACTAAATTAAATCAAGTTATAAATCAGGGTCATTTATATTAATTTAAATTTATAATTCTAGTTATTCTTTGATTGATTCAATCATTTTTTTAGCTTGGTAGCATAAAAGTACAACAGCAAAATGTGCTCTCATTTGAATTTAAAAAATTTCCAAAATTGTATTTGAGAAGAAATAGAGATCATTCATTTTTTTGTTAATTTGATTAATTATTTGATTCATTTCATTTGCTTTCCTATTTTTTTCTTTTATATCATCATCTTCAATGTTTTTTTTTTGTATTTCATCAATTTAAAAATTTTATTTATTTTAAGATTATTATTTAATCTCTTGTTATTATGGTCTAGGATAAGACATCAAACGCTATTAGGTTGATTCAATCTCTTTCTAATTAGCTTTTTCAATTTTATTTCCTTCTTTTTGATAAAATTCAGCATGTTCTTCCATAATAATTCTAGCACTTTCAATTTAAATCCTACTAATTTAGCCTAAAATAATATAAAATAAAAATTACTAAAAATTTATTTCTCAAAAACTTTATGTTAAGTGATTTTTTAGAAAGTAATTCTTTTGTTTGGATCAAATTAAAGCATATTCTAAAGAAGATCCTTTGCTTCTTCTGATACATCAATTTTATTCTTTGTAAAATTTATCAAAGCTAAATTTATATTATTTAAATACGCTAAGTTTTTAATTTATAGTCTTTTTAACTGAATGGAAACCTTCCATATAAGATTTAATAAAAGATGACTCCAACAGAAAACATATCTGATGATAAACCATAAGAATTTGAATTAAGTATTTCTGGAGCCATTGTGTAAAGTGATCCAAGCTACAAATGAGATTAATCATTCTAAATATTTATTTAGAAATTACTTCATTTTCCAATATTTTACAAAAACCTAAATCTGCAATTTTATAGATAGAATGATTATGGATTAAAATATTGGCAACTTTTAAATCTCTATGAATAATGCAAGCAGCATGTATGTCTCTTAATCCTTAAAGTATTTGTCGAAGTATCCCTAAAGCATCTTGTTCTGTAAATTGAGTCTTTGGATTTTTTATTTATTATTCTAAATCTCCAGCTATTTATATTTGTGTAATATATTACAATTACAATACTCCATTACTAAGTAATTATATGTATTATCTTGAAAGCAATCTACAAATCCAACTACATATTTGCTTTTAATCTTTTATAAAGCCTTTTATTCTGATTCTACAAGTTCACCTAAAATTCCATCATTCTCTGCAAACCTTTCAATTTCTATTACCTTAATGGCCACAATGTCTTTAGTCTTCATACTTTTACCTTAGTACACCTACTTTATTTTGATATTTTACATTTCCAAAAGCTCCTTATCCAATAAGTTTAATAAACTTATACCCTTTGATTTCTTTATCAATTAAGTTAAAGTTGTTCATGCAATTAAATTAAATAATAAAATATAATAATTTATTATTACTACACTCACCTTATTTAGAGATATTTTTTAGAATACTTGTTTGAATTTCTCTTTTTTTATTATATCGATGATAATAATGTGGATGAAATATTCGCTTTATGCTTAGGAGAGAATTTTGATCAAATTCTATTATAAATTATTATTATATTTAGAAATTTATGAATTTAATTAATATTATTTTAAAAAGTAATTGATATAAAATAAATAATTATAGAAATTGAGACATATCAATCGATTTTCTTTTATCTTATTTTATGTGATATTTATTATATATATATTATTTTTATTGATAATATTTAGTGTAAATTTGAAATATTAGAGCATTTCTTGAATTGAATTTCTTTTATATTTTTTCTCTATAGAATCTCATATTTTTATTATTATGCATGAATTTTTGAATGAAAAATTGATTAAATCAATTTAATAATTTTTAGAAATTTAACAAGTTTTTATTCCATTAAAAATAATATCTTTTCAGTATTCCATTTAATTTATAATTCTATTATGAAAAATTAATAATTATTATAGCTAGCAAATGCTCAATCCCATAGCATCTTATTATCTCTATAGTTTATTTCATATATATTCAAATTTATCCTAATTAAAATTAGCTTAATTCCTAAATAAAATTACTGTAAATTAATTTTATTTTTTAGAGATAATTCTATAGTTAAAAAAATGATCCTTTATAAATTCGATTTAATTTTAATTGCTTGATTAGATTTTATTAATAAATGTATGTAAAATTTCCTATTGCTAATTTTCTAATATTTAATATTCTATTAATATTTTTAATTGTTTAAAATAATTTTATTTATGTAGAATGTAAATTTAATCAATTGATAGCAAAGATTGCAAAACCATGATCAGTTGAATATGCTAATGTGAGTTGATTTCCTATTCTTCTACCTCCTCCATGAGGATGATCTAAAAGATGACTGAATCGTTTAGTATCTTCAACATCATGACTATCTGTTTATCTAAGATCTATTGTTTCTGAAGGAGAAAATCCTATCGAGTGATTCCTTACTAAATACCAATATAATTCATCACTGCTTCTGCTTTTTCTCGCCTTTGATTTACTGATTGTTTCTTAAAATACTTCGAAAGCATAATCACATGCCATTAAAACAAAACGATCTGGTTATTTCATATCTATACCACCAAGACACACTATTGCTTAGTGGCTCAATTACTATTAAATTTTATTAATTTTATCATAGGTAAATTGAATTGTAAAATCTTTTAAATAATATTGTTTGAATCCAGTCAATAATATGAAAGGAAAATCCATATGAATTTTACCTAATAATTCCAATTAAGCATTATAATAATGACGATTAATTTCTATCTTTTCTACTACAAATTTTCTCACTTCTTCTAATGCTGTTTAAAACTTTAAATTGGCTTCCTTAACTTATTCATTTGTTTCTAAGATTTAAGCCTAAATTTCTCTTGTATTTATATCTTTTTTCTCTTAAGATTAATACTTATCTTTTGAATAATTTTAAAATTTAACATCTAAATTAAAAATCATTTAAGTTTGATTCTAAAATTATTATTCTAAATTTTCAATCTATATTTTTTAATTATTATTAATTAAAGATTATGCATTAAAGTGATCTTTATAACTTTTCTATAATTCTAATATTTCTATTTTTAATTTTTAATTAAATAATTTTATGTACTCTATATCTTTGATTATTTCTTCAAACCACTTATTTTTCATTTCTTCAATTTAATTTTTTGTATCTAATTACAAAAGAGTCATTTATTCTTATACTGTCTATTTAATCTATTCAATCAACTTTTATTCATCCTTCAAAACTACATTACCACTAGAATTATTCGATTAAAAAATAAAGTTACTGAATAATATCATCAAAATAATGATAAATGTAAATTTTAGTAACTTATTCATATTGAAAGGTCTCTCTAAAGCTATAACTTTTTCTTCCAATGCTTAAAATTTTTTCTTTTAGCTATCAAGTCAATATTAGAATTATTTACTTTTATAAAGTTTCATAGACATTAAGATCCTTTTATTGAAGGAATTTGTTCACAGTTGTAAATAATTCATAAAGTTTCTATTAAATATTTGAATTATATTGATTTTCATTAGAATGAAACAAATCAAATATAACATTGTGATTTTCTTAATTATAAAATTGAACCTTATTCATCAACTATTACTAACCTCCTAAGTAATTTATAAATTTTGTTATTTCATTCTCTACTTTTTAAACTATTTCCTCTAAATATTCTGTTGAATGAAATGGATATTTTTATATGTATTGAACTTTCTCCTTCTAAAAGTCAATAGCTTTTTGCTAAATTTAATTTAAAAATAATGTTCTTTACTCTTTCTTTTATAACACTTTTGACATTATTTATGACATTTCCATAAAATCATCAAGATGAGAAATTTTCTATTTTTTATCCCGATGTAATTTTGTTAAACAAGGGTAACAATGTAACTACTTTTTATGATCAGCCAAACACTACTTATTTGTACAAATATATTCTTCTTTATTTTATGTTTAATTGCAAGGTTTATAAACTTAAAAAGACATTGTATATATATTTTTAATTGAAAATATTAATTCTTAAATTTATATTATCTAAACTTTAACAACACACCTCATTATCAAATTCTCATTAATATTTAGAATAAAATATTGAATAAATTAGTAGATAACCCTATTACCAACTTTGTTAAATTGTTATTTAAATATTATTAAAATTATTTAAGAAATAAAGTACATCTTATTTCAATATTTACTTTATTTTTTATCTATTTTTAATACTTGTATTGGTTTAAAATTCTTCTAAATAAATTTAAATATTATGAAAAAATTCATTATATTATAATATTATAGATCAATTTAAAATCACAATTTATTATTAAATTAAGGAGTTCTAGAATAATCAATTTTTTTTTCTTTTTTATTTTATCTTGGATTATAATAATCAATAAGTTAAGTTTCTAAACATTTATAGCAATCTAATTTCTTTTTTTTATTTCTGCAAATTGAATTTAAAGATCATTTTTATAAAAATATTAATTGTCAATTAGATTTTTATGCTTTTTTACTTTCATTTAATGAGAGAAATTATATAAGGAAATACATCAATAATAGAATCAGATTCATGATAACAAGAATATTTGTTTAACTAATTCATATATACATTTTAGAATAGTAAAATAAAATAGAAAAAAATATTATATTTACTTTCAGGAATAAAAATATCATTATTATTATTTCATTTGTTCCATTTTTCTTTAAAGCAGTGTTTATTCCAATTTATCTTTTTTTATTTACAATTTATGTTGTTACTTTCTTAAATTTAAATATGTTTATAATTCTTCATCAAATTATTTATTCAATATTATAGTAGATCCATTTAGATCCTCTATTTTTTCATTACTTATTTCATCTAACTAGTTAATTTATTCATCTAACTGTCGGACTATATGATATGGATCCAATCTCTTTAATATATTTAATAATTTTTATACATTTTGAACTTCTTTACATTCTCTATCCTTATTAATGACATCTGCTTTTAGTCTATCAAAATATGCTGCTAAACTTATCAATTCAGCCTTTTAATTTTTAATCTTTTTATCCTATTCAATTAGATGATCTACAACTAATAAATAATTTATACCAGCAAAATTTTCGTTTGTTTTTCCCAATTCTATTATATATTGAGTCAATAATTTATAATCTGGTAATTTTTCAATATATTCAAGTAACCTTCCACTTTCTATTATTTTTTTATATTCTGTCACAGGAACATTTTAGAATAAGGTCTTTAAATCAACTTATTGAATTTTTTGTATAATTTATTCCTCTTTTATTTTATTTTTTAAATTTGCTAATTCCTCAATATAAGGATCTTACTGAGGTTTATTATATAAGAATTGCTCTTTGATACGTAAAACAGTGAGTTTTAAGCTTTCTTTGTTCTACACTTTAATTTACCAATTTGTTTCATTAATGATTTCATGTTATAAATTCGATATAACAAAAAAATTAGCTTAACTCTATGGAAAATCTTTATTAATCACTCTTAAATATCATTTCTACAATTACAATTTAATTTGAATATCTGGAAGAATAGTAATTAAGTATTGCTCGTAAAAATCTTGGTTTACTTTGTCATGCAATGAAGTTACTGGAAACAATTATTAAAGCTCCATAATTTATTATCTTTTATCCTATTGAGCCTTATTCATGTTGATATTTTGTTGTTGATAATTCATTAATAATAATTATTATTTAATAATTTTTATAATTCACTAAAATGGTTAACATATTATTATATTTTATTATATTTATATTAACAATAAACAAATATTATCATATTTATTTCATTTTTTATATTCATTTAGAAATTAATAATTACAATTTAATAATCCTAATCTTAAAACTAGTAGAAGATAAAAGGAAAATTAACCTTCTATTGATTAGAGTATTGAAGTTATCTTTATAATACATATTAATCCATTTTTAAACATAATAATATCATAATCACAATAATCTTTAATTATTATGTTTTTTGATCAAAATTCTTATCCAATATATAAATAATGCATAGATGGAAGGCATTTTTTGGTTTACCCTATTTATTTTATTCAAAAAGTAAATCGATAAGAGAGCAGTGTAAATTAAGAATTAAAACTTGAAGAGCCTGAGCATAAGATAGAAACTAAAATAGAGAATAAAGAGCATAAAAATTATGATCCTATGGATTTTAATACTTATATGTTTCCAGGACAATCAAAAAATTATTACAAGAACATAGGAAATTAGTTTGCTTCATTCATAATAAATTATTTCGATAAAACAGAAATTCTAAAGGACCCAAAGATATCAAAATTCTTAAAAATAAAAAAACAAAAATATACAAAGATGCATTTTTAATAATTAATGAAGTCAAAAAAAGCAAGATAATTAATCAAAATTTACTTTGGGAATTACCTATGGTGTTCTAGTATTCTTAAAAGAATGAAATCAGATGTAGAATTTTACTTAAGTTTGAATTAACAGATATTTAGGAGAAAACCAAAATAAAAGATAAAAACAGAGTTTAATAAATTTCCAGGAGAGAATTGAATAATTAAAAATTACACTATAATGTTGTTTTTATTTTTTTAGCCAATAATTGTAATATAAAAAAGTTAAGAAAATTTATTAATGCAACCTCATCCAGATTTTAATTTTTCATTTCTATTATTCTTTGTTAGGCAGAATTAGAAGAAAATATTATGAAACAACATAAATTAACGCCTTACAAAAAAATATACTTGAGGTCTTAATTAAAAAAAAATTTATTGAATTGGCATACTCTATACTATTTGTAATTATTTTTTGATTATATTTCATTAAAATTATATACTCTGAAAACATATATAAAGAGTATTAATACTAATAAACTTGAAATCAATCTATGAAAATTAATTAATATATTGTCAGAAATAATAGAAAGAATTAAACTGAATAAACATAATTTATAATTTAGATCAAAAATTATTCTACTTTATTTCTCTCAATTTAAAATACTATTAGTAATAATCAAATTTAAATATTTTATTTTATAATCATTATTTATTTTATATAAATATCTTAGTTAATGTTAAAATTATACAAAATGAATTCAATATTAATTAGATAAATGTATCATTAACTATTTGGATAAGGATAAATTATAAAGTCTTTAATATTTATTTTGAAGGTTACTTCTTTAACTTTATCTAGAGAAGTTTATATTTATAGAAATGACAAACTATAATTAGACTTGTACTTAAATCTTAATTTTATTTATTTTTTTATTTATTTTCATAATTAATAATAAATTATACTTATTTAATTATAAATATTAAAGTATAAAAAATAATCAGAAGATAAATAACAAAACTAATAGAAACTTTAAAAATATTCAAAATACAAAAAATTGCATTAATAATTAAACAAATAACTAGATTATATAAATACCTGATAAATTTCACATTTATATTTCCATAATTAATGAAAATTAATATAAATTCCGATTTTAGGGATACTAGAAGTTTTTATTATATTATTTAAGAATTATTTTATGATATTATAATTGTCACTCCTAACTATTTTAGGAAATGCCTACTAATTACTATAAACAATTGAACTAGAAGTAATCAACAATATTTCAGAAAAATTAAACCTTGAAACAAATAACGAAAGCTTGCTTTTAGCGTTCTATTTTGAAAAAGCAAGTTATCCTTTGGCTCTAGTCTCAAATGAGAAAATTATTGACTCAGATTTCAATAGGACAACTAAACCAAAATTTATTGAGAGTAGAAAAGAAATTTATTTTGACTATGAGTCCATATAGACCCATAATAATATACATTTAATTGAAATTTCTAAAGGGAATGAGGTTTATTATTATATTAGAAATGGATTTAAACCTTTTAAAGTAAAATTAGAAGTTTATTCGAAACCTCACTCTACATGTATAAACAACTGTTAAGGTTATTCTTTAAATAAAATAATTCAAAATGCAAGCTGCACTTCAAAGTGTGAATGTTAGAGTGGATATTTTGGATCATACTGTTAATTTGAACTATAAAATATTGAAAAAGATGTAGAGTATGAAATTCAATTGATGGCTCGTAAGATTATATATTTATCTCACTAATTTAATGAATAAGCTGTGTTAATTGCAGAAAATGTGAATGAACCAATAAGTAAGTTATTTTTATATATTTAGCTGTAAGTTTTGGAATTTTAGGTTTGAAAGGTTATGAAATACCTGATTCAACATCATATACAGCTATTTTACATAATTAACTTAGTCTTACAAAATTGATGCAAAATTTGCATTCATAGTTTAAGAATTCTTCGACTCTTGTAATTAGTTTGTAATGTAAAACTAATTAAACATTTAAATTACATATAAAATAAGAATAAATTCCAAAAATATGGGATGGTAATTGGATATTTTTGATTTTTGCATCCTTCAACATTTTTATCATAATTATTTGTTTTGGTATTACAAACTTATGTAAAAAAAAGGATATTAAAATTAAAAAAAAGAAGATTAAAATTAGACCCCCTCAAATATAGGAAAATCCAAAAAATTTTAGTGGATAATTTTTTGATAAATACTTTGAAATATTTGATTATGAAGATTTCATTAAATAAAATCAAGAATATTAATCAAATACATAATGTGTAGTATGCTTAGATAATTTAAATCAAAAGGAAATTAGTGTAAATATTTGTGGACACATTTTTCATCATCTATGTTTAAAGAAATGGTTGATGAAAGTGTTAACATGTCCATCCTGTCGATAGTAGATTACTTATTAATAAGTGATCTAAGGAGGTTGGATAGGAAGTAAGCTTTCTTAAAGTCCATTGCATCCGAAATCTAATCCAAATAGTTAATTAGTTAATGATAGTAATATACTTATTGAGAATAATGATAATATAGCAATTGTTGATAAACAAGATAATAATGAAAATTAGGATTCTTGAAATATAACTATTTATTGTTAAATGATTATTTAATAGTCTAATATTCTTCCTTTTTTAATCTTATAACTAAAAATTATGATAATATATAGGCATTTTCATTTAAAAAAAAGTTTTAAATTTTTTTGTGCTAAATTCATATTCTATTTACTAAAAACAATACTTATAAAAATAGAATTTGATAAGCCTTTTATTTGATATAAATATAATTAATATATGAATTATTGCAGGTTTATAATTAAAAGTAAATTGAGTATAAATAATTGAGGAAACTATAGAAAAACATTATTGATAATTCCCATAGATTAGAAAGAAATATATAAAATATTATTAAATAATAGATTATTGAAGAGAAATAATAATGGTAGATCCATATATTTTACAAGATATGAGAGAGTTTGAAGAATAATAATTATATGATTTAGATTCTAAAAAAACAAAAATTATAGCTGATATATAAAGTAAAATTGATCAGTTAAAACAAATTCAATAGGCTAAGAATTAGTATAAATTATTATTGCTTTTTTTGATGAACCTATTGTTAATATAGATCTATTTAATAAAATTAATATCTAATATTTATAATGCTGAATCTCCTTATATTTTTCATGTGTAATAATCATTAAATACATAATACATAATTACTAAAAAAAAAGATAGAAAATTAAGTTTAAATATTATGAATAACAAAAATCAATAATGTCTTTAAGAGATCAATTGTGAATCAATCTATTAAAAAATTATTTAAAGTGTAATTTAAAAAATAAGTAATGATATAATAAATAATATTTCAGAATATTGTAGTAAAATCTAATTAATGAGTTTTGTTTTTAATGTATAAATATCATTTTCATTGAAGATTATTAGTGCTTATATTTATATTTTTCATATTTTTGAAATTAAATCTCCTATTTCATTTACAGAATTTCTAATTTAAGTTAATTAAAACTTCAAATTATTGATTGATTATTCCATCAGATCTACTTTATAATTAGTTTATAACAACGTTTTAATATGTTGAAATATTTTAATTAGATCAGAATCTATTTCACTATACTTAGTTAAAATATAATATTATACCTATATTTGCATATCTAAGATACTAAGTTTATTACTATTCAATAATTTGTTATTTTCATTTAGAGTAGCTTCGATTGTATTGATTTTTTCTATTATATCTGATTTATTATTTAATAAATCCATTTATTAAAAGATACTTGTAAACTTAAGATTAGTTTCTAATTAATAATCTTATATTAAGTTAAATTTAGCTTAGATTTCTTTATTTTAATTTTTGATTAGATTATCTTCAATATTTTTAATTCCTTTTTATGCATCTTTTGAAATCTTCTTCTCTAATCTTTCAAGTTATTCCTGATCTAATGTAGTGTAATTACATTGTAGTTAAGGTTTCTCTAATCCATGATTACTTATAAATTAATTATTTAATGTCTATAAGAGCTCTTATTATTCATTTAGTTATCTTTCTATATTTCCTATTTTTATTAACACTTTTTAATTCTCATCTTCTATTTTTCTAAACTTTTGCCATAATTTCTCTATAACTTATTAAAATCTATCTGATTTAACATGTTAATCAAGTTCATTTTATAATTATAAACACATATCACAAGATTTAAGTTTATTCAATTCATCTGACAATAAAATAGTAGATGGTGCTTTATCTTGTAAGTTCTACTTTGTAATAAAATCAATAATGTTAAGGCCTCTACCTTAATTTCTAGCTGATTATGGAATTTTTTCAAGAGAGTTTCTTCTGCTCATTAATTAATGTTATAAGTTTAAAGAATTTCAAGGCCAAAAAAATCAATTTCAAAAAGCCTTATTCTTTAAAATCAACCTGTCCTTGAACCTGAGAGTACACTTAAAGTTAAGGAGCATTTTTAGCATTTAAGATAAAAGCTTAAGGCAATCCCTTATATTTCAACTCCTGTGGCATCTCCAAGATAATAAGGATAACCTCAATAAAGAAAAAGAAGAGATAAAAAAGGAAAGAAATATAAATAAGAGAGAGCAAATTTTTTATTAGAAGTATCTAGTATTAGTTCTTCAATCACAGATGAATCCATAGATAAAGATATAAAAAGTGAATTTTTAATAGCAAGAGATAATTTGAAAAAGCTTTGCAAATAATCTAATCATAATAAAAATAATTCATCCTTCATAAATTCACCATTATTTCCTTAAAATATAAAAGAATCTTAAAAAAATGATTCCTAACTTTAAACATTAAATTAATTAGATTATGAAAGAGTAAATATTAATTTTGTAAAGTCTCTTTAACATAATTCAGATTGTAAAGACATATAAGAATATTATGAAGATGGAAACTTAAATATCTTTTTTTAAAGTCAAGACATGTTAACATTTTTACGTTATGAACATGAAACATAAGAAATGATTTAAAGATCTAAAATGTTTTGTTAAAATTAAAATTTATATGAAGGATTATAGAATGAAATTGAAATATATGAATAAAAATAAGCAAAAATAAATCAAGAAAAGGAAGAATAACAAAGAGAGTTTATTCAAAGAATATTATTATAAGAATAATAGAAATAGAATTTCTTAAAGAAAGA